AAGTGACTCGTGTTCAGGGCACCGTACAAGGGCAGCGGTAGAAGTGACTCGTGTTCAGGGCACCGTATGAAGGTAGCGGTAGAAGTGACTCGTGTTCAGGGCACCAAACGAGGCTAGCGGTAGAAGTGACTCGTGTTCAGGGCACCGTACGAGGCTAGCGGTAGAAGTGACTCGTGTTCAGGGCACCGTATGAGGCTAGCGGTGGAAGTGACTCGTGTTCAGGGCACCGTACGAGGCTACCGGTAGAAGTGACTCGTGTTCAGGGCACCGTATGAAGGTAGCGGTAGAAGTGACTCTTATTCAGGGCACCGTACGAGGCTAGCGGTAAAAGTGCCCTTTTTGTGTTTTTCGTTGTCTAATTTTTGCTGTTTTAGGTGTCTAGCGGCCGAACCTGATGTCGTATTACAACGTTTTTTTCACCAAGTGATAGGTAATAAAATTCTCTATCATTTACGTATATAACATGTGCGTTAATCCCTTGGGAAACCTATGAAAATGCCCTTTTTGTGTTTTTGTTGTCTAATTTTTGTTGTTTTAGGTGTCTAGCGGCCGAACCTGATGTCGTAGGTCGACGTTGTTTTTCACCAAATTGTAGGTACTAAAATTCTCTATCATTTATGTATGTAACATGTGGGTTTATCCCTTGGGAAACTTATGAAAATGCCTTTTTTGTGTTTTTATTGTCTGATTTTTGTTGTTTTAGGTGTCTAGCGGCCGAACCTGATGTCATAGGACAACGTTTTATTCACCAAATTGTAGGTACTTACATTTTAATATATTGTGAGTATATATTTATTACTTGATGGTAGCATCACCTGTATAAGGTAACCGACGGGTGAAGCATCATCATAAATTGATTGAATATCTGGCGGAAAACATCTAAATCAACAGACGGCAAGCGACGGCGCGTAGCAACACAGTGTTAAAGACGATAAAAATAACTATTTCTTTGTAAATATTAAGATATACTGAGACTGCGAAAACGAAAAACTTTTCACCATTCAAGATTATGTTTCAACAAGAAATTATTAATTTAATGATGCAATACGGTTAAAAATGTTTACGTGATCATCGAAAACATGACCGAACCGACGGCCGACGGCAAAGTAAGCGTGGCCGACCACATGAATATTGTCATATTAATAATCCTCAGATAATTTTAAAAACCGTGCTTGTAATAATTAAATCAAGCATGTTATTTTCGGAAATGCGACTAAGAAGAATTCTGATAAAAATGCCACCACGAGTTTGTAATCTACAAATTTAATAACCCTCAAATTGAATAATCGATTTAAGTTAAACCGCCTTAACTTTCCTTGAAAAATTTTAATTATCCACCTACCTGTGCATTAATGAGGAGATTTTCTATCCTGTAATATATTCCATTAACTGAAAACTCGCGCAGAGATTATCCGACTCTTATTTCTCACATAAGAAGACTCTAACCGCCATAAATCAGTAAACAAAACAGACACACATGGCCATTGCGAATATTTTGCCGATGGCCGAAAGAATACACAACGATTAATCCAATTAAAACATCAAAACGCGTGGCGATTAGAGAGACACGCTCGCGGACCACGCGGTAAAACAACTGCTATGTGCGCTGCGCGTAGCCGGATACAAGGCCAGTATGCAGCGATATTACGCGTCAGTCGAACAAAAAAGTTGTTTATACACAAACGTACAACGTACTGATAAACACGTAGTTGAGAAGACGAAACTAAAAATTCACAATGTTGAAATACACATACACGAAATTTACTTTTACTTTCAATATTTCTCGGCATACGAAGGGAATAAGCTAGTTAAGTTGGAAATCTATGAGATGAAATTTTAATTTTTAAAAAAATTGCCAAGAAATACGCCAATAAAAGTACTAAAAAGTGACATTTTTCAATGTTTGCCCATTTTATTCAATAGCGAATATCTCGTAAACTAAAAGAGATAATTAAGATCTGATCGCAGCGTCTTAATCTACGGACTATTCTCTATAAGATAGGATAGATAAAACAGAAATTTGAGAGATAAAATTTTAATTCCTAAGAAAAAATTACCAAGGGGGGGTGCTTGATACTTTTTTTCGACGATTTTTGATTATTATCTCTTAAACAAAAAGAGATAGCAAGCAACAAATTGCTGATTATGAAAGACTGGAAAATTTTCTATCAGATAAAAATATAAACTAATTATATTTCCAACAGTAAAAGGTCAAAAAACGCCACTAAAAGTACTAAAAAGTGACATTTTTCAATTTTTGCCCATTTTATTCAATTGCGAATATCTCGTAAACTAAAAGAGATAATTAGAATCAGATTGCACCATATTAATCTACGGACTAATCTCTATAAGATAGGATAGCTGAAACGGAAATCTGAGAGATGAAATTTTAATTCTTAAGAAAAAATTGCCAAGGGGGTGCTTGATACTTTTCGTTGACGATTTTCTATAATTAATATCTCTTAAACTAAAAGCGCTAACAACCAAAAAATTGCTGATTATGAAAGATTGGAAAATTCTCTATCAGATAAAAATATAAATTAATTATATTTCCAACAGTAAAAGGTCAAAAAACGGCACTAAAAGTACTAAAAGTGACATTTTTCAATTTTTGCCCATTTTATTCAATCGCGAATATCTCGTAAACTAAGAGAGAGAAATAGACACAAATTGCAGAGACTATTCTACGGACCACTATCTATAAGATAGACTTGTTAAAGTGGAAATCTGAGAGATGAATTGAGATGCTTGATACTTTTTTCTGACGATTTTCAATAATTAATATCTGTTAAACTAAAAGCGTTAGCAATCAACGAATTGCTGATTATGAAAGACTGGAAAATTCGCTATCAGATAAAAATATAAATTAATTATATTTCCAACAGTAAAAGGTCGAAAACGCGACTTAAAGTGTTAAAAAGTGACATTTTTCAATTTTTGTCCATTTTATTCAATCGCGAATATCTCGTAAACTAAAAGAGATAATTAGGATCTGATCGCAGCATCTTAATCTACGGACTAATCTCTATAAGATAGGATAGCTGAAACGAAAGTCTGAGAGATGAAATTTTCATTCTTAAGAAAAAATTGCCAAGGGGGGTGCTTGATAGATTATTTATAGAATTTTTGATAATTACTATCTGTTAAACTAAAAGCGATAGCAACCAACGAATTGCTGATTATGAAATAATGGGAAATTCTCTATCAGACAAAAACCTAAAATAATTATATTTTCAACAATAAAAGGTCAAAAAACGCGAAAAATGGTGCTCTAAACACGAGTCACTTCTACCGCCACCCTCATACGGAGCCCTGAATACGAGTCATTTCTACCGTTGCCTTTATACAGTGCTGTGAACACGAGTCACTTCTATCGCTGACCTGGTACGGTGCCCTGAACACGAGTCACTTCTACCGCTACCCTCATACGGTGCTGTGAACACGAGTCACTTCTACCGTTGCCCTAGTACGGTGCCCTGAACACGAGTCACTTCCACCGCTACCCTCATACGCTGCTGTGAACACGAGTCACTTCTACCGCTTGCCTTGTACAGTGCCCAGAACACGAGTCACTTCTACCGCTACCCTCATAGGTGCCCCGAATCGAGTCACTTCTACCTATGCCCTTGTACGGTGCCCTGAACACGAGTCACTTCTATCGATACCCTGCTCCGGTAAACCGAACGAGACTCAACTATACAATTGCAAACGTTCTTTGTTCTTGACATATTCGAGTCAATAAACGATAATAGTGCATATCTTTTAAACTAAAAGCGATAGTGACCAACGGTTTGAAAGTTATGAAATATTGGAAAATTCTGCAGAATCGTTAAGAATCGGCCCCGGCAATCGTTAATATATTGCTATTTTATTTGTGTTTGCGATTTAACCCCCTTTCATCGGCCCTGTAAATAGGTAGTACGTGATAAATAGAAAACTGTTTTATAAACAGCAAATGTAAATTTGACCGAAAAAGATAAATGAATTATAAACTTGCCAGTGTACAGCTTGTCGGACTGCCAGGCACAACGAGTGCTGTAACTAAACGAAAACATAAATTAAAACCATAATATTTCATACAATTGAATAATGTTATAATTAACAATCAACACAAAATAATCAATCTGTGCTGTTTAGTTAAAAAATACTTACACGAGTCTGATGGATCTCTCTTAATGATGAGAATCAACATGGCGGCGATATATATTCGATTAATTTAGTAACCGACACCAAACACAACGCCGAGTAAAGAATGCTATCAAATCCACTATCACGTGACTTGTAATATTCCTAACAAACGCGATCAAAAACCGGCATTTCCGAACATTTAACAAATTACTATAGTCGCAAAGTACAAATAAATAGTCGATTGATCTTCGAGTATAACACAAATTTAGAATCTTGAAGTCCGAATAAACGATATAAGCCTCTCAAAACACGACTGGATTAACCAGCGACCGGCACGAAACTGGCTGCAATTCACCGATAGTGCATGCCGAAACTGCGTAAACAACGCCGGGACAGTATATGATAAGAAAGCAAGAGGTGCGTAAAGCCGGCGCGTCGACGTCACGCGACCTTGTACACGAATTTGAAATAGGCACAATACCTGTGATCTAAACTAAACTAGATTTCGCTGCATGCAGCAAGTTGATGCGGCGCTAGAAAACAGCGCGCGGGACACATGCGTTAAAAAATTGAAAGAACCGTACCGTGCACTGCGCACTACTAAGAGCAGACTGAATCTCCTCTGAATCGGCCGTTGCCAAGCAATGCAGCGCAGCATGACGCGATGTAAAAAGTTGATTACCCATAAACCATGATAAGCCCCACGCCAAAAACGTTTCAAAATATCGAAGAAAATGTGTTGTTATCAAAATAAAATTTCCGAATTAGAACATTTTTAGGATTTTCGATATTCTTAGTTGGAAAACCAAACGAATTTGAATGATATTGATTTTTATGACATGACAACCCATTTTGTTTTTTTATATGTTGATGTCTAATTGTCTTTTGGCATCCCTTCATTTAATTGTTGAGTTTGTCCGCATTTGCGTGATTTCGCGTTCAATCAGTGCTCATTTTGCGTTCAAAAATTAGTTATTTTACTTCTAAACTTGCTAAACTGCTGCTGAATTTTGTGTTGCACTTCACTTAACCGTTATTTTCTTATTCAGCACTTATACTGTAAATATCACGCAAATGTCAAAAACTCAAAGCTCAGCTCCGATTCATATAAATAACAGAACAATCGAGCACCAAACTAATGGCTACGTAAACGAAAATAACATAAAGGTACGCGAATACATCAACCCGGCGATATACGTTGAAACAACCTACAAGATGAACTCTTGCAATCAAACAATTTACTTTCCTGGCAGCGGCGACCATCCAAAAACAGTCACTGTTAAGCGATGTGCTTGTTTTACCAATCCAGACGACTGTCCCTGCCATCCTCGACCACCGAAAGAAGAAATCAGTCAAGCAGAAGCTGAAGGTTATGGAATACCACCTAAAATAGATGAACCTTTATCACTGACAAAGATGAAGGAAATGCTCAAAGATGTTAATGATGCGCACGGTGAAAGTGGTATAGGATCTATATCACAGATAAGTTCTTCGAATAGCGCTTATAAATTAAATTCGCAATCTATATTTGAAAGCGACAGCGGTATCACTGTCAAAGCAACTAATTCCACATCAGACCTACGGCTTTCAATACCATCCCTTACATCAATCGATACGATTCGTGTCACTGACAATCACACGCGAGGCGAGAATTATCGTGAATGGTGCCGGCGAAAAGATTGTGAGAGGAAATTACAGGAAGAACGTGATCAGCTGATACAAAAGATTAAAGAACAGCAAAAACAGGCTGTCCTAGAACTGGAACGCGAAAACTTTAAGCGATGGCTGACAAACAAAAAAAAGAAAGATGAGGAAGCAAGACAACTGAAACTACAGCAGCAGGAAGAAGCAAGACGCAAGGAAGAAGAGAAAAACAAGCGATTGAGCGAAAAAGAACGAAACTATCAGATTTGGTTGAGAAAAAAGGAAAAAGACGATTTAGGTGGGGTTTTTATTTTAGCAACTTAAAACTTTAATTAATTTGTACACGTGTTTAAATGAATAGAAAAAAACATTAAAAAGCAATTGACACTAATTGAACGCGAAGAAGAGAAACAACGGCGTATTGAGGTCAGTCAGCAAGCCTACGAGTATTGGCGAGAACATTCTAGGAACAGGCAAAAACCGCTACCGTTTGGACGAGGAATGGATAGTATGCTATTTTTATTTTGCAATATTTAATATTCTTATGAAATATTATTTTGCAGCTTTAAAGTCATCCGTGTCTGTCTCATATATCAATCCACAACCATGGGTACCCAATATAGAACCGTCCAAAAAACCACACTCGCAGTGACAACATCGACCATCAATATACAAATATTTAAAGATTTTTTTGTATAAAAATCGAAATACATCTCTTGAATAGAAAACTATTTTTTCCCAAGTTATGTCACAATTTTCAATATGGAGTAATCTTTAGAATAATTTTATTAATAAATATAAATTCTTTAAACTACAACATCCCTCGCAATTTCTAGCATAAGACAATAAAATATTTTTTTGTTTATTCTAAATACACAAGATACAATTTGTCTAAAAGCTATCATAAGTCCCCTAAAAATATCAAAAACAAGTCATTCAATCAGTATTCTTATTTTATCAAACAGTTATATTCATTTTATAGACGAATACAACATTACCTAAACGTGATTGAAGTGCGATTTATAGTATAATAGTTTTGTTTCAGCAAATAGATATATCTAGTTTCATATCAATTAATTTTCATGCATCTATATAAATACATATGTGATTTTGTTACACACCCCACAATTGTTTCGTTGTTGATAATATTCCATCATTATTCAGTCCGCTTTTTAGAGTTTGCTAGAATGTTTCTTCTTCTTCCTGCAGGCGCAATATATCAGATTTATTCATGAAGTAGTAAGTTGGTTGACGCCCTTTTAAGTCTTTTGAGACCCGTTTTGCTCCTGATTTAATCAATACTCGACTAATCGACTCAATCTTTTCAATACCCATCGCATAATGCAAAGCAGTTCTATCCAGCTACTCAAATAATACGAAATTAACTTCGTTATTTAGATTTAGTTGGTTAAAACTTACGTTATCTCCAATGCTTAATGTTTCCGGGAATGTATTCGCCAAATAATCGACGATTTCTTCCTGTTGACATAGTACAGCCACGTGTAGAGTACACCTACCGTAGCTGTTCTTTCCGATTGCTAGTAAACGACCACTACCGGTGTCGTTTGCATCAGCTAGCATTTGTCGCACGTCGGTTAGGTTTCCTTCGCGGATCGCATGATGCACACGCTCACGTCGTTCCTAAACGTTTTAAAATATTTATACAGAATATTTCTTTTAAATTTATCAGAAAACGTACTTCAAACGCCAAAATTGAATGTAAAAATGCCACTGTGTCTGGTTGATTTGCCTGATTGGCAGCCTCAGAAATTGGTACACCATCTTCATCTATAATGTCTATAATGTGATCGTAACCATCTAACAAAAGTTCAACTAATTTATCTGTGTCTCCTAGAAAACCATTTTTAAAAAATGATTAATTAACATTCGGTTTTAAACAAGTAATTCTGATTATGGAACATCATTAAGTTTAAATTGATCTACCTTGAGTGGCAATTTGCAACACGTATCTATCAATCTCGAGCGTGTTTTCCGGCACGGCCGCTTGCACCGTGATGTCCCTAGCAGTGCGATAGAGCTCATCTCGGTAACCGATATTAATGTTTGTTTCCACTAGCAGCTGGAATAAAGCGTTGCGGCCGTGCGATCGGGCGGCAGCAAAGTGCAACATGCTTTGACCATGCTCGTCCTAGACAAACACAATCACATCAAATCTATATACCTACTAACATCAGCTAAATTTTTGAGCATAAATATTTGTTAACACCAAGTGAATCTAACAGTTATCAAGGTTGAATTCATACCCGGCTAGTAGGACTAAAAGCTGATTCTTCTTCTGGCATGTTTTCATTGGGATCTAGAGTGACAACATCGATGTTTGCGTGCGGCATTGGTGGAGGAGCCAATTCTTCACTTTCTACTTCTGGTGGAGTTCCAACTGTTATCATATTTTGACTTTCCTGCATTAACACATATTTGTATAGGTAATTTAAGTTTGGTTTTATTATTTATTATGTACCAGTAGATTATCTCCTGCAAAAATAAATAAATTTATTACCTGAGTTCGACCTCTTGATTGTGCCCTATTGTTATTATTCGCAAACTGATACAAATACTGAGCGAGATAAGCAATTGGATCCGAAGGCCGCTTGCTGGCGACTTCAGTTAGACCTTTTATCAACGGATCGCCGAGTGCTGGAATGGAAGCAATTACTGCAAAATTTGTTTAAAAACACTTGAGTTACACAGAGGAGTGAACACCACACCAGAGGTTACACTGCAAACAAAATGGTCAACCATTTGTAATTTAGTCTATTTGAAAAACCGAAGTATTCAAATAGAATATTTGAAAAGATAAAATGCAAAGCATCAGACAAATTACAGGCAAGTCAAACAAACAGTCAAGTACAAACAAACAGTTGATAAATGAGTAAGTAGACAATAACAGAAAACGTAGTTTATACAGATTAATGCCTGATTAAAAGATTAATTAGGAAAATATAAAGAGTAAAATTCTACAATTCTAGGCACTTTGTCGGGTAAATAAGCAATTAAAATATTGATTATTTTACAAGTAGTGCATATTCGCAGGTTCATAATCTTACAAATGATAGTCATAAATATCATTTCAAATGTTTGCATTGATAGATTTTGATATATTTATTTGTTATAAATATTTCCATATAAACTATTTTTTTATGTTTAATGTACCTACAACATATACAAAAAACCAACACAAACATTAGCTTCTACTTCACTATACAAACTACACACAATATGTTCTTATCCAATTTTAAAATATTTGGTCAACATTTATATACGCGTAAACATATTCTGCTTGTGGTCGAATAATCAATAACTGACGATGACTAAAAATCTAAAATTGAATAAGAAAAAGCAACATTAGGTTAGAATAGGTTAGACTAGGTTTCCATAGGAAGAATAAGTTAAAGTTAGTAATACTGATACAGAACCACACTCCAAACCACTACACTAAGACAATACAAGGAAAGTTACAGAAAATGGAAATTGAAGTATAGACAAAACAAAACTTCATGGTATGTAAATGTCAAACTTACAGGAAGCTAAGTAGCGTCCCTCCTCGGTACAAAAGAAGGGCATTTCCACTTGCATGTTGTGAGCATCTGAGAACAAATAAAACATGAGTAAACAATGTTATTATTGATCTGGAACGACCACAATGACAACGGTTTATCACAAATTCAAAATGAAATGTAATTATAAACAAATCAAGCACAAGGACAACACATTATACATTATACACAACTTCGTCGGAATGAGCGTTTGTTTTTACCTAGATATACATAGATATTGAATCTTAGAATCCGTTATCCATTCCAGTTTCCAATAAAATCACTTATTCATAAGTTTCATAAAAGTTATACATGAAGATGTATTTACACGCGTATATGCTACACATTGACATCAAATATGCTATTATTATCACTAAATAATTAATCATTGCTCCCTTAATTGACGTAATTATTGTATATTGCATCGTATTCCAATAATCAACTGAATTTAGCTTTCGATGTGACCGTTCTTTTTCCGTTTGAACATGTTTACAAACAGTGCGGCGATATGTAACGAACTCGACATAGCCATGTCCTTTTCCAGTTGAAGAATATTGGCCACTGCAGTGCTAAAATCTTCGAAACATTGCAATTCGGTGATACTTAAGCATTGCTTGTTTCCAATCCGCACAATATCCGCACTGGCCGCGTTGCGGAAGTAGTTTAATCCACGCACATTGCACAAATATCTAAAGTTTTCCGGTTCTTTGATCAAATGTGGGAATCGAATGTTGAAGTTGAATTGGATGGTGTTGCCGACGGCAGTGGGGCGGGCACTTAGATAACCTAGATACTCGTCCCTGACGAAGCTTAGTTTCGTTTGTAGACAGTTGACGAGTTTGTATAAACGTGTGTAAATTTGACCCACATTTCCGGGTTTAATTGGGGACGTCACTGTCACTACACGGATATGGTCAAGCACGTTAATCCAAACAGCTAGATTATAGCTATTGCTCACAAAAACACCTCTGCCATATGGCCAGTGTTTTCCGTGTAGTCTGTCTGAATCAGGAATGTTCCATAATGGAATAAGGAGACCATTAGAGGCGAGAATTATTCTGGCCTCGGATGGTTCCTCCAAAATTTCGTTCATGGTATAATAGATACCATTGCCTTTGTCTCGAATTTCGTCCTCTGTAGCATTCGGATACAGAGACTGTGCAACTTCTGCACTTAGAAGAACTGTAGTAATCAAACGCTCTACGTGTTCCAGTTCACCTACACTCAGGTTGTTTGGCAATTCAAAAGTATCTAAATTGCGAGTGCATTCAACTCGTCCGGAGATAATGTTTTTGGCCGAAACGTCAAGATCTAAATCAATTGCAACTGTTTTTTCTACAACTTCCTCACAGTCATCCTCATTTACTAAATCAGGATCGTTTATTTTTTCTGTTTCGTTACTGTCGTCAAGCTCCTCAACCTGTACGAATTTAGTTTTCGGATGAGGTAACAATTCGATGTGTGGATCCATGTTGTTAGCGTCTTTAATTATCGGTAGCATAAGTTCAGCGAACACGTGATATGCAGCAAAATCAGGCGCTATAATACCAACAAGAAGATCGGATTCCAAATGATTGCGGAATTCACCATCAGTAGGTAATTTCTTCACACTGGGCCAGATTACGTCATACAAGTTGTGATCTAAACGAGTAACGCGTGTTCGAACGCTATCGAAGACATATCGGCGTGTGTGGCGGCTGAGAATAGAGTGCGATGATGCGATGGACTTAATCGTGGCGGTAGACGCCGCTGACGAGGCGTTGCTGTTCCGCCTGCCGTGTAGCACATTGTAACAGCGCTCTAATACCGTAATCATGTCCTGATCATCCAAATCTTTCCGGGCCGAATGCACGTCATCGGGAACTGTGGTAAGTAACAAACGGTTTGTGCCAGAACGGTTTTCGCATTATCACACATTTCAAAATTGGTAATGTTTGGTCATTACTGGACGAGATAGAGAGATGTATATGTAGGTAAACAAACGTCAAAAACGAACGACACGCGGACGGTAGGTTAAAAATACAAATAAAACACTTGGACACAAAATAATACAACATTTCACAGAAATAAATTCTTCGGATACCAACATATGTCTTACCTTTGTCTGTAAGCATTTCCTCGGCGAGCTCTTCAGCACCATACTCGGTCAGAATGGCGCGGTGTGAGAATTCGCCTTGATTAGATCGGTAAAAATCTGGAGTGTGACCAAACTGTAAATGTAATAAGTACACGTGAACATTTATCGATTGTGTTTTGACGCGTCATTGCCCGTTGTACCTTGTCCTCGGAGCGAGCATTTGCCCCCAAGTGTACCAATAGATTATAGTAGTGACCATTATCTGGCACCACGGCGGCATAATGTAATGGGGTGCGACCATTATCGTCCATTGCTGTTACTGTTTCTGGGAATCGGCCGGCTAGATACCGAACGACGCTTGTGTTTCCAAAGACGGTCGCCACGTGCAGAGGTGTCGCGCCATTGGGCGAGATCTTGTCCTTGGCAATTGCGAATTTGCGTCGATCCAACGCGGCCTGTAAATCTTTCAAGCTACCGTCTCGAGCAGCCATGTGAATCCGATTGATTTTATTCTGTAGAGCGGCACACGAATGAATGGATAAATAATTGATTAGTTTTGTTTTATTGATTAACCTACTCAGCAGACATGTTGACGTTGAAATATTGTACAAGCACTTACCATGTAGACAGGAACATTGTCGAGAAAGATTGAAGTTCCGGAATGTCGCTGGTATGACCCATCAGGCGATCACCTTCACCTTCTAAAACCAATGCTGCTAGTTGTTCCATGTTGCCGGAGGAAACCATTGCAGCTATTTCAGCGTCGGCACGGTCATCTTTTGTTGCGCCTTGCTCGTTCACGCTTTCAATCTCGTTCTCCCCATTTACTACACCTTCAATAACTGCTTCTGGTTCAACAATTGCCGTCTCATCTTCTTTTTCTTTTTCTTCTTCTTCATCTTCCTCTCCATCTTTTTTAGGTTCGGATTCTTCATCTGGTGCTGATTCTTCGGTATTTGCAATTGGTGGAGGCATTGGAGTAGGTTCCCTTTCAACCGGTGCTGGTGTTGGTTCTGGTTCTGGTTCAGGCTCCGGTTCAAGTTCGGCTTCTGGTTCTGCTGTTTCTGGTTCAGGTTCAGGTTCAGCTACTGTTTCTGGTTCTGGAGTTGGTTCAGCTTCTGGTTCCGGTTCAGGTTCGGGTTCAGGTTCAGGATCGGCTTCAGGTGCAGGTTCAGGAGTAGGTTCTGGTTCTGGAATTGCTTCTGGTTCTGGTTCCGGTTCAGGCTCGGGTTCGGGCTCAGCCTCGGCTTCTGGTTCCGGTTCTGGCTCTGGTTCAGCTTCAGGTTCTGGTTCTGGTTCAGCTTCAACTTCAGCTTCTGCAGGTGTTTCCTCTTCCGCAGTTCCATCTCCATTTGTAGCTTCATCTTCATTGTTGTTTTCTTCAATTTTATCAACTTCCTCGTGGTTGCCATTGGTGGGTGCTTCCTCAGAACCAAACACTTCCTCAGCATTCAATGCTATCGGTTTAGCCATCTCGTCCAATGGAGTTGCAGCGACGCCAAGTATTCCCCAGTCGAATGTCGAACCTTCCTTCGCCTTGCGCGGTGAATCCGGAATGACGTGAAGTAGCTTAGCATCAATCTCGTTGGTTCGAGTTTTATAAAATCCTGCGCTTTTCGATTTCTGTAATTGTCGTTAATTAATTCATATGATTACAGTCATCAACGAGTCGGCGTAGTCGACCGTCCACGTCGCAATTGGGCGTAGTTTGGGGCATTCGTCATGCGTGCTAGAACAATCAAACACTATCACACTTACGTTATCGAGAGCGCCTTCGTCTGCGCCGGCCTCGACGAGGTAATCAAACATTTTGCCGCCATCTTTGAGGATAACTGCGTAGTGGAGTGGCGTCCTGCCTTCGTTGTCCACACATGAAACACTCTTCGGATTGTGGGAAATGATGTACTCAGCAATATCCGTGCGACCCAATCCAGCAGCCTGTATAAAATATCCAACACAAAACGCCATTTTGATTTTACCGCAATCGTAAGGTAAAAGCCCACCAACCTTGTGTAAGTGGAGTTAGACCATTGGAGTCTTTCGCAATGTAGATAACATTGGGTGCTGGTGGAGCTGTGTGTTCCTGGAATGCTTCAAATTCATCGTTGACTACATCTGCATGAACGTCCTTAATACACCCCTAAACAATCCAAAACAAATCCGTAGTTTCTCACATCTTACCATTTTAGCGGCAATCAAAGACCTACCAGAATATAAGGACATGATTCAAGAAACCTCTTGACTTTTGGGTTGTTACTGTGTTCCACCAGCAGTTTGTTACCATGTCCTTCCCAGATTACCTGCTGTAGGCTGGCAAGATCCCGTTGATGAATCCATATCCGGATGTTGGACTTCTTGATGTTCAGACCTGAGAAGCCGTCGCGCATTTTGGAAATTTATCGATTTTATGCACGCGTACGAAAAGCTCAGAGCTTTTGTATATGATAATGCTGCCTACGCGATGCGCTGTAAGCGTTTGAGCGACGCGACCGATCGTAAATGACCATCAACTGCGTACACCTACATTAAGAACGCAACTACCCTTCCATCCGTTTACCACTTGCTTCGTTGCTAGAATACACACACAGGGTGGACACTCAATATAAACAAGTACACGAACATCGTTACCAACACATGCTTGTTTTCGTGTCGCTTGTAATAACAATACGACCAGTATATGGTGCAGGCCGTCACGTGACCCGATTCACGTATTAATAATTGAACATTTACCGAACATTTATCGATCCCCAAGGTATGTGACTTACTATTCTACGGATACAAATTTAAATAAAGGGAATACAACACAAGATACCCGTTAATCGTACTGTTCGATATGCAAGTTATCAGAATTGTACCAATTATTAGAAATATACGAATCACGTAATGAAGTGTTTAACATTATTGGAAATGCTAATCATGATTAATATTTTTTTGGTCATAAACTCGTATTTTTAGTATTTTTCTTCATTTCCATAATTGAGTTTTGAGCGTAGTTAATATAAAAATATGCATTTTCTTTACGGCATACACATTAATATATATTCTATTCTGAAATATATCTGGTCTTTGAAATCATTAGTCGGACGCGTCACTTTTTATTGCCCGTAAATAATTTATGTGTACATGTTTCATTACAGTGATGCACGCACGAATATTGAAGATACCAGCAATTTCTAAAAATTTCCATTCAATTTTTTTCTAATTGTGAATCTGTAACAGTTTGGGGTGACATACTCCCATCAATTAATCGACCTTAATTTGATGATTCAGAACTGCTCATTATTCCAAGAATATTTTTTTACTCAATAATTATCCCGTCAAGTTACAAAGTTTTTCTCATTTATTAAGCGAGACTAGTTAGTTCTACTAATTCCCCGTTTTTATATTCAATGAAATAAAAATTTTGCTGGTTTTACAAAAGAAAATCTATTTAGATACCTGATTTGATTTATCTTAGATTGAATTGATGTAATGAGCTAAATTAAATCCAAAACTTTTTTAATACCCAACTAGTTTCTAACAAAAGCAAAAAAACGAAACCCGCAGTGCTTTTATCGAATATTTTATCGTGTAATAAACACAGGAATTTTTTGTTGGAGCGTTGATACATACAAATTTTGTTACAAAACTTGCGCTGATTGAAAGAACGTTTGCTGTGGGCAGCGCAATAAAAAAAACAATTTATAAAGCTGTGTTTCATAAACATGTAGATCGTGCCGGAGGTAGTTATCATTCGTGAGGGCGTGTCACTGTGCTGACATAATTAATCAGATGGCATTGTCCTAAATGTATTTCATATTAATAATATTTTCGAATAAATAAAGTTAAAAAGGGAAAAAAGAGAAAATGCGCAAGCATCAAATAATAACAAATAACAACTCAACTTTCGACTTGTAAATTATGTTTGAGTTTACATGTTTGCTAATTTGTTGTAATTTTGGATATTACCAAACATAATAATTCAAACTTTCATTCACTTCAATTAATTTTTTTTGATTACTTTTTGGCTTCTTTTCAATCTACAGCAGGCTAGCACTTGTAAATCTTTCAGCTATAATTAGAGCTGAGCTTGGAAGCACGCAAAATGTGTTTTTGTCAAATCAAATCAAATCAAAGCCAAGTGAAGGCGAGGAAAAGAATTGAATAAACACGAGAACACTATAGCAAAAAACCTCTGCCACAATGCCAAACGACGCCCTGAAATTATATATAGTGGCTAAATTGCTGCCAATCAGTTATTTATCGCCCAATACACAACCCCGAAATGTACATTTGCATAATTAAAGCGATTGATATTAAATATTCATCTTGATAGTGCCATATTCGTGTAGGGTCGGACGCGTTTACACGTCATGAAATTATTTTTGCGGAATTAATTGAGGTTGAACTTAAAGTTGAAGGTAAGAATTTTGCACGTTTTTGCAAAAATCCACGTAGTAACAAAATAATATATCAAAAAAATACTCACTATCACTAACTTGTGTTCCCCTCCTCGAAGAAAACGCCGTTTTGTGTGCACTTGGCAATTCCAATTCAGAAATATGGTCCTTATAATACTTTGCTGATCTCTGTCTGTTATCTAATGCTGACGGATCGGCTCCGGCTATCTTCAAAAACTTTTGCATAGCACTTACGTTAGTACACATTGGCGTGTAGTGATACGGCGTGCGTCCTTCCTAAAAATAACATTAAAATTTAAGAAAAGATGAACACAAAATCATTAATTTATATTTACCGCATCTTTAGACTGAACAGCACTCGGATAATTCCTAATAATCCATTCAGATATACTCTTCAAGTCATAATAAATGGCTTTGTGTAACAATCCAACCCCAGCGTCGTCTTTGGCAACGATCAGTCTCTTTCTAGTCTTTTCATTTTCGTCATCCAACAGCGCCTGAAGTTCATCCAGGCGGCCGCTGTTGACGGCATCGTGCAGCAAGCTTATCTTACTCTGAAACAATTAATTAAGCACTTTATATAAATTGCAATCGCACGAGTGGAACGCAGTTATCTTTATATCTTTATTTGTGTCAACACGTCTGGCAAAAATTTGAATAAAACGAAAATTGCATGGTTGCATGACTATGATTGCATTATGTATGAATGAATCAAATCTACAACGTCTAGCAGAGTTTATTGTTGCGAATTTAGTAGAGTATACGAAACGGAAAAATAAACTATGATGGATTTTCATATTTACGTTTCCGTTCGTAACTTTCGTTACGTTTTAAATAAAGTCTTCAAATGTGGAGACTTTGAGAGAAATGACCTTGCGACTTGCGAGTTTCATTATGTAAATTCTCTTCATGTTTCGTGATGTGTACTTATTTTATTGTAACAAATGTTTAGTTATATGAACTGCTAACGTGTCAAAACGTGTTGGATATTGTTTTTTATTCGTTTCATGTTTGCGTTTCAAAGATGTCCTTCGGTTTTTCTCTATAAAAGCGTCAACACTTTGTGTAATATTCTTAAAAAGTGAGAATGAGTTCGGAGTAATCGAATTTCATGTGAATTGAAATCGCCTGCTGTTCAGAATTGATTGGCACTTTCATGAGAATAACACATTACGGATTCAATGAAATAGACAGTCGTCTCGTCGAATCGCTTTAAATATTTGAAATTGTCGTAAACTCGACACTTATATAAATCGATATATTGATTGAATTGGTGGCGAATAAAAAAATAAAGATAGAGATAATAGATAGTGTTTACTTGCCATTAAAACGGGTAAATTCTTCAAAAAATTCTTGACCTTCGGATCCGGTGAGCTTTCGGTCAACAACTTCCTGCCTTGGCCCTCGTAGACCAAATTTTCCAAGCGTTCCACATCACCGGATCGTATCAGTTGTTTTAAATGCGCTGAGTTGAGCGATAATACTGTAAGAAATTCCGACATTGTAAATTCACTTTATTAAATAGAATATAAAAAAATTATGCTCGATTTTTTATATAAAACGTGTAAACTTTTGAGGAAACAAAGAGAACTGAAGGTGTATAAAGCCAAAACAAAACTGAGACCATGCTAGAAATTTATTTAGTAAAGCAGTCGATGAAATTTGAATATTTTGCAAGACATAGGGGCGAGTGTTCATCAGCTGTGCTAAATTATAATAGAAATTGTATTGATAACCCCATGCATTATCTAGCAGAGAGAGAAATGTAGAAAGCTTGTTCATTTCAAATAATCATAGAATACACTTGAACACATCGTGAACAACACTTCATGAATATCAATATTAGTGTTATGTTAGCAAGATTGCACAAGGTTACACAAGGGTATAATTTGCATGCCAAATATATAAATGATATCCTTATATGTACCTAACACAGGGTGATATTAACATTTGGGCATTCTTATGATCCGTACAAGAAAATATTGATTTGTGTACAACTAAATTATGCTGGTGCTAATTAATTATTAACGCTCTGATGTCTCGAAAGTGATTAATGCCAAAACGTGTTGACTGTTTAACCCGCGCAATGCTTCATCAAATTTGTAACGACTTTCGGCACTTGCAGGCCAAGCCCATATTACTTCAATCATTGTTTTTTCACACCTCGCATTTCTCATGTCATAACTCGCGGCCAGCCTAATGAATTCCACCCTGTTATTCATATTCATATAAAAACTTAATTATCACGTACACGAACAATTACTAATTCTCGTAATGTGTTGATGTCATGTATGTTATTAATTTTAATTTTTTGTCGTAATTTGATTAAGGTTGGGTGGGTCACTGATGTGTTTAAGGATAATTACTAATGATTTTGTAAAATTAGTAAGGCTTGCGTAATTTAAAGAAAGTACATGTATTAAGGTAAATTATGACGTCCAAACATTCCAGGAGGGTGTAATTTGTGCGACAATGCCCGATCGTTGACATGAGTCCTTTATCCTAGAAAACTAGTATCCGAAGAGAAGACTGTAACTGACATTAACTTTAATAGACTAATAATCAAAATAAAAAGGTGGAATATTTTTTAAAGAAAATACAACGCAATTTACCTAAAGTCGTAGTAAATTATCGATTATTTAGCTTATTGAGCATATGCACCAATGAAATCTGCCTCATTTCAATGTACTACAACCATAGAAATACTTAATGCATGTTAGCAGGCGTTAAAATGTCGCTTTGCATACCATAACTCAATAGGGGTCTCTTTACTGCATGCCTTCCGACTATTGCGTTGCAATCGAACGAGCAACTTCGCTAATTGCAGTTAAAAGAAAACGGTACCTGGTGGGTAATGGAGGCGAAACGTTATAAACCTACGTTATGCACGCAAAATGCCCACGGTGTTATTTATCGGCGCGCCCTTATCGTAATTATACACACATGCGTTTATTAAAAACCATTGTGCACAATACAGTTGCGAGTACTTCCAGGGAAAGATAAAAAATATAAAATGTTATAAGTACTCCCATGAAGAATGGAACAAACACTATGCATACCTAGTTCTTGAAAACAAACAAAAACTTATGGCTGTGTTATAGGTATACGAGTATGAGTAGTGGAATAAGATAATCGTATTATTTCAGATACGACTTGAAGGCGTTGATAAATGTATAAATTTATCAAATGTAAAAAATAAAACAGAAGTTTATTTATATGATTATATATTAATACAAACAAAATTTGTTCATTTTTTTAAATTTATTTTTAGCATTTTGTGGTTAGAATGTACCCAAACAAGTTAGGCAACAATTGGGACCAACATAACCTTATCTTGACTGCGCAATTCAATTCAAACCTATGCAACCTACAAAACACCAATTTATTTATTTTTGAGTGAAGTTATATTTAGCATTATTCTACGCAGTTTCCTGGAGTAGAATTAAATTATGCATGTGTAAATGCACTTCAACTCGTGTATGTGTAATTATTCACGGAAGAAAACACGATTGTCAATAATACGACGTGTCTTCGTCCATGCATGCAATCTAGACACACACGTACTAAACAGAATTGCAAATCGATCACTTTGATCGGCATACATTCATCGAGAATGTTCCCATTGTAAGAAACTTAAGTAAACAATGCACGAGGTAGCGCCTGATATAAACGCATAATGAGAAATTCAAAGAACGTAAATGTGTTTACGTGGTAAGTAGGTGTATTCGAGAAATTGAATTTTGCATTATTAATTATCTTTCGTGATAAATGTTTTCATATTTTAACAACACTTTAGAATCAAAGTGTTGGAGGTTAAGTGGTTAATACTCGTAAATCTAATGGGTAAATAAAAAAATAAATACAAAACAGTATGATAGTCAAAAATAAGAAACGTATATTCTTGTTTAAGGGGCGGTAACAATGTAAAAAGAACTAGGCATTACCCAAGTCAATTAATTTACCCAAAAATTGTCTTTTTTTTGAAACAACAAAAATTCTAACTGGGTATTATAAGAATGCAATATTTCATATTCAGACATATAAGAACCTATCCTCAGATGTCACTCAATTCTTTAACTGAGGTATGAAATGATTGACATTTCTATTCCAACAATACCCTCAACATAGAACATCAACAAAATGAATACAGATTTAGGCTAAACAGTATTGTAGGGTCGTTGAACAACTCCATTGTTATATGTATACTTATAATAAGTATGTAGTTGTTGTTCCATAGTGTCGTAAAACATGTGCTAGTTTATTTTACCATCACAGGTGTTTTTATAAATTGGCTGCAGCACTTAATTACGACAAAACAATCGACATAGTGCATGCCTTTCGAGTTTTTATGATTAATGGATGCGTTCAACGACTCCTGTTGTTCTGTTAGTTTGGTAATACCTCTACAATAAAATACTATACTGTATAAATATAATGGTACCAAATATTCCATAGTTCTCTGGGTTTTATTAACCTAATTATACATGATACGTAAAACTATAAAATAAATGTGTGAGATTGTGGATATTGAAATTTGTTTCGATAGTTTCTCCACTATCATTATATCAGACATCAGTCCTGCATTCGTACAATGACTTTTGAACCACTTTTACCACCTTCGATAAAGCTCGATTGTTAACATGTGTACCTAACTGCAATTATAGGTTTCTATTAGTTTATTACAGTCAGGAAATAAGTAATATGTATTTAAGTTTATAAAAATAAAATAAAACAATTAATATCTTTATTAAAGGAAAAATATTTTTAGTAAATGCACACGATGTAGTTATTCATGACCTGAATAACTTCATAGAGATTACTATCAATGGCATTAAAAGTGACACCATGAAAATGTGATAAATGGAAAGTGCACATTGACGTGTTCGAATCGCTATCGTGAAAAATCTCATAACCTAAATTCTATTTAGTTCCTAAGTAGAAAAATAGGACTCGACTTGGTTTACAACAAATTACTCGGACAATGCAGGAAATCGATATTTTAATGTAAATTGAAGCTCGTGTTTTGTTTAACAATTTTATTAAATTGACCGTTGGCTAAGTATAGAAAAACCACAAACCACACACGAAAATAATCAATTTAACAATCACAACAGACAAAAGACCAATTAATATACACTAAAAGTCCAAACCACACATGAATTAAACATCATCAATAAAACAAACAAAAATTACCTCTTGGTGGGCTGGAGTGCACGTACAGACCATTCATTTGCTTCAGTCTGTACGATCGATTCGCATGCTGTGAATGCTTTCGACTCGGCACAGGCATTATGTTATCCAGATATTACCATTCAGATGATTTATCACGCGATATATTATAATCAACTTCAAAATGCACTATGACAATATTTTTTTACCAAATTACTGTAATCAATTTATATAAATTTATATTAAAATAAGAACGATTTAACGAGAAAAGACAGCACAAAGACTAGAAGGACAAAAATTACATTTGTACGCACACAACAGACACAAGAAGAAGAAAAATGCAGAGTTTTAGAATAGAATACAATATTTACGACACAAACAATGAAAATGCTATGAAATATAATTACAGAATTTATTATTGCATGTTGGTAATATATTACCATAAATGCATAACTAACGGATTAATGAAAAGGACAATCTCTCACCCACGGCAAATAAAAATATTCGTATTGATTTTTAAAGAAATTTTCCATATTTATGCACGCAAATTTAAATTAATATTAGATAGCTATAATAAAATGCATTTATATAGTTTATATTGTTATGAATATTTTATTTACTATGAATACTTGCATATTTTAACATAAATATCTATTGAAAATATAAAATAATTCATTTTTTAATATCTCCACAATGAATTATTGTGTTTTAATATAATTTTAATAATTTAATGAATAAATTACACTTTCACAGGTTTTCGGCTCTAATCTCATGTAAAACGTCTTAATTTTAAAATATAGCATAAAAACTAATTTGTATGATTTATTCCTGGGTTGTGATTAATCCAATACTATAAAACGTTTAAGAAGTCAACGAAGCGACAAGGCTGTTTGTTTCATGGAACCGCCTGTGGCTAAAGGTTACGTCGCACATAAGGTGCGTGCAGATTTATCAGCAATTTCATCCGGAATATGTAACTATAATATACGGCGAATACAAACGGAAAACGAAAATGCGGCGGTTCAAGAACCATGCAAATAATCCCAACACAGTCAGGTTTCAACGTTTCAAGTTCAAGCGCGCCTTGCGATTACGCCATTATTTCGCTCACACCAGGTTACAGGTTACACAATTATTGCTAAAAACTCGCCAGCGGGGGTGGCGGATAGAACAAAAAATGCGCAGACACTATTACTACTACACTGCGGGGTATTATTATGACCGCACGACACAAACGAAACTTAATTAAATATTTTACCTTGAAATTTCAATCAGATTGATCCAAAAGAAAATAATACGAATACTAGTAGTGCTAGTATAAAATATATTGTAGGTGAATGATGAAGAAAGTATAGTTTAGTATATATCTTATAGTTTTAGGTTTTAATTCATGTGTTTTGACTTGCTTTCAGTTTTACGACGGCATAAAACGCGTGTTTTTTTTAATGACGGTTTTAATGATAGGCAAAATAAATTGCAGAGTGAGGGGTGATTAAAACGTCTCGTTACTTACCCCTGGTAAGTAGTTAATGAGTTAAAAGTTTATATATCATACCTACGTTCGTGGCTTTGTAAATTGAATGTTTTAGGTTTAAGCATGTTGTTATAATGTTCCTATGTTAGTGCTTATAAATTTAATGCAAAAATGTACACCCTAACGCCTTCTAGGCCTAAAATATAAAGTTATGTTTAAGAAGAGATGCGCTCACTCACACCCATAAGAACCTGTATTCTGTCCATTTGAGTGTCGTCTACGTTCACCATTACACCAAAAATGTGATAAACGTCCTATTCAACAATGTAAACAAATTCTTCGTGATGAAGGAAAAATATTGTAATATTCAGAAATAAAATAATTGCAACATTCAATAATTACTTCTAGGCCAATTGATGAATAAAGTTTAAAATTGCTATTAAAATCTGAAATGTAAATATGTTCTTAAATGACCGGTTGAATTCAAAACAAAGACCATCTCGCGCGGCATTGATAAGAAATATTTATCATAGCGTGCGAACTCGCACCGATACATCTATCTCCATTCCGAACAAGTCTTAACTTGTCGTATTGAATAATTTCATGCAAAAATGTGTATCTTGACGCCATCTAAGCTTAGATAAGAGAAATATATTTAAGCAATATGCGCACTCACTGATACAAACAAGCATGCGACGTATGAGCTCACACCACACACACACACACACACACACAAGTGAAGTGTGTATGTGAGATATCTCTTCTCCAGCAATCGAAATAATTTCTCCTTTGCAAAATATTGTAGTAGCAATACAACAAATAAGTTAAAAACGAAACAAATAATTTATTTACTTCACTTTAATTTAATGACTAATTTTATTTTTATATGCATCAATTAATATTAATTTCTAGCAGAATTGATGAATGAACGTTTAAACTTGCTGTGAAAATATAAATCCGATTTTGTGTTGTTTTTAAATTAGCAAGCGAATGCAAAATTGTAAACAAACACAATCTTCTGCGAACTTGATCAGAAACATTTATCCTTCCGCGTGAACTGATACGTCTCGCTGTATTCTCAACAAGTCTCAACATGTTGCATTGAATAATTTAATGTAAAAATGAGCATCTTGACGCCATCTGGGCTTAGAATATAGAGATACTTTTAAGTAAGATGCGTACTCACTGATACACAAACCCAACTCACACGGACACGAATTCTAATAGTTTACAGTTTAAAATAAGTTTAAAACTTCTAAAAAAAAACTTTAAACATTTTATTCAACTAAATGCAAATAATCATATTAATTGTCTTATAGTCTTATTTTTAATTAAATTGTCTAAAATTATAGTAGTACGCCCTATAACTATTCGTCCTTGTTAAAGAAATAATTAATCAAGTGGCATGACTCTCTTTGAAACCGCCCTAAACGAAGATCTATTTGTCAAACTAAAATTACACCGAAAAACAACCAAAAATAACTTTCATTGACTCAATTTGTTATTTATTATGTGAATTGAACTTACATACCTACGTCGGTTTCCATTTTCTACTATTTTACTATAAATTATACGTCTAATATAAAGTAAGTAACTAACAATATGATAATGCACAAATATAAGACAATTACACACACATAGTAAGAAGTAGAGTGCAACATATAAAAGTATAGAGTAAAGTATCGATAGGAAATAGGTAGAAGATAATATTTACCAATAAACAGATGTTATTACCAGTGATGACGTTAAATTTTAATTATTTATTATAATTTTAGATTTTGTAGGCAATATTTGACCGAACGGAAATAGTTTGTTCATCAATAAGTAATAATATTCACCAATTCACCGCCTCTTTCATGATTCACCATTCAAATTGACATTTATGTCCACTTAAAACACCGGTCACAATTGTCTTATTATATCCGATAATAATTTTCTCGCGTATGTGTATTTTTATCCAACGAAAAGTTTTTAAACATAATTTATACCGAAGCGTGGGTGTAGTGATCGAAAGCACGCGTCGGTTAGTTATTAACGGTTAACACACGAGCGGATGGGTGTCGTTGCCGCGTTGGATCGCATTGGATCGGCGAAACAGAAACTGTAAAATTTATTCGTCCCGGATTCGGCGGCGGAAAAGGAACGCGAGACGGGCGCGGGAAATCGTCGCGTGAACGACAACTCCTTCGCTGCGACCATGTGCGAGTGCCGCTCTACACAGCGCAGTGGTGGCGGTGGAGGCGGCGTGAGTGGCACATGAGCACGCGGCGCACGAGGCCATAATGCGCTGCAATTGTTATTGTAGACAAAAGGGTTGGTTTTTCTTGCGTCTTTGCGTCGTCTAATGAATGGCTATTGCTTATTGAATGTATTGTAAACCGAAGCTAAAATTAACTTTAATTGTGTGTGTTTCTGCTTGGTTTTGACTACAATACTATTGAGCATGTAATTTGCATGATTCTAGATATTTAGATTAGAAAATTTATTTATAAAACCAATTTGATTTTTTAAATTTTCCTGAATAATTATGTAATCAAGTTGCATAATAATCGCGTTTACACATTATTTCTTTTAAAACTAATTATAACTGACCATTAAATTATAGCGTATGAATTTTAGTTGTTATATATTGAAAAAATTAAACAAACAATGGTAATTCTTCGAATAATTGCCAAGATGGCATTTAAAAAACTCGATTAGCAAAAAATAAAATTAATGCAAAGTTGATAAAGTATTACAATGGACGCGTGGTGTGAGTTTGTGACTTATCAACTAACGAATTCGCATTATTTGTGTCGCACAGGCAAGACCAATTCAAGAGATCGCATAAATATGCAAATTTGTTGTAATGCGAGATTATTACAGCGTTCATTATGCACAAGTTAATTGCGCCACTAGACTTATACAACGTAGCTAGTCCGAATTGCGATGTGGAAAAGTCGAACACGATTTTCAGTCATTCTAATCAGTAATTAGCTGTATACGTACTTTAAATTTCCATACTTGCCCCTAATACGCATTGACGTAGTGCGTAAGTTTAGAAAACATATCAATAATTTATTAATTATGATTGTATAAAAAGAAATTTGGGTTAAAAGAAAAAGAAAAAATAATTATCTCGATAATGGACTTTGCATTATACATTTTTAAAGAGGTATCATGTTTCTTAAGGAGGAAAAAAAGGTCATGTAGATCAATTCAAGCTTTCAAGCTTGCAATGAATTATTCAGAACCAACACGGGGATCGAAAACGATAGAATAACACTTTTGGATATCATTGGGTACCCAAACTGTTTTCAAAAACAAATAAACATCTCTTTATTAATTGAAACATACAAACATTGATTTTCCACTTTGGAGGTGTTTTACAAGCCAATTTTCTGGAATAGCAATATATTTATTTATTCAAAATGAAAAATATTGCGCAAAACATGACATTTATTGTTATCTACCCTTCATTATCGGGTGGTGTGCATGACAGCATGCACGAAAGTACCGAACACATTATAAAAGCGAACACGGTCTAATTTATTTTGTCCTATTTTATATCGAAACGAGTCCGCGCTACATACTCATCGCGGGCACAATAGCATAAACATAATGGCGTGCCATTGATTAATCGATTTTAACAACACGGTATATTTATTATTGTCCTCTTCTTTGTGGATTGTTATTATTATTGCCTATCATGCTTATTATCAGTGAAAATTCACTTTCAAACTTTCAATTTTAATTTACTTTAGAGTTGATTTATATTTTTTGACAGTGGCGATTTTCTTTTCTAATTTTATTTCAACTTGCGCTATAAAATGTTACAATTATGATTGAATATATAAATTGGCACACCTTGCAAAAATATATCCTCGTAGACAATTTTTTATACCTTCGTTTGCAATCATTTCAAGACGCAACATAAAACATTGCACATTAGTTTTGTTTTATTCTTGTACAAGTAATAATACAATTTAATCATGAAGTTTTTGATAAACTTGTTACTTTGTGCTGCTATTATGCAACTTTCTGTCTGTGTATTTGATAATGGTAAATATAAAACAACTGTAGTTTAAAACAAACTTTTAACTGTTATTGTCCAACAGAAATCAATTTGGAATGCATTGGAAAACGTTTTGAAAATGTTACGTTAACTGCGTATTATCCAGACATTGATGACGAGTCACATGAAAACGCATATCAGGACAAAAAAGGACATAAACTGAGAACATTGCAGGTGAGTTATCATAACACGCTAACTTTTATATCGACTAATATTATTACTTTTAAATAAAATGTAGGATTTTATGGATGATCGCAATCAATACGTCACCATATCCATGGATCCAGATTTAGGAATACCTTACGGGACTTCCGTTTGCATTCCAGAGTTAAATGTTCATTTTGGACATCGAATTCGTGCGCAAATTCGTGATTCCAGCAGCGACTTAAAGGGCACTGGATTTACCCGGGCAGAAATTTGTGTTAGAAGTGAGAGTGATAGCTATGACACTACTGTAAATCGATATGTTACTTTAGTATTTGAAAAGAAAGTGTGAAATTCATATCCGAACTTTTATAACAATAAAAATTATAAATTTATAATGCGTAATTTCAAATATTTGTAACAAAAATTACAATTTTGACTAGTTTAGTTAGTTGAATCAACGACGAAGTTTGTTTTTAAAGATTATCGGAACTGATTTCAACGTGTTGATGTTTTTTCGTCGCATAACAACTTCCAGAACCACTTTACAATAATAAGATTGCAGTAGAATTATTTTCAAGGCTGTGGAACATAGCTCGACATCTCTGATTTACATGCGAAATTATTCTTGGCGTAGTGGCGGTAATTTTCGAATGCAAACACAATAATTTTTCAAATTGCTTACATATTGCAATCAATAACGTGACAACATTAGATTCATTCGTAATTTTATATTCTAAGTTAAATGCAAAATATGATCAAGTAAACGCACACACGTTGCCAGTGGATTTTGATAAAACACGTGTGTTTTGTTTTGTTTGAGTTGAGTGTTCAAACATCACTCATTTGCAAATTCTAATTTTTTAAATAATATTAAAGTGAAAGTAGTAATCATGTTCACATTTGGTTTTTCGGACGATGGCACCGAATCGGACTGTGAAACAGAAAAGCACAATTTTGGTAATTATTAAAACTAATAACCTCAAAGCACAAATATTGGTAAATTAATAAATTAATTTGTAGAACTTCCTGAGAAGACAACACCTTCATGGAAAGAGTGTGAAGAAATCCCCATTGGTCCAAATCTGCTACATTCAGAACTTTTTGATGAACAAAGTGATTATATGTTAAAGATTGAATTTGAAGATACATTTGTTAGCGAAATGCGTAACGTAGGCAACCAACAACACAACATACATTACATTATTTTTCCCGCGTAACACCGGCACTGCGTGCGCCCGGTGCAGTAGCTAAGTACAAGCAGAGCGCAGCAGACGCAGATTAAGAGACGCCTTATTCAATAAACGCTATTCAACATTCTTTACAATTACAAGTGCTCATTGTTTCATGCTTATCTTTATCACCTGCCCTCACAAGTGCCACACCTAACATCTCAGAAGTGGGATGAACAGGTAAGACGTGAGACTTGAGCATTATTGAGAGCATCCTGCGCGAGGCAGCCTAGTTTTTTCCGCGCCAACGGAAATCTTGAGGTTAGAACACGTGCCGAAGGGGCACAACGGAACGCACGAGTAACGGCCAACGTCCCGGCCAACGACGATTCGCGCGAGTATCCCCGAGAAGCCGAAAGACGTTCTACATCCACGATGGGCGATGATGGAAACGAAGCTGGTGCGTCGCAACAACCGATGCCACCACAACCTGGCACGGACGCCGCCACCCTGGCCGGCGTGATGCAAATGTTCAATACGTTAATGCAGTCGATGGCAATGGCGCAGCGCCCATCGCCACCGGCCACCACCTACCATAGTGCACCGGGTGCACAGTCCGGACTTACGACGTTCGACGCGAAGAAGAGTGCCTCAGAGTGGTTGGCATCGCTACGCCGCCAATGCCAACTACATCAGTGGAACGACGCGTACGCGCTAGAGGTTGTGCGAACGCATCTCGCTGGAGGACCCGCCGTATGGTTCCAGGATCTGCAGGGCGTGCACACGTTAGTCGATTTTGAAGCCGCCTTCACCAACACCTTCATCCAACAAGACAGTTTTGCTACTCGTTGGAAGCGGATGGAAAGTTATGTACAATCCAAAGACCTTGATATTACTGATTACTTTTACAACAAACTTCATTTATGTGCAGGGTTGGAATTGAGCCTGGAGGAGAAGAAGGAACAACTGCTTATTGGGTTGTATGATAAGCAGCTGTGCACAGCCATGATGGCACAACGTCACGCCGACACCAACAGCCTGTACCATGACTTGCTGAATTATTTGCGTGTGCACAAGGCTCGTGAGGAGCGCTTGTTTCCTTCTCCCAGGAGTCAATCAACCCATGCACCACGTGTGATGGATTCCTATGGTGCGCCCATGAAGAAACCATCAGAAGTAGGGCGGTCCGCAACCCCAGCACCGCCACAGCCGACTACAAGTCGAGTCATGAAATGCTTCAACTGCAACAAGGAGGGACACCTCGCCAGAGATTGCCCTATCCCACCAAAACCACGCGGACTATCCAAGCCCGAAACCCGTCCAGCGGAGACAGCCGCAAAGAGTAATGGACAAGTAAAGATCATTACTTCGCAAGACAATGATGGTGTGCTCAAATACTTGAAGCCAATCACATGCAACGGAATGGCGTTCCAGAGCTTGATTGATCCAGGAAGTTCGGAGTGCACCCTGAAGGCGTCGCAAGCCATCGCCGCAGGCTTTACCATTCAGCGCAAGGAGACCTTGCTGAAGGCATTTGGTCCCGCAAACCATGTTGTCAAATCTCCCGGATTTGTCACGGCGGATGTTGCCATCGATGGTGTGGTTCTCTCAGAAATAGTCTTTAGCATCGTTCCGGACGACGTTCAGAGCGTGGACGCCATCATCGGTCGACCATTCACCGAGAACCCGTCTATCGTCTACATGCGCATTGATGACGACCTGATATTTACGTACCGGAGTGATGATCCGTTCTCGGCTTTGGAAGTCGAGGCGAAGAAGCGCGCGTCAAATCGAGTGACGACGGAAGCGAACATTCCACCACGTTCCGTAAACCTGGTAGAGGTTGTCTCAGGTACGGAAACGCATGCTTTTCCACTGATCAATTGGGCGGTTGAGCCCACTCATGTATCTCAGAACACGAGTCTGTTTCGGGGCGAGGTACTGAATTTGGAGCAAGCTGAGCCCCGCCAGCAACCCATTCCACTCGAGGTCATCAACGTGGACGACAATTTGGATACGGACACAGTGAACGAGCTGCATGGCCTCCTCAACGAGTTCCGCGATACCATTGCGATCGATTCCTCCGAGTTAGGATGCACAACGGTCCTACAAATGGACATCACCGAGGTGCCGGGCAGTCAACCCGTGCGCCAGAAGCCTTACAGATGTAGTGCCGATGAGCGCGAGGCGCTCAACACCATCATCAACGAATACAGAGATGCAGGTCTAGTCACCGACACGACCTCACCATACGCCAGCCCTGTACTGCTGGTGAAGAAGAAGACTGGGGAGTACCGAATGGTTGTCGACTATCGACGGTTGAACAACCAGACCGAACCATTGCCATTTCCGCTGCCCGACATGGATGAACATCTGACACAGATTCGCGATGCAAGGTACTTCACGACACTTGATTTGGCTCATGGTTACCTCCAGGTACCATTGTCGGAAGAAGCACGCAGAAAGACAGCTTTTATTACTCCGGACCAAACGGGTGAGTTTACCAGAATGGTATTTGGCTTGACCAATGCCCCCCTCGTACTTCTCAAAACTAATGCAAAAGGTTTTGGGACCTCTCCGTAATGACACGGTGATGTACTACCTTGACGACATCCTCATACCTGCGCGTGATTGGAAGGACATGCGAGTCAGGTTAACCAAGACCCTGATGGCGTTGAGAGGTGCCGGATTAACGCTGAGGATCGAAAAATGCTACTTCATGCAGGAGCGTGTGGAGTATTTAGGGTTCATTCTGAGTGCCGATGGCATCGAGCCTGGCCCCGCGAAACTACGAGCGATCTCGGAGTATCCTGCGCCTACAGATATCCACCAGCTACGGCGTTTCCTGGGAATGGCTAGTTTCTTTCGCCGTTTTATAGCCAATTTTGGTTCCAGGGCCGCCATTTTGAACAAATTGCTCCGCAAAAACGAATCTTACATTTGGACGTCTGCCCATGATGCTGCCTTTATGGATTTGAAGACCGCTCTGACGCAGAGCCCGGTACTCAAAATCTTCGACGCGAAACGCCCGACCTACTTGCATACAGACGCGAGCAGCCAAGGCCTGGGTGCTATGCTGTTACAGAAACACGATGACAAACTTCACTTGGTCTATGCAGTAAGTCGCAGGACTAGCGATGTTGAATGTAATTACCACTCGAGTAAACTCGAACTGCTGACCGTGGTATGGGCCGTCGAGAAACTCCGACATTATCTCATCAATATTCCGTTTACTGTGGTCACCGACTGTCAGGCGATTGTGTTTCTGAATACTGCCAAAACAAAGTATCCACAAGTAGCAAGGTGGTTCAACATGTTGTGTGAATACAACTTCAAGGTAGAACATCGTCCTGGCGAAAAGATGATACATGTTGATGCGCTGAGTCGCGCACCAGTGTCAAACGAGGGTGAGACTCCCGTCGAGAATCTGATCACCCGAAACGTGTTCACGATACTTTCCTTGGAGGAGGAAATAGTACTGTACCAACGATCTGACGAGCTACTCAAACGCAAAATCGAGTTACTCAACAGGCAGGTACGTACCGCAAGCGAGAGTTCGGAAGTAAATGGTTACGTACTTCAGCAAGGCATTCTCTATAAGCAAATTCAAGAGGATGAGACTCAAAGGTTGATCTTTGTCGCCCCAAAGGCAATGCGAAAGAGCCTAGTAACAAAGTATCATGACCTACAAGGACATTTTGGCGTCGAGCGCACAGTAGCCAAGATCCGACGCCACTACTTCTTTCCGAAGATGACACAGTATGTCAAACAGCACATAGCCAGTTGTATTGAATGCATCATCCTGAAAAACAAAAGTGGGAAGAAGGCCGGCGAACTTCACCCTATTCCCTCGGGGCGCCGCCCTTTGCTGTCATCCATATTGACCACGTTGGTCCTTTTGTTGAGAGTACGTCTCACAAACGCTATGTACTAGTAATCGTCGACAATTTAACCAAATTCGTCCGATTACACGCTACCAAAACGACGAAAACTCCGGAGGTTATCAAGGCCCTCTCAGCGTTCGTGCAGGACTTTGGAGCCCCAGAGCGTATCATCAGCGATCGTGGTACTTGTTTCACCTCGTCCACCTTCGCCGAGTTCTGCAATCAGCATGGAATAAATCACACGCTCAATTCACCACGACATCCGCAGGCTAACGGTCAAGTAGAACGCGTGAACCGTACGCTTCTACCACTGCTAAGAAATTGCAGCGAAGATAACAAATGGGATAAGGAACTAAAATCCACGGAACGAGATTTAAACACCGCAGTTAACAAGACTACAGGAAAAACGCCCTTTGAGGTAGTGTTTGGGTACGCACCAAGATTAAACGATGGTGTAACACGTTGCCTCACCGTCAACGAGGAAACGTACGAGTCCCCTAGCGATTTACAAAGAAAAGTCAGAACTCGACTGGAAAAGGAAAAGCAAAATTACAAGCGCCAGTTCGACGCCAAAAGATTATTAAATGTCCACTATGACATAGGCGATATTGTATTTATGAAGACAAATAGTGTTGCAACGGGTGACTCTACTAAACTGCAACCCCGTTACAGAGGACCGCTCAAGGTGTATGAAGTGCTCCCCAATGACACATACCGCGTAATCAATCTGAACGAAGAGGAGCCTGGGAAGCTGTACGCGACAACAGCACACGTCAGCCAGCTCAAAATCTGGCGACCCAATCAAGCTGACGACGTTGCAGGAGAAGAAGTTCCGGCAAGTGGAAGCGCCACTGCCGAGGTGAAAACGTAAGGAAGAGCTCACGAGTCACAAAGGTTCCAGCCCGCTTCGCAGCATACACACTCGAGGACGAGTGAGAGTCAGGACGGTCGAGTGTTAGCGAAATGCGTAACGTAGGCAACCAACAACACAACATACATTACATTATTTTTCCCGCGCAACACCGGCGCACTGCGTGCGCCCGGTGCAGTAGCTAAGTACAAGCAGAGCGCAGCAGACGCAGATTAAGAGACGCCTTATTCAATAAACGCTATTCAACATTCTTTTACAATTACAAGTGCTCATTGTTTCATGCTTATCTTTTATCACCTGCCCTCACAAGTGCCACACCTAACACATTTGTGATTAAACATGTGTCACCTGAAATTGTTGCTGAAATCATTTGTAAAACTCAAAATGCAGATGATACTATTGTCAAGGCAGAGCAGCAGCATTCTGATTTAGTGCCTGCTGTATATGAGGGAGGATTGAAAATTTGGCAATGCACTTATGATATTCTAAATCATTTGTATCAGAAAGAAATCAACTTTAAGGGACAAAAAGTTTTAGATTTGGGCTGTGGTGCTGGCATTTTAGGTTTATATGCATATAAACAAGGTGCAAAAGTTTGTTTTCAAGATTATGTAAGTATAATTATCTGAATAATACTTATATTATTAGAAACATTTGAATTTTGCACATTTGTGTTATTATTTTTAGAATCCTGAAGTTTTAAAACATGTAACAATTCCAAATGTACTCTTAAACAACAGAGAAGATACAGATACTCCAAAAGATTGCCGTTTCTTCTCAGGTGACTGGCAATCTTTCATTGAAGTGACTGCAGAAGAATTTGACAGTGATGATAAATTGTTTGACTGTATATTGACTTCAGAGACTATTTACAACTGTGAAAACTATGTAAAACTGAATCAAGTGTTTAAAAGCAGACTAAAGAAATCTGGAATTATGTAAGTATTCACAATATATCCTTGTGAAAGAAGTTCATTAATATGCATCTAATATGCAAATGCAATTTTAGTTATTTGGGCGCCAAAACATGTTATTTTGGAATTGGAGGTAACATGAGATGTTTTGAAGATATGATTAAAGCTGATGATATTTTCAAAATAGAAAAAGTGTGGGAGAATACAGAAGGTGTAAATAGGGAAATAGTTACTTTGAAGTTTAAATAATAATTGTTTACATATATTCAGGTAAACTTCGAATATTTGAAATCATCTCTATACATAATAAACTTTCTTGTTTTAAACTTGATTATGGGGCTAAACGTTGATATAACCAACCATCTTCACCAGCAAAACTTAATTTATTGTCAGGTGATTCGTTGGCTTGCGGTTGGTAAAATTTAATACGATCGTGAATTCTATCAGTTTGTCCTTGCCAAAATTCGATTGATTTTGGTTTGACAATATATCCTCCCCTAAGGAACGCTTGAATTATAAACAATTTGATTGGAAATTTTTAGTTCTTACCAGAATTGTGGTTTGGGAACTTGTCCCTCCTTGAACGTTGCTTTTAATTCCTGTTCCTTAGCAGACAATACTTGTCTACCAGCCAGAGGTTTGCTCTGATCACTACATAAAGCACCGATTTGACTTGCATACGGCCGTCCGCTGAAATAATCATCCGCCTCAGACATTGGCAGTTTATCTACACTACCTTCGATACGCACAGAGCGACTGAACGGACCCCAGAAGAATGTTAAAGCAGCATTAGGGTTCTCTTCCTTTAAATTCCAACAATCATTGCTGAGAAATTATCATTTACAAACATCATCAAACACATACCAATTCTCCACCCTTTCTGCTAGTATAGTGAGTGAAAAACTTGAAGCCATCTCTACCAAAACCTTTACATAGAATCATTCTAGCTGAAGGAATGCCCTCTCTTAAAATATCAATTTAATTAATCAAATTAGACACAAAAACAGAAAAATTCTTGTTTCATACTTAGTTGCTGTTGCTAAGCACATTGCATTTGGTTCAACAACTTCTGGATTATTTTTTGCTTCATTAAACCATTGCTCAAACCAGATGATTGGATCCTTAGAGGGCAAATTGTCCTCAATTAGCAGTTTGGCTCTATCATTGTAAGGTACTCTCATTCCTAACAAAAACTTATATTTAATATGATATTTAGAATATAAAGATCCCAAAATAATTGTAACCCGGATTAGTATTAGATTTACCTGACACATTCATTTTGAATAGCAATGTTGTAACAAGTTTTTAGTAGTATAGTATATATTTGTACAATTAAATTGAAGTATTATATTAACCTAGGGGGTCACTTGGAAGACTTTGAGCACCTGCAGTGCTGTAAATTCTAGAAAATAATTGTGATGCCCGTCGTAGAGCCATTAGCAACCGTGTTTCGTAATGTTATCACATTATCACTAAGTCGTAATTATTGTCATGTGCTACGATAACTAGCTTGATTTCTTACGTTGTTGTGTTGGTTGCATTCTTCGTTCTCTTTAAGCGCATGGGTATGTCAATACTTCAAAAATATCGAACTAAATGTTCACTTTTACAATAAATGAATGCATAAATATGTTGTATAAAAAGGTGCTATTAAGGTAAATAATGTAATGTTTAATTGACAAGTAATCTATGAACTAGAATAAGGTTTTAAATAATTAAAATATAATTTTAATTTGACTTTATGTATTACTGCCTAGAATGTTGCCTATCATGAAATGTGTCTGGCTTTTATGCCGGGAAAAGCCCGATAACCAACCGTCAGTTGTTATTTATATTATTTTTGTAACTTAATATTAAATATACAAATTGTGTGTAGTATTTATAATTATGTTTGGGGAAAAAGCTATCGAATTAATAAAGGAAGTTTACAGGAACAAAGACAATCTAACTCCATACAATGTAAGTAAAATTCTTAGGTTATCACTAATAACAATAAAAAAACTATATATCAATAAAAACATTATTTTTAGAATGATTTAGTAGAGCAAGTATCTAAGGAAATAAAGACTTTGGTTGAAGAGAACCAGGCGGATGCGTAAGTCGAAAAATTAGGGTTAAGATGAAATAAAGTTATTTAAAATTACTTTTGATTGTAGGCAAACTTTAGATAGAGAATTGGGTGGAGGATTATCAACAATTAGAATAAGGCACACTGCAATTCAGCGCAATATGCGCTGTTTGATTGCGTATCATTACAATAGAATTAGATGTTTGAGACAAATGAGATGGGAGTTTGGCAGTGTACTGCCACCAGATATTAAATCAAATTTAAGTTCTTCAGAAGCTGTATGGCTAAATAAGTACTCCACAAGCTTGGCTAAATATATGAGAACTATAGGTGATGAGGGCATGAACTTGGGTGTTGATTTAAAACCGCCTAAATCTCTTTACATTCAAGTTAACTGCTTGGTAGATTATGGCAAGTACCAACTCAAAGATGGATCTATTATTTTATTACAAAAAGATTCCCTGCATTATTTACCCAGAAGTGATTGTGAAGAGTTAATAAGATTGAAAATATTTGAACACGTAGCATAATTTATTTCCGGAATGATCCTAATAAATAATTTTTTCGCAAGTATAACGAGTGGTGTTGTTTGAGTTGTCTAACTATTTCCATAACCTTGACGTTAGTGCGCTCGTCGCTGTCAGAGCTCTTGTGATCTGCCTTCAGTTACTCGAGTGCGAGTGCGAATGGATCGTGAAACTCCTGGAAAACTTACGTAACTCGTAAATTACAATATAAAATCACATCAGTCTTAAAAATAAGTAAGTAATAGCAACGCTTATCGATAGTATACCGAAATCAACGCAGCGCAGTAACAATTGTAAAGCGTAATAACAAAATTCGCCACCGGGCGTCATTTGCTAGTCGCCTATCGATTCCTGTCAGCGTGCCAGAGCATTCAAAGTGCAAATCACATCTATTTTTGGAGTTCGAATATATTTCGAATAACGCTGCATTTAGTGTTAATTACGCCGTAAGTCATCTCGGCGGTAAGTTGCGTCGTGGCTTTCATGTGGAGACATGTAAAGTGTTTGTATTTTTTGAGGTTAGGCCCTTACTGGCTGCAAAAAACCAATGAGCAAAAATGAGTCTACGAAACGAACAGGTCTTTATTTGATGTTTAAATTAGTTAGTTGTTGTTGTCGTCGCTTTTTACCACACGTTCATTTGAGTTTTACACCCAGACAGATAAAAATACAGATTTGTTGCACTCTTTTTGTAATATTGTAAGTAATACAAACTTTTTTGTTGGTTTGTTTCAGTTGCCACCTGCATGTTAGCTACCTGTGTGTTTTGTGTACACAAACGCGAGCCGCAGCACGATGGCAGCTTACTTAAATCGCACTATGTCGATGATGTCAGGCGATGGTCCACATAATCGGGCGCCGTTGTCCATGGCAGACCATCGCTCTGTGCGGGCCGCCCCTGAGAATTCGCCTTTGCAGATTTTCGTCAGGGCCAAGAAGAAGATCAATGACATTTTCGTTGAGATCGAGGATTACGTAAAGGATGCTGTTCAATACATGCATGGTAAATATTACAATACAAACATTAGTTGATCAAACAATATTAACAATTTAAATTTAGAGATTGAGAAAGAACAGCAATTATTGGACGAGAAGAAAGTAAAGGAAGCGGAACTTTTTGTGACGAAAGTACACGGCATTCGCGATGTACTCACCAGAGATCACATGAAGGTCGCTTTCTTTGGGCGTACATCAAACGGAAAAAGTTCCGTTATTAATGCGATGCTTCGGGATAAAATTTTACCCAGTGGTATAGGTCATACAACAAACTGTTTTCTGCAGGTATATAATATAGAAATTAAACAAAGTATATAAATCAATGTAATCATTAATATAATTTAGGTGGAAGGGTCACAAACCGACGAAGCATATTTAGTTCTTGAAGGCTCCGATAAACAACACAACGTAGAGTCTGTTTCACAACTCGCACACGCACTTTGTAAGGAGAGATTGAAAGAGAGCGAAATGGTGCGCGTGTATTGGCCTCGCAATCGGTGCCTTCTGCTAAGGGACGACGTTGTGTTTGTTGACTCACCGGGAGTTGATGTGACGCCAAATCTTGACGAATGGATTGATAAACACTGCCTCGACGCTGACGTTTTTGTGTTAGTAGCTAATGCAGAATCAACATTAATGGTCACCGTAAGTATTACTGTAGGAAGCAAAAAATGTTTATTTTTAACGTTTGATTTACATCATAGGAGAAAAACTTCTTCCATAAAGTATCGACACGATTATCGAAACCGAACATTTTTATACTAAACAATCGATGGGACGCATCTGCAAATGAGCCGGAATTTTTAGATCAAGTAAGTGCAATTCTTCAAAACCTATTATTAATTTTATGTACCCTGTTTATTTTGCATTTATCTCGTGATAAAATTGTATTTTATTGCTTTTGGCACCGAAACGGCTTCTCATGCTTTAAAATAAATAAACAATAAGTAAATATTTAATAATCCCCTGATACTTATTTTTGTTATATTTCAAAGCAATTCGATGAACAAGCCGAGGTGAGTTGTATGTGGTGTATCATAGTCCTTCATTTTCAGTTCAATTATTTATTTAATATGTAAAATAAAATATCATTAGTTATCGAAAATACCAAGTATTATTTTGATTACAGGTGAGAAAACAACACCAGGAGCGCGCAGTTGACTTTTTAGTGAACGAATTAAAAGTCTGCACACTGGAAGAAGCTAACCACCGGATATTCTTCATATCAGCGAAAGAAGCACTCATGACACGTCTCTCAGAACAAGGACAGAGCCCAACCGTCACCCACGCTGAAGGTTACTTGAATCGCTACTTGGAATTCCAGGATTTCGAGAAGAAATTTGAAGAGTGCATTTCTAAATCTGCTGTTAAAACAAAGTTTGAACAGCATTCACAGCGTGGTAAGTTGATAGCAACGGAACTACGAGAAGTCCTCGATACGCTCTACACTGACGCCCAGAAATTAAAAGAAGATAAACTGCAGCAGCGTAAAGATCTGCAGGATAAAGTCAACTATACTGAGCAACAGTTAATGGTAATCACACAAGAAATGAAGCAGAAGATTCATCACATGGTAGAAGATGTAGAACAGCGCGTTTCGAAAGCGTTGAGCGAAGAAATTCGACGTTTGAGTAATTTATTGGATGAATTTAATCTACCCTTCCATCCAGAACCACTTGTGCTTAATGTGTACAAAAAAGAATTGCATATGCATGTTGAGGCTGGTCTGGGTTCGAACTTACGCGCGCGACTTTCTACAGCGCTGGCGCTTAATATGGAGTCGAGTCAGCGCGAAATGACAGAACGGATGGAAACACTCATACCACCGGAGAAGCATGCTACTTCGAATTTAATCCTTCCACGACGGCAACCATTTGAAATTTTGTACCGCTTGAATTGCGACAATTTATGCGCGGATTTCCACGAAGATTTAGAGTTTCGTTTCTCGTGGGGTATTACTGCGCTGATTCAACGTTTTACAGGAACTGGCAATGCGTTCCTTGCTTTGAAAGGTAAACGCGACAGCCCAAACAATCACACTATTATACCTTCAACGCCGAGTGAAGAGATCGATGGTCGTTTGTATTACCAACCGTCTTCTGTTTCAATGGAGGATTGGTCGGTGTTGAGTCGTATTGCTCTCGCGGGGGTTAGTTCGCAGGGCACTATGGGAGGTCTCCTCGTTGCTGGTTTTCTAATGAAGACGATTGGCTGGAGGATTATTGCCGTAACAGGCGCTGTCTACTCCTGTCTGTATCTCTATGAGCGTCTTACGTGGACAAACAAAGCCAAAGAGAAAAAATTCAAGAAACAATACGTTGCTCATGCAACACGTAAGCTACGTATGATTGTCGATCTTACATCGGCGAATTGCAGTCATCAGGTGCAGCAGGAGTTGTCTGGTACTTTTGCGCGTTTGTGTCACCTCGTAGATGAATCCACACAAGATATGGATAAACAGCTTAAAGAACTTGAAAAGCAAGTTAACTCATTGGACATCGCTGGAAATCGGGCGAAGGTGCTGCGTAACAAGGCGAATTATCTCACACATGAATTGGAGCTGTTTGACGACGCTTACTTGAAAATGCACCATCACTAATATTAATATCATTTCTTATTGTTTATTTATTATTATTGATGTTTTTTGACAAGAAACAAAACCGAAACCACCAACTATTAAGTGTACGGTCACGAAATGCGAAGTTTGCGTTATTATTCGCGATTGTGATTGATACGACACGTTGTAGACAATGTTATAAATTATGATAGAGAAATATGCGATTGGGATGTGTGAATGTTCTCTAGACGATCAACATTTCGACTTTCTGTCTTGTGGTAATAGAATAGAGAAGAATCGATTTGAACTAATACATTGCTAGTCTGTATAGTTTAAGTATAACTGAAAAGAAGACAAAAATTAAGTATGCATTCATTTGCATAGTGCGAGAATGACCGGGAAATGAAGTGAAATTATGCCCCCTATTTGATTTTATTACATTATATAGTGAGGGATTATGTATTATGTTGAACATTGAGAAATAAAGTTGCTGTTTATAAAAAAAAGATAATGTCATTCACCGTAACGAAATGTGTATGCAAGTGTTCTAGGTTGAACAAAATAAGGCATGATAAGATAAGTATATTAATTGCATTTTACACAACGTCACAACAATAGCAATTCTCAGTATGCAGGCGTAAATTCCTACCTGTTAAAATATCCGTTCGAAATACCAAGTCAATTTGCTGAATGTGCATAAACTCGTTCGCTTTCGTTTTAAAACATGCCCTATTTAATAAGTCAGACGAGCGCAGTGCGTAATTTAACATGACTGGTTGCCTGGTTTATTGCGTGTAGCATAAAATATGTAAAATACCAAGTTAATATGTACTGATATTAAATTGCATTTTTTTGTGTTTAAATTTATAAAAAAAAAACGAACAGAATAGGTTGCCTAAACGCCAACGCACTTTCGCTCTTGCGTGTGCGAGCCTTGGACAGCCTTGGAGAAGATGGAGAGGGCAAGTGCACGCGGCCGGGACGCGCGCTAGTAGTGGTAGTGTACACGTTGGAGCGCGGACGCGGTGTCTGCCAAAACATAGGGCCAGCTGGTGCGCCCGAAAGTCGTGCCCTTACCCGCCACCAGCATGTCCGGCCCCAAGCAGACGAAGGATGTCTTCTCGGTGCTTGTCCTCTGCCTGTTATGGTACGTCGTCAGCTCCAGCAACAATGTCATTGGGAAGATGGTGCTCAGCGAGTTTCCCTATCCTATGACGATGACGATGGTCCAGCTGCTCTCAATCACCATATACAGTGGGCCTCTGTTTAATATGATGGGTGTGCGTAAGTACGTAGACATCTCCTGGGATTACTACTTCAAGTTGATTGTTCCACTTGCATTCGGCAAGTTCTTCGCCTCGGTCTTCTCGCACGTCAGCATCTGGAAGGTGCCTGTTTCCTATGCTCATACAGGTATGCCTACTTTTAAATACCATAATTAAATTGTTGATAATTGACATTATTTTTTATGTTTTAGTCAAGGCAACAATGCCTTTGTTTACTGTGATCTTAGCTAGATTGATAATGAAGGAAAAACAGACAATGAAGGTGTACTTAAGTTTAGTACCAATTATCGCTGGTGTAGCTGTAGCAACAGTCACAGAGATCAGTTTTGATATGATTGGCTTGCTCAGTGCTCTTGGTGCCACAATGGGATTTTCATTGCAACACATTTTCTCAAAGAAAGTGCTGCATGATACAGGAGTACATCACTTACGCTTATTACATATCTTAGGAAGACTAGCTTTATTTATGTTTTTGCCTGTGTGGTTAATATTTGATATGTACAATCTTTATACACACGCATCAGAGGTAAATATTCGCGCCAGATATCAATAAGTGCGGATTAAATAGGTAAATTTTTGTTTCAGGCTTTATCAGATACAAGGATTCTACTTTTATTATTTACGGATGGAGTGCTGAACTTTTTACAAAACATCATTGCATTTAGTGTGTTATCATTTGTAACGCCTTTAACATATGCAGTTGCAAATGCAAGCAAAAGAATATTTGTAATTGCAGTGTCATTGTTTATCTTAGGCAATCCAGTGACTTATACGAATATATTCGGTATGCTACTTGCAATATTTGGTGTTTTGTATTATAATAAGGTCAGTATTAATATATACATTCATGTATCAGCCATTTTTGAATATTGCGTCGGTTTCAGGCTAAATATGATGCGAAACAGCAACAACAAAAAGAAACAATACTTCCATACAGTCAGAAGTTATTTCATGATCGAAATTATTCGATCTATAATAATGGCTATAATCATCTCAACGGGCAAAACGGGTATAACGGTAGTGTCCAAACGAATGGAAATGGGGTACCACATCAGATGGCCCAGAATAATAATCATAGTAATAGCATGCATGATTCGATGACTGCAACTCGTCATCAGGCTAAATCCAATATACTTTTTCTCTGAATCTGGCTTTAACGCGTTTGTCATCAACGGCTTTTCTTTGACAACTTGATCGGTGAACATTGTGTGCTTGCCTGTAATTATTTACAATGATTAACGTCCTGATAGCCGTGGATAAACATTTTTTACAATGCAAGATAAAGTTCTAGGAAAATACAACTTAGGTAATTGAATTAAATAAATATTTAGTAATGGCGATCATCTTAAAAAGCGCGATTTTGTCGAAAGAGGAAGTGAAGGATTTTTAATAAACCACAAATTCGAAGTTCGTGCTTGGTCTCGCACTAAGAGTGGTACGTAACATTTGTTATCTAGTAATACGCGCGTAGATATTGACTAGTAATTTTTATCTATAAAAGATTTAAAAATACCGGAAATATATCAAGTCATAACTTAAAATTTTATCAGTGATTCATTGGTGAATTATTTTTAATTTATCTGTGGATTAGTTGCAATTGCTATAAGTAACAGATATCAAAGATTATTGTTATATAAGCTGTAAATAAGTTTATGTAAAATGTTTTCGACTTTGGTTGATTTTATTTATTTATGTTTGCTCATGGTTAAATTATGAATCGATGATATCAATTAATCAATTAATTTGAGGTGAGATAAACTAAGTTCTTACTTATTGTACATTTTGTTTGTGTCTTTAAGTGGTTGGCCATAAACGGTAATTTATTGTATGTTTATTAAGTCAAATTGAAAGTATTGTAAGAACATGTCACTTATGCTTGGCATGCGTTAATGCAAAGTATTTAAAGTACCTTGAAATCGGAGTGAAGCATATGAAGCTTAGTTAATATAGTAATATATAATTTGTATAAAGTTATTTTCTTTACGCTAGCAAATGGAACAAATGACGGACGAGGAAACAAATTTTTAAACTTTGATTGCTGGAATTTGTTGAGTTGATGTTAACTTGTAAATAACGAAATAAAGAAAATTATTTTTGTAAATGATCCATGTTATGGTATGACAATGAATAGGGCCAATTGCGGTAACAAAACCGATTAGAGTAGATAGTTAAAAAAATTATAGGTATGATAACAAATTTGGATATGACAAGTTTTTTCCATAATAGTGTCATGTTTAGAATGATCGTCAATGATACCACGTGCCGGCCATGGCAGTGTTGTAGCAATGTGATGGATGTGTTGTATATTATTACAACAAACTCAAGGCTGCTGCTTATCTGAATATTTTTATTTAATAACAGAAGTTATGGCGGACTTTTCTTTTGCAAGTTTTACTAGTTTATCGTTTTTTCAATAAATAGCACTAAAAATGAGTTAAATGCGTAAATAATGAGACAATATTATTTATGACTACTATCTTTAAAAATTAATTATCATTTCTATATATTTCTATACTTTTAACAGCTGTAATTACATCCGTTTTCATTTTCATATCAGCTTACTAGTATCATTATACATTCAGTTAATGTTAATTGCTTGTGGCTGTGCTAGAAACGCTTTACCGCAAACCTATTTTCTCGGGTAATTATTTATTCAATTTTATTAAATGACGTCTATTTTGTTTACTGGATAGAACAAACACTTTCGGTCAATAACATACAATGCGATGTAAAGCAATATTTTTTTAATGCAAAACAATTTACATACATAACACATATCAATTTATATAATTTGGTTCTCAGAATGAAAAATATATTAACAATACTTGCAGATATACTTATTTTTTTATCTAATTTTGTGTTAAATTATTCAAAGGAGTGGAAGGTTAAATATTTTAAACTTTAATTAATCAGTACTTCGAAAACTATTAGCAAATTGAACGGCAACAATAATATATCCCGTCATCATATTAAATATAGTGAATATTGAACTGTATTCTACAATATAAAAGTTGGATGCCGAAAATTGCGGCGTGTTTGTTAATACACACAGCGTTAAATGCGCCATTTCTTCTTTCCATTTTGCTGAAGTGTTGTTGCTTCGCAGAGCGTGATAAGTTGTATCAAATGTTACTTCGATTGAGCGTTTTCCTTCATCTATCAATTGTTGAGCTTTTATCACGAATACCAGCCAACACATCTACGTATAAAATTATTTACATTAATTACACTTATTTAGGTATAGTCGAATGGAACCCCTTGTATTATAATATTAAAACGAAATAAATAAAATCAATAACTGATGGCGGTATGCATTATTGACTTTATATTGGGGTTGGTTATATATTAAAATAAATAAATAGGTACGTACTACGTGTGTTGACGCCAAAAATATGTCCACATACTGTTTCTCCAGATCATGATCGGTAATGTCCGCAACAACTCCATACACTATAGCCAATAACTCCAAAATAAACCACAATGTAATCAGAATGATGTATATTCCAAACAATTTATTGAAAAGTTTAATTATTTTTGTAATGCAATTGTGCGCCTCTATGATATTCAAAATATTATTTTGGAACTTGTTTGAGATCGTCAACGATTCAAAGTTAGAATCATCTTTGAATCGAATCAATGAGTTGATTGCTTTTAATCTTAAGCGAATATCTTCTAAAATTCTCCAGGCAATAGCCACTTCAACTTGCCGAATATATAGTACCCATATTGATATAATTGTGTATGTCCAGCCATTACCATTGTATATATAAAATGAAATTCCGTTAAGCACGATTATTACAATATGAAACAGTAAATATTTCGCCAATTCCCAGTTTTCTGTTAATACAATGTTTTGTTTCTTCAATATTGTATTAATTTTATCAAAATGTGTCTTAATCTCGATAAAATCATGAGGGTACAAGACATTAGCATAAAGCATAGTTGTTAGCAATGATGCAGCCAATATTTCAGAGAATATACTGAGGATTGTATAGTTTTTAAGTGCGCCATGGTATTCATTGTTAGATATTCCTTTGATCATTATCACGCATGGATACAGAGAAATACCAACGACGCATAAAAACTGTACGACTGATATGGTTTTGTATACTTTTGGACTAGTTAAGTAGAAGTATCCTGGTAGAATTCCACATTTTTCTGGTATCCTGGTAAAAAGTTGATCCATTGTATTAGTTGTGAAAGGGCAATTCGAAGGTCTGTACTTATTTATGAATTTTTATTGACTAACTGTATTTAATCAGGATTTTATTTATTTTTGTATTTATACGTATATATTTATATAATTGCAAACAGAACAGAACTTTTCACTTTGTAAGGTAATCATAATGGTTAGCGTAGCATGTAATTTAAAAACATTTCAATGTTTTTCTGGAACCAGCAGGCATATAGAACTATCATTGTTTGGATAATTTGTTGAGTTCTTCAATTATTCAGAATGTAAGCAATTATTCTATTAACGAATTTATTAAGTGTGGGTGATATTACATTATTAGTTACAATTAATCAGTGCCCCAATCTTTTATTAAACAAATGATCCAAGTCGCGACACGTAAGGTAGAATTTCATTCTGATTTATTGGGTGTTTATTTTTTTGTACAAGTATTTCCTTTTATCAAGTAACATTCACTTTTTTCATCATTTTTTGTATCAATTACTGCAGGAACGTATTTAGTTCTAGTTTTGTATGAAAATCAAATTCAAAGTAGATGTTGCCGTTATTCAGTTACAATATAGATGGCGCTAGGATGCACTTATTTGTATTAAAATTTTCAGTTGGTGTTTTGTTCAGTGAGGTTGTTTGTTGCTGTAACCGGTGGGTATTGATACAATGCGATGTCTTACACCAATGTTTACGGTTTGAGCCAAGATGACGCTAAAATGCAGGTATATACATTAAATTACATGCGGATTTCTTTCAGAAACTTGTTTATTATATCAAAGACAAGTATCGAGACGAATAAAAACACAAAACTAATATTTTGCAATTGGTTTTTATTATATCATAAATAATTATACGCGTGCATTATATGTAAGTTGTTTATCTTGAAAAATAGCAGCGAATTGTATTGTTACAATCACATAAGTACTCATAATATTAAATAGTGTTAAAATGGTGCTGTAGTCGATTGCATATAATTTTCCAGCCGTAAATTGCGGTTGATTCACAATGGCAGCTCGTACCAACCATTCAATTTCTTGAATAATTTTTCTTGTTACGTTACCTCTGCTTTTTAAGTAGTGGCTAACTTTGAGTGAAATTTCTTTAGTCTGCTTACTTTGTTCTATAACTTGTTGAATTTTTATTACCAGTAAAAGCCATACAATCTAAGGATTTAAAAAAAAATCGCTAGAAACACATACGCGTACGTATATAAACATTAGTACTACTTACCGTATGCGTAATCATTGTAAACACATCCAAGATTGCTGTTTCAATATCTGGATCATCTTCAAATGTAACTAATCTGAATACATTGCTAACGTATTCAATTATAACCAGAAATGCCAAGACAGAAGAAAACATTCCAAACATTTTGTTATACGTTCTTATAATCTTTGTTATTTTATCATAAATATCTAACAATTCAATAATATCGAAAGGATATTGATTATCAAAAGATATAATAGCTTTACTTGTAGAAACTTTTATAAAACCCATTTCTTTTGGGTAAATTTGAGCAATATATTCATTTAAAATTTTTAAACGTTTTCTCACAGCTTCAAGGACTGTCCATGCTATTGGCACTTGGAGATACCAAACGTACATAGGCCATAATACCATAACATTATATATGTTAGAATATCTATCCCAGGCGCTTCTAGTATACAACGTGTTCATAAAAAGATAATAGACATGAAATATTATAAATTTGAATATCTTCCATTTATTATCAACATAAATTTCGCGTTTCTTCAATAATACATCAATTAATCTAAAATGTTGTTTCATCTGACTGTATTCTTCGGGATACAATATATTATTATACCCCACAGGAGTTACACAGATCATTGATTGAAGTGATAATAAGAAAAATATTAATGTGAAGAATATTTTTGTTGGTTGATCTTCTTCTACATATACAATGGTTGCAATGAGATAAGCTGGTTGAATACTAACACCCAATGTGAAAATAAAATGACAGATAGAAAACAGTTTATAAACTTTTGGATTTCTTTTATAATAATCACCAGGTAGCATTCCGAATTTTTCAGGAATGTAAAATATTATATCGTCCATTGCTTCTGCCTATATCTATAGGAATAGTTATGGGAACTTTTAAGAGAGGTAGTGCATAATGATCATTTGCGGGGTACAACTAAAAGCACTTTGCGGTCGTATAATGATGTGGTGTGAATAATGGCAGGTTTACAAGAGACTATTTCATACAATTTATCCTAAAAACAAGATACTTACCTGACCAATACAATATGTAATTTATAACGCTTCTTATTTTTGTATCATTTTTTTTTCTCTCTTGAAAGCATGAATAACTTGTCTTTCGTTTTTTGGCATTGGTATGAAAGTGTCATTATTGTGTCTAAATACAGTAAATAAAACAAAATTGCAGATAATCCTTACACGTCATAAAGGAAAATATAGATTTTGATATGGTGGCGATATTACTTCTTCTCCATTAATGTCCATTAGACTGCATTATAGTATATTAACATTACTTTTGTTTTGACGTGAATGAACTTCTGAAAAAGTAAAATATATTCGTTTTTGTACATTTGCCAATTGATAGATAAGTTCCAAGTTTTTTGAATATTGGTTGGTTAGTTAATCATTATTTTAATAAGTAGCAAATCTAGAATAGAATAAAAAAAACGTCAATTCGTAGAATTGTAATAATACAAGTTATTTAAAATCATTTTATTGTTGTATTATTAGATACATGCATTTCCGTTTAGAAACTGACATGAATTGAACATTATATTAATATCAATTACTGCAGGAACGTATTTCTACCGTGCTTTGTAAAAAACGTATGTGTTCTTGAAATTTTACAATTTTGAATTGTTATAATTGTATAAATAATATAAATATTTAATTTTTTGCATTAGTTATATACGTGGTGTATAAGTAAGTTGATTACCCTGAAAAGCGGAAGCGAATTGTATTGTCCCAATCACGTAAGTGCTCATAATATTGAAGAGTGTTAAAATGGTACTGTAATTTATAACGTATAATTTGGCTGCCGTAAATTGGGCTTGATTGACAATCGATGCTTGTGATAACCAATCTATTTCTTCTATGATTTCCACTGATACATCACCTCGACTTTTTAAGTGATGGCTGATATTTAGTGATATTTCTTTGGTTTGCTTACTATGTTCCACAACTTGTTGAATTTTTATCACCAGTAAAAGCCATTGACTCTAATACATTGATAGGTATATATAAGTATACATTAACAATATGCTTTCGTACTAATAAAATACTTACGGTGTGCATTATCATTGTAAAAACGTCAATAATTGCCGTTTCTATGTCTGGATCTTCTTCAAATGTAACTATTCTAAATACATTACTGACATATTCAATTATTACTATAAATGCCAACAACGAGGAAAACATTCCAAATAGTTTGTTGAAAGTTTTGATTATCTTGGTTAATTTATCATATATTTCCAGTAATTCGACAATGTCACAAGGATATTGATTATCAAAAGTTGTAATTGATTTAGTGTTGGTAACTTTTATAAACTCCATTTTTATTGGGTAAATTTGGTTGATATATTTATTTAAAATGTACAGACGTTCTCTTACAGCTTCAAGTATTGTCCAAGCAATTGGTATTTGAATATACCAAACGTACATAGGCCATAGAACAAGAACATTATAAATGTTTGAGTATCTATTCCAGCCACCATCTGTATACACATAGTTTATAGTAAAGTAACATGTGTGGAATATTATAAATTTGAAAATGATCCATTTGTTCTGCTTTGATAGTAGTGCTCGCTTCTTTAATAACAGATCAATTCGTTTAAAATTTTGTTTCATCTTAATATATGCATTCGGATACAGTATATTATGATATAACACTGGCGTTGTACACAAAATTGACTGTAATGTGTATTGGACAAACACTAAAATGTAAAATATTTTCGTTGGTGGATCTTCGAGCTCGCCAATGATCATTGCGAATTGAGATGCAGGATAAAAAGTCACACACAAAGTGAATATTGTGTGAAGGAATGATAGGATTTTATATATTTTAGGCTTACTTTTATACAAGTAACCAGGCAATATACCACTGCTTTCCGAAATATAAAAAGTAACATCGTCCATTCTGCACGCGTCAAATATATAAAAACCTGTGAGTGCATGAACTATTTGTTTAAGAGGGGTAACATTTGATGACCGAATGGGGAGTACTAAAAGCATTTTGTGGTCAAATCATTGGTTTTTACAATGATACCAGGTTTAAAACCTACTATTATGAACAATTTCTTTGAAAGGATATTATTAAACCTGGTTGATAATTGGCTACAGGTCAATACTATTTATAAACCATAATGTGTAATAAAAACGATGTTATATTAATAAATCCATAATTTCTTTTATTCGTGTATTATATGTTGACAATCGAATAGAATAGCAATACATAATTACAAACACGGATAAGCACACTCTAATTGAGGAATTAAATTATTTTGGGTTGGCATTTTCACGAAATGCATTGGCAAATTGAACGGCGACAATAATATATCCAGTCATCATATTAAAAATAGTAAATATTGCGCTATAATCTATAATAAAAAATTTAGCGGCTGAAAATTGTGGAGAATTTGTAGTTACGTAAAGTGAAAGATGAGCCAAATTTTCTTTTTGCTTCGGGTGCAAATCTTTTTCGCGTAAGGATCGAAAAGTTGTCTCCAAACATATTTCAATCGAATTATTTCCTTCGTCTATGACATGTTGCGCCTTAACCACGAATATTAACCAGTGTATCTTTAAAAAATGAACAATAATATATTTGATATAATAAATATGTACTGATATTAATGAAACATACGGTGTGTAATATTGCAGAAATCAAATCCATGTAAACAGACTCCATGTCAGCAGTCCATGCGATAATACGATATATAACTGCTACGAATTCGATTAAAAATCCAAACACTAACATTGCATTAAATATTCCAAATAGTTTATTAAAAATATTCACTATTTTGGTGACTCTTTCGAAGATTTCAATAAAATCTAAAATTGATTCATCATCTTCTTCTCTGCCTCTTGCGTTACTACTCCACACATCTCGCTGTTTAAGCATACTGTTTGCATCCGCAAGGAAGTAATTAAGTCTATACATTAAATCTATTAATTGATTTAAATGTTTAAGACTATTGCGAACAGCTTCCAATATTTGCCATGCCACTGCAACCTCGAGATACCAGATATAAGTTGGCCACAACATAAGAATGGTTAATGCAGGATGCATGTGACCCCAAAATATGGATATCGAAATTATGTTACATACAAAATAAATTATATGAAAAACAAGAAATTTTGTCCGTCTCCATGATGTGGTCACATAAATGGTGCGCTTTTTAAAGATTTCTTTAATTTTCTGAAAATGATTCTGCATTTCGATATAATCGTCAGGGTAAAGTACGCAGTTGTAAAGCACAGGAATTACAGTTAAAAAAGTCACTAATAACGTGACCACAGATGTCATTATCCAATAATTTGACAATGATTCGTTGTTCAACGACTGTATTCCGAAGTAAACGGTAGGACTTAGAAAAATGCAAAAATTTATCAATGCATGCAAAGATGATACGAATTTAAATACTTTTGGTTTTTTCAGATAAAATTCTCCTGGTAAAATACCGAACTTTTCGGGAACAGTTAAAATTAAGTTATCCATGTTTAAAACTTTTATCTACGATGTGTTTCGATACAGTCTTAAACATGATGTGAGTATATTTTGACAAAGCACATCGAACATGTTTTGTGAACATTGTTAATATCAATTACAAAGTAATATGAAAACTCTTATTGTATATTACATTACTCAAATCTAAGCACTCTTCTTGACATGTTTTATGTATTTCTAAACAATAATTTCTTAATAAGTAACTTAGTTGAATAATAAAAGAAATAAAATAGCCGCCACCTTGACTTTTCACACAAATATCACAAATGATAATAAGTTTTGTATTATTAATTCGATGAAATACGATTGAACAAGTAGATATACATTTTACTGATTAGCCTTTTTTTATTACAACTTGATAATAACATGCAATCCAATTGAAACATTTACGAAAGAAAAATACATTCATATATAATTTGCGTGTTTCAGGAAAATTATTAAATGAGTCAATGTTTTTTTTTATAAATATTCTTAATAATATTAAATAGATGCAAATTGATATAAAATTATCTTTGGTTTAGAAATTATGAAAACTGAATAACAATAATAATATAACCTACTGTCATATTTAATAACATAAAAAACGCTGCAAAATCGACATTATAAAATTTAGCGGCAGTAAAACGTGGCATTTGTGTCGCCACACGTTGACTTAAATGAGATAATAATTCTTTATCCATATCAGACTTGTTATTACTTTGTAACCAACATGTTGTGGCATCAAAACATCTATCAACTGATTTAGCTCCTTCATCAACCACATGTTGAGATTTTACGATAATTGCGCACCATCCAAACTAAAAAATAAAAAAAACTTTATTTACTATGTAATTATATATTAAGATTCTATTTACTCCTTCAATTAATGTGTCAATTAATGATAACAAAAATCCATCCGGTAAATGAATAGTAATTCGTAATACAACAATCAATATTTCGATAATAAACAGGAAACTTCTCAACGCCACACTGGTACCCATAAGAACATTAAATGCGTTCACGATTATTACGATTCTTCTTTGAATTTCAATCAAATCATTTACATATTTCCCAGTATGATTAATTACGTCTTCTGGTGAGACTACATAGTCAAGTTGTTCTGAATGTTTGCTGGAATTTAATTCTAAATCTTTAATTAACGCATTTAAATAATATAAACGTTGGCGAATCAATTCCAGCCATCTCCATGCAAGGACTATTTCCAAAGCAAAGTTGTAATGTATCCAGCTTACTAACACAATATATACTACATGCTCATCATGGCCAGCAATATGATATAAATAAATTACGTATAAAATGTATCCACTGTAAAAAATAATGTATTTTATCCAAGCAAATCGAGAGTCAAATGAAATTCCGCGTCTTACTAAAATTGCATCAATTTTACGAAATTGTATTTTCATATCAATGTAAGTCCTCGGATATAACAAGTTTTGCCACAACACTGATATACTCACAATGAGGGCATATAAAATATGCTTTACTGCAACCATTATTTCGAACGAAATTTCATTTTTTGGATATAGTCCATGGATAATATCAATTATACTAATGACTACTGGATACATGATGAGTCCGAGGTTGTAGATAAAATGCAACATTGAATAAAGTGCATATATTTTTGGATAATTATGATATAGTGAATTATCGGGCAAAACTCCTATACATTCAGGAATTTTTGTAAATATGTCGTCCATTGTAAATTTATTAAAAGTTCAACACTTACTTCAGAAAGTTTCTAGTCAACTAATAATGTTCACATAATTTACTGCGTTGTCAGTATGGCGGGTTAATTAATTATGCAACCACTAATGTCGTAAATTGTTTATTTGGTGGATGGCTTTGTCAACATCCAGTTATTATTTCTGCCGTCTTTATAAATTATTGATATCAGCGTAATGGTAAATACGTAGTGTTGTTTTATTGTCTGGAATAATGAATGTGTTTATTCCAGGTAGTTATTTATGATGCTACAAGATAGAAACAAAAATACAGTCAATTTCAAAATTATGTGGAATTTTTATATGAAAATTTTATTTTGAAATGTTACCCTGACATGAATTCTAGAGAAACGGTGGAAGTAAACGAGTATGCTATTCATTCAACTTCATTGACACGTCGTGCATACTTCATACTTGAATATCTCTAAACTACTCAGGATATGCAAACATGAAAATACTACTTGTATCATCAGTCGATAATTGACGATTGCACTCGAGTGAAATTGAAGTGGCAGTACAAGGTAGTTTAATTTGATTTAGTCGATTTAGTATTCATTTGTAGTGTAGTTGCAAGATTTATACTAAGTCAAATAATGGGCAACCCAACATACATTCACTGATGTACACTTATTAGAGTAACTGAAAAATAATCTATAGCTAAACTAAACCATGTTTTCGAGTGCTATCGTCAATTTTTGTTGGGAATTGCATGACAGGAGAAAATGAATCGTCATTTTTATGAAATAAATGCTGGTTACATGTCTGCCTATTCTTATTCTGCCTATTAGTGCGTAATACAATGATACTTATCATCCAAAAACTTGTTTACGCTCGATACTACAATCTGCATGTCCCTGAAAATATCGGCGTTGGAGAACATGTAGTTTGAATCGCAAATACGCAACCTGAACAGAAACAGTCGCGTGCGAACCTTGCTCTTGATCTTGTTATTTATTTGGAATATTTTATATTTTTTATTTTTATATTTATTTTATATTTTAATTCAGTGCAATACTCTGTGTTCAAATACAATAGCATTTTTGTGCGTGATATAATTAAGATTACTAAATAATTATCAAAGTCTCTGTTGAATTACAGGTAAGACAAATCTAATTCTATAGTATTAATCTAACTTGTTGCAAACTGCACCACAACCACAATATAACTTGTCATCATATTAATAATTAAGAAAAATGTCGCCAAATTAACTGTATAAAATTTTGCAGCCGTAAAATGAGGAATTTGTAAACGCACTCGTTGATTCAAATGCGCCATTAGTGAAGTTTCAAGATCATCTTCAATAGTTCTTCTTAGCCAGACTAATGTAGTGCCAAAACAATGCGTTACAGTTTTTCTTCCTACATTAATTACGTGTTGAGATTTTAAAACTAGCAAACTCCATGGTACCTAAAATAAGTAATACTCTAAGAAATTAATATAGAACAAACAAAAGTAAATTATTTACCAAATCCAACATGCAATCAATGAGATCTAAATAAATTCCCATTCCAGGGATGGTAACAAGTTTTAAAGATGTAAACAGCACTTCGGTGATAAAAATTAAATTTCTCAATGCTACACTGCTGCCAAAAATTTTATTATAAGTTCTTAAAATCTTCAACAAATTCTCATGAATTTCGATTAAACTTGAAATGCTATGTTTGGTGTCCGTGGTTTGTAAGTCATCAATTGCATTATTTAAAATTACAAATCGTTCACGCACATGCTCCAACATGTTCCAAGCAAGTATACTTTCAGTTACATAATTATAATGAACCCAATTAATAATTAACAAATATTCGATTGGATAAACATTATTGTAAATATATAAAGTGTAGATGATATACAGCACAAATGCGACATGTAGAAGTATAAATTGGGGAATTCTCCAGCGTTTCTTTAATTTAATATTACATTTTGTTACAATTGTATCAATCACGTGGAAATTATATTTTATATCCATATAACTATCGGGATAAAACACATTTTTGTATAGCACTGATGTGGATACAATTGTAGCATATACAAACAATCTCACCAATTGCATTATTACTAAGGGTATTTCTTTGTCAGAATAAACACCGTTGATAATATGATTGATGTCACTCGATGCTGGGAGGATTACCATTGTAAAGTTGATGACACTGTGTATAATAGATATACTTTTATAAATTTTTGGGTGCTTATCAAAGAGTTTATTACTCGGAAGAATTCCGATTCGTTCGGGAATTTTTACAAAAATGTCATTCATCTTAAAGGATTTATTTAAAATTGTGCAACCTAACTTGTCTTCAAGACGAGTACTAATATACAAAGCTGGATTATAAGACGTATATCAGTTGTGAACTAAAATGAGGATAGTTTCTAAACGGTAGTTTGTATTAAAAAGTTATAATCGTGTTTTTTATGAACACTTATCGTAAAACAATACAACTTTTAGTAAGTTTCAAATGTTTTCCTCGATAATAATTTATTTGATGTTTTATTGCATATAATTATGTATCGGTAGCAAATTGCACTACTACGACAATATAACTTGCCATCATGTTAATTATTACAAAAAATGTTGCGAGATCAACTGTATAAAACTTTGCAGCAGTGAAGTGAGGCGCTTGTAAACGTACTCTTTCGTTCAAGTGATCTAGAAATGCATTGTCTTTATCATTTTGATTCTTGTTTTGTAACCAAACCAATGTTGTACTAAAACAACACGAAATTGTTTTCATTCCAACGTCAATCACATGTTGAGATTTAAAAATTAGGAAACACCACATTGACTAGAAAAAAAGTGACAATTTAATAATTATGTAATCAATATTAACTATAATGACTAATTTACCATATCAACCAAACAATCAAACAGATCTAAATAAATTCCCGCTCCTGGAATGGTTACTAGTTTCAAAGATGTAAACAATACTTCGACTACAAATATAAGATTCCTAAAAACCACGCTGATACCAAAGATTTTGTTATATGACTTTAAAATCTTTAACAAATTCTCGTGAATTTCAATCAAATCGTTAATTTTCAGCTGGTTTTTCATCATTTCACAAGATTGTAAATTAATTATAGCATTGTTTAAAATGATAAAATATTCGCGCACATTTTCCAACATGTTCCAGGCAACTATGCCTTCCGACAAATAATTAAAATGCGGCCAATTGATAATTATCATAAATGCAGTAGGATAAAGACTATCGTATATGTATACTGAGTATATCATATATACTAACAAAATGGTGTGAACTATAGCATATATGATTTTACTTTGATTTTGCTTTAAAACAATTTTACGCCTTTTTAATATATCACTAATTACACCAAAGTGATAATGTAATTCCACATAACTTTCCGGATACAATACATTTTTGTAAAACACTGAGGAAAATGAAAGAGATGCGTACACCATCAACCTCACCACTAGCATAAACCTGAGTAGCATTTCTTTATGAGAAAATTCTTCGTTAATAATGTTATAAATATCATTATATGCTGGTAGTAATATTATAGTAAAGTTCCAAAAACTGTGCAATATAGATATGCACTTGTAAATTTTTGGATAATTTTTAAATAGTCTATTGTTGGGTAGTAGTCCAACCATTTCGGGTACTTTTGCGTAAATATCGTTCATTGTACAAGAATTTTTCTTTTTCGATTTGTTCGGATATAGATAAGAGTTCGATTTAAACTGTGCTTTAATACAATGTTAAGAACATGTTCATATGCATCATAAGAGTATAAATAATTTAATAAAATAATTATTTAATTGCATCTGGCATAGTAGTATGTATAAAAATGTTCACCACTTAAAATAATAACACAATTACACCAAGCATTCAAATTAGGCATTTATTTTATCTACATTACAAACTTAATAGTAAATTGTAAGTGCATTGTTAATTTTTAACAGTTCACACAGCAACATTTACGCTTTCTTATTACTATCATTTGAAAATTGCACAACAACCACAATATATCCTGTCATCATATTAAAAATTGTAAATATGGTAGCAAAATTAACAATATAAAAATTCGCCGCGGTAAATTCGGGAACTTGTATTACTGCACATTGAGTTAAATGTCCAAGATTATTCCTCCATTTTTCGGATATGTAATCATACAAATTTAACGAAACAGTTGTGGCTTCAACACAATTAGTAATCAAACACTTTCCTTCATCAATTACATATTGTGCATTAATAACAAAAACAAGCCACATTCCCTAAAAAATAAGATTAAAATAAGTTTAAATGTATGGTGTTCTAAAACACAAACATACCAAATTAGAAATTGCGCCAATCAAATCCAAATATAGTTCCTTTTCTGATTCCTGCACGGCGATTATACGCAATACAACTGCTAAAAACTCCACAAAGAACATCATGTTAAGCAGCACAATTGATGCTCCAAATAATTTATTAAAGATTTGTATAATATGCACAAGTCTGGCATGAGCTTCAATCAATTCAAGTATAGTATTTTCATCTTTAATCTTCCAATCTCTTTTTTGTATAGCAGTTGCTGCCACATTTACTATCGGCGGTTCGTGCAATTTTTTAATAATTGTATTCATATATTTCAGACGAATTCGCACATTTACTAGTATTCTCCATCCTATAATTATATCCATTCCAGCAGCGTAGTCTAACCAAGTTGTCAAAATTGTGTCTATTATTGTGTAATCAATAGAGAGAAAGACATTGTATCGAAATACTATAAAAACAAAAAATAATAAATGATAAACAACATATTTTATAAGAACGTTATAAAAATTAGCTGTAAGTTTTTGTTTTAAAATAACATCAATTTCTCGAAAATAACTTTTTACTTTGTTGCAGTCTTTAATATATATAATATTTTTGAATAGAATTGCATGAACAACAAACAATGCATATATAATATCAATTGCAATTTCCATTATCAAATCTGCATTATATTTTCCCGAATAATGTGAAGTTATTAATTCTTCCACGTAGTCAATTATGGGATATGTAGCAATGCCAACAATTACTAGGATATTTACTATTGAAAAAGTAGTATATATTTTTGGATTTTTGTCACTAAAAGAACTTGGAAAACTTCCAATTAATTGCGCTGTTTTAATAAATATGTCGTTCATGTTGATGATGTTTCTTGCAACTCTTTTTATAAGTTCATTCTAAAATATATTAAGCCACGGGCTAACGGTGGTACTAAATCGATTTCACGTGTCAATGTTTCATTATTTATCATTTAATGTGCATGTTGCTTATGGGTTTGTTTAGTCCAGTTGTTGTTTTAATATTTATCTCATTTATATATTTCATTGTACCTAATATTTATTCACCCTTATAGTATAGTCGTAAAAATTTAATGAATTTCACCACATTACCAATGTTTTAATTGCACGTAGTTAACTTGTTTTCTTTTGTTCTTGAAACACCATTAAGTTATTGTATTTGAACTAATTATTATGAAATTGAACAATTGCGACTGTATATGTAGCAAGCATATTAATAATAGTAAATATAGCCGAAGTATTAACAGGATATAATTTTGCCGCAGTAACTTCGGGCAATTGTAAAGTTACACAATTTGCTTGATGTGTTATCAATTCTTTCAATTTGATTAAAAGTGGTTCTTCGAATCGTAAAGCAATACTTGATGCATCCATGCAATGTTTTATAGATATTTTGCTTTCGTTGTTTATTTGATCAGCTTTTTGTATAATAATACACCAAATTCCCTAAGAAATATATAGATTAATAATTATTTTAACTAATTTATTGTTATATTACCAAATGAATAAATGTATCCAGAAGATCGACAAAAAAATTATCTGGAATTTTCAGAAATATACTTGAAACAATGTCTAAAACTTCAATCATAAATCCCAGGCTTAACATTAATATTGTAAACCCAAAAAGTTGATTGAAGTGTTGCACAATTTGAATAATTTTATTCTGTATTAATATTAACTGATAAATTGTTACTTCTGATTTAAGAATTGCTTCACTACTATACGAGTATTGTGTACCGCAGGATAATCCAAATGATGTTTCAAGTAAACTTTTATTCAGGCCATTCACATGTTTCAAACGAAGATGGAGCTGTTCCAATACTTTCCAAGCGAAGTAAAACTGTACTAGAATTTGGTAATATGTCCATATCCCACATACAAGATATATTATAGGGAATATTGCGGTGTACATCGAAATTGAGAAAACTGCTGAAGATGCAAAACACACTTGAAGTAAAATACATCCGATTATTGTTTGTTCTGGCTCTATTTCAATATCATGCTTCTGTAATATTATGTCAATTTCTTTAAAATTATTTCTGATTGCAATGTAACTCGATGGATAAAACACATTTTTTATAAATACTGATGATATCATAATAATAGCAAATATTACAAATTCAGCAATCATAAACGAACACTGAAACCCACCAATAATCAAGCAATAATCGGGTATTATAATTATCAATGGAATAACACATATCAAGATAACCAATATTCCATGAACCAAAGATAAACATCTATATAATTTCGGATGTGCATTAAATAATTCATTACTTGGAACAATTCCAATTTTTTGAAGGATTTTTGTATAAAAGTTATCCATGTCGAATAATTTTTCAACCAAACTTTGTTAACACTAATATGATTGAAAGCTTACAGTACATTTCTACTTGAAAACATGAAATCATGAGAATATATAATATACAAGGCATTTATAAATTATTCAAGTATTTAATCGCATAAACTGCATAATGAAATATTTTCACGCAATAGTACCATTCGTAATACACAACAATATTTATCAAATTTATTTCAATCGGATTCTTTTCGAAATTGGACTAAAACAACAATATAACTAGTCATCATGTTGAGGATAATAAAAATTGCAGTGTAATCGACACGATAAAACTTCAGAGCAGTGAATTCAGGAAACTGTACATTTGCACAATTCGTTAAATGTGCTAATGACTCTGTATATTTTGACTTTTCTTCTGGATCATGTAAATTTGAAGTGGTTGTGTGCATACAACAATTAATAACTTCTTTTCCTACATTGGATACTTGTTGGGCTTTTATCATAAAAAGACACCAAGCTTCTTCTTCTTCTTCTTCTTTGTTAGGCACTTTTGCCTGTTTAACTTCAGTGCGTCACCACATCTGACCACCTCTTCCTCGGTCGGCCAAGGGATCTTCTGCCTATTGGAGATCTGTCTCTGGCTATCTTGACGACTCTAGTTCGGTCCATTCTACTTATGTGTTGATTCCACTCTTCTCTTCTATCCTGTACCCATTTGTTGATGTCTGGAACCATGCACGCTGTCCTTATGTCTTCGTTTCGAACTCGATCTTGAAGTCTTTTGCCGTCTACCCATCTTAGTATTCGCATTTCCGCCGTTTGCATTAGGTTTTTAGTTCGGCTCGTGTCTGGTCGTGTTTCTGCTGCGTATGTTATGATAGGGCGAATAACTGCTTTGTAGATCCTTGCTTTAGCCTGCTTTGATATATGCTTGTTAAGTAAGATAGAGTTTTTTAAGCATCCAGCTATTTGGTTTGCCCGGGCGACCTGTGCTTGCAATTCCTCAAAGAGGGTCCCGTGGCTGCAGATAGTAACGCCGAGATAAGTAAATGAGGATATTTGCTCTATGATTTGGCCTTCGAGTTCCAGTTTGCACCTAGTTGGCTCTGGTGCAATTACCATGCATTTGGTCTTCTTTTGCGATATTTTCATGTTGAATCGTTTCGCCACTCGATTTTATGCTGAACACTTAAAATCTGCAAAATTATAACTTCACGCTTTTTATATGTTTTACTTGATATATCAAAATCAAATTTATATCCAATTGATGCTCTTGCTCCTGTATTCAGTTTCGTAGTATTTAACTTGTTTATCATTACATTCATATATTTCAAACGTAGACGAATTTGCTCTAAAATTTTTAATGGTATTATAATCTCCATTCCCATATTATAAATTGTCCAGTTGCTTAAAATATTATATACGAGCGGATAGGATTGAAAGAATAGAAAATACACAAAAATCACGTAAGCCACAAAAAAAATGTGAAATATTACAATTCCAATGTATCCATAACGATGTTCAATTGTAATATCATTGTCATTTAAAATTGTATCAATATCACTGAATTGTTGCTTCATTCCAATATAATATTCCGGATAGAACACACTTTTTAATAAAATTGACAGCGACACAACCGATCCATATGATACCGAAATTATCATGATAAATACGCATAATGTTGGGCGCTCTCCTGCACAATCGTTTTCTATCAAATATACAACAGGATAAGAACTTACTGAAAAGTTTATTATGGCGTGTAAAATTGCAACACATTTGTAAATAGTTGGATAAGTGCGATAAAATGTATTAGTTGGTACAATCCCTATTTTTTGAGCTACTTTTGAGAATAGGTTATCCATTCTAATAAATCTGAATAAAGTAGATTGGTAAAGCTGACAAGCTTCTTACTGACACAAAATAGCCACAATATTTTTCAAATATAGACAAAAACATACGTTAAATATTAATAGTTACACTATACATATTCGTTGTATTTACATGACAGTTTGCTTTAAACAGACAATGAGTTGGTGTAAATGTGAGAGCTTCATACAAACATTATTTATTATTAATATAAAAACACATTCAACGCAAACTGCAATTAATGGATTGTTGTTGTCTGCTCACCAAGACAAAAAAAATTGAAAATTTAATTCACACAATTTTTTAATGATTGAAATCTTTTATCAAATACTTATGAAACTGGTGTCACCGTTCCATTGACAATGATAAATTTTGGTGCAGTTGTCGTAGGCGCTGAAAACTGTATAATAACAATCACATATGTAGTGATTAAATTGACAAAAGTAAAGAGCATAGAATAATCGACCGTGAAGAAACCAGCAGCTGTAAATTGAGGACTCCGGGCGCTGGCTTGTTGCGCCAGAATAAATAATTTATCTCTTAAATTCTGAATGCTTGAATATCGATGTAGTGCTTTATATGCAATTGTCACAGTTCGCTTGCCTTCATTGGCTATTTGCTCGCATTTTGTTGCAATAACCACTCCTTGGGCCTAGAAACAAAATAATTGTCACAAAAATATTCTGTTCGTTATTGTCAAACTATTATTACACAATAGAACACTGTAATAATAATAACAAATACTAAATGGTTAGTTGTCAATTCTTCGTATGTGTTGAGAATAAAATCGATCATCTTTAATATATTGAAGACAATATTAAATATTGACATCAACACTTGCCATCCGTAAATATCATTAAAGTAATCACATAGGTCACAAAGTATGTTATGCAAACTTGCAAGCATTTCCGTTTGTTGATAAGAACTTTGCAGGGTGATTTTAAAAAAGTCATGATTTTCTTGTATGCTATTAAATATTTCGAACCGTTTTAACAAATGCGCTAATAGCAAATATTCTGTAAACACTGTGAGCGTACTGTAGTACATAAGTATCATCTCAATCACACGATAACGATACTCTAATACATCCTGTTCAAAAGTCCATGTATATACGTGATAAGCAATTAACAAAATAAGAAAAAAATTCAACAATAGAAATATTTTGACGACATCAAACAATTTTGCTTCTTTTTGCAACAACTTATCCGCCATATTGAACGATTTAAACATTTCATTAATAGATTCGTAATTCCAATGCACTGCACCAATTAAAGTCGCCGAGTTTGTTATTGTCATCCCTGTGATCAAAATACAATCCATGAAAACTCCGCTATTTCGATTGCCTTGAAATTTAAAAATGATTGAGTAAACAAACAGTGCCACAAAAACGACGCTAATTGCATATGCGAAAATTGTCTGCTTGTGAAATTCTCGATTCTTGTACATTGGTAGAATGCAAAGAAAACCGTTCCATTGCAAAACGGATCGAATATTATCAGCTACGTACATTATGACTGAGTTTCTTCGATGTACTCATCTGATTTTCACGCAATTGTTGAAAGGTTCCGGTTATTCTCGATACGTAAAAAGACAGCAGGTTTTTTCGCTTCCTAGAGTGGCACAATACATGTTATTTATTATTCATTGATTTGGATTAATATTATATACGGACTGAACTGAAGCAAAAGGTTAGAACTGATTATCTTAACAGCTTTCTGAACTGAATCGGTTTTATTGCAATTGCTTTTTTTGTACCAATAATGTGCATGCACCGCATGTTGTTGATTAATTCTTAACACTACGTGATCAAAAAAGTTTAAGCCACTTGATATGTTAACGAGTTGTAGTCGTAGTGCAGTGGCATGGATTTATCGGCAAATGCATTTAGGAATTGTGCACTCTTCAAATGAATTATTCATGTTTAAGCGACGGGTCATAAAATTGTATAATTATATATAATTGACTGACCTATTACGTATTTTAGTCTTTAACGATTTTGTCAGGGCTAAATTCAGCCATGCAGGGGTAAACATTATTTTTAACCATTTACAACCAACCAATTATAATAAATACGCAATCTTCACATAAAAACAACTAATGGTTAATATAATATTTCACTATTTTAAAGATTTTAACGTTACTCACCACAGTAAATACAATCCAAAACACGGTAATCAAAATATCCTGCAGACTATTTATAAATTTGCTGGTCAATATCATGTACAGGTACATAAAGATATAAAACATGATATGAATCATTATTGCGAATATATGCATTCCAAATGCTTTGTTGCAATCTACGCACAGAACAAATCCTAACTGTTGAAGTTTTCGAAATTTATTCACATCATTCATATTTATTTGTTTCACAAAGATTTGACTATCCGGTTCATTATTGTCAATGATTTTATTAATAGCTATTATACGTTTTTCAATTTCTTTTAAAATAGCACTCAATATTAAAACTAAATACAAAATGTAATATGACTTTAACAAATCCTTTAAGAAAAATAATTGAGTACCAGTATCACGATTCTTGTGCCAAACATTATATTCATATAATGCTACTGATGATATACAACAATTTGTAAATATAAAATAAAAAAGCGGGTAGCTTGATTCTGTTTTATTGTTGAATTTAAACACGTTTAATAAAAATTTGTCTAAAGTTGTAAGTGTTTGAAAGAACTTTACTACATTATGATAATTCCACGAACAGGGTGCAAAAATAAGAGATACGTCTAGGATGTAATTAATAACGTCGACTAATATTAATATCAAATTGTTATATGCCTTCTTGTTTCTTTTTAATGACATATAATAATAGCTTAGCACAATAAATAATATAAATCCCACTGTAAAACACACACAATAAACGTTACTTTTAATAAATTTATGTTTACGCGAGTAGTAAAAGGGTAACACGCAAATTAATGGCCCGATGTTTGAATAGAAACGTAAAGAGTCCATAGCAGACGTCTTAATGTCATTATTCAGAAATATTATTGTTGGATTTATTGGAGTAATGGTTTGAAAGATTTAATTATTGTTTATGAAAATATTCAGCTGAAGACTGTTAATTTTAAACGAATTATCATTATTCACTACTGACAGATAATAATTTATTAACAATTTTAATACAATTACTCACCAATATCAGAATAAACCAAATCGTTGGATACAACAGGCCATCCAAGCTACGAATTTTCATGTTCCGAACCAATGCAAAGTATAATTTCATAAAAGATATGAACATGGAAAATGTAATCACTTGAAATAAATGCAACCCAAATGTTGAATTAAAATTAACTATTATAACTTGCTTTAAATTGTCTAAATCAATTAATGTTTGAACTTTCTTTACGGTCAAATTTAAAGTTGCAGAGTATAATATTTCTTGAATTTTCTTATTAATTCTCTTGATTCTGTTCTCAATTTCGTTTAAGATGGTTTTCAAAAAATACATGAGGTATAAATTATAAAAGGCTTTAAATATTTCTTTCCAAAATGGTAATTGAAAAAACGGAGGAAAACGAAGAAAATAGAAATAAATTAAGTACCAATATACAGTCATCAAACCGAGTGAAAAAAACATAATTAAATTTATTATTTGAGTTGGTTTTTTAAATTTTATGTTTGGCTTGATATTGGTTTTTAATAATATATCAAATTCATTAATAGATTTAAATAGTTTAGCTATATTATTAAAATTCCATGTTCCTGGGCCCAAAATTAATATGACATCGATTACAAACTGATAAGAATCTACTAAAAAGACCATCGGATTATGACTAGATTTGTTTTTTGCATACCGGTAGAATATCATAAATAGATAAATAAAATAAAATATTGCAATACTTAATACATAGACGCGATTTGCAGTAAATTTTTTTAAACCTTTGTGGTAAGATGGCAAGATGCACAAAAATTTAGCACATTTAAAATGTATGTTCAACATTATGAAAATAAATATATATTTACGCGCCTCCACAGACTTGCAATGTGAGATTGTATAGTAATATAGTAATAGTTTATATCTGAACAAAACCTATTCATATAACAGTTGTACATAATTATATTTGTTTACTTACCAATCTCACGATTTGAGTGACAATCAAACCAATGCTGTACATATTTATGATTTTCGAAAGAGAATGAGCTTTAATAATAGTAGTCAGCAATCCTAAAATATGTTGAAATGCTGTAAGTAAGAAACACAGAAAATGCCAACCAAAATGTTTGGAGATTAAATCGCTTAAGCATGTTTGTAGACATTGCAATTTTATAATATGTGTTATTTGAATGCATTTTTCCACTTCCCAATATTTATTACCTCGTATAATTGTTTGTGGTAAAGCAATCTGCATCATAAAATGATTTGTATTTTTTTGCGAGTAATGAAGGAATTTCAGGAATTGCCAATGCAGTGTAATAGTCAAAACTATTGCGTATGTCAATGCAACATCTATGAAGTAGAAAGAATCAAAAGCAAATCCATAAGCATAATAGGCCAATATCCTTGATGACATGTATATTGAATTAGCCAAAAGTAATCGTAGTGTGTCAGTGGGCATTGTGTGCTTAAATTTTAATTTTTTATGTAGTATTGCTATATTTTCGACTTTTAGAAGTATTTTTTTGAAACGAGAAAAGTTTACAATATTTGTTGATAGAATAATACTGAGTATCACAATCATGAGCAAAAATTGTTGAAAGAAAACCATTGCAACTGCATCATATGCATGTCTTTTGGTCATCAAAACAAATTTATGAGCAAATAAGCAAGAAAATATTATGTTGACGATAATTAAAATAGTTGCATACAATTTTGACACTTTATGATTTTTACTTATCGGATATGATCCGTATATTTTACACAAAAATACAACTATAGAATTCATGTTGTGCTTGTCAACTTGTTAGTGATTTTATAAAAGTATTCAGCATATTGAGTATCATATTGTAAATTTAATATATAAAAGTGACTTGAGACATTATAGTTTTTGATATAATTATTTTTTTACTTGCCAATTAAATTCCTTGGCTCACTATTAAAGCAATGGATAAGCTTGGATACTTTCAAATTAGCATACAATATGATTAAATGTTGGAAAAAAATAACATATTATCGAAAATTACAATGCAACTGAAATATTGTTTTATTTTTTGTTAAATTGTATGATAACAATTAAATAAGTTATAATCATATTAAGAAATGTGAATAACATCGCGTAATTTAAGTCAAAAAAACCTGCGGCAGTAAAATTAATATTTGATGTGGTTTGTTGCATTAAAATATTAAGTTTATTCGCTAATCCTGGATATTTTGAATATCGATAAAATACTTTCTGAAGTAAGTTGATCATGATAACTCTTTGGTGTAAAAGATGTTCACATTTTATTGGTAGCATAACTCCTTGACCCTTAAAAATATGTTTATATCAATTTCCATAAAACAAACGTATAGGTAATTTACTTACTATATTATAAACTTGTGCAATATAACCAAACATTTCATTATTATCATGGACAGATTGAGAGGTAAATAATTCTGAAACAAATCCTAGCAAATAATGAACAGCAATCAAAGTTGAAAACAAGATGTTCCATCCGAAATGTTCATTGTAATTAAAAACAATATCATTGTGTTTCTCGACAAGTAGTAATATTGTATTTAGCTTCATGTGCACGTCATCAAAATTCCCCTCGACTGATATTTTCTTTGCACTTTCCAAAAAGTTGTGATTATCTAAGAAACACTGTGATACATTGTGATTTAAACACTTAATTGATCCATGCAAAGTGTTCAAAATCTCCCATTGCAGCAAAAACACTGTTAGATAAATATATTCTGGTAGTACTTGCATTACAAATTTTAAAATAACTTCATGTCCCCAGATGTAATAGCTACTGATCATAAACAGTACATATGCAATGTGCGTACCAGTGAATAAAATATAGCTATGCTTTTCAATTGTCGCTGAATTTCTTATATCTATAATCTTTGTATGTAAATTGGCGATATCTTCTAATGTGGTCTCAATTTGAATAAGTTCATTGCTCGAGAAGGTTGTGCGAATAATTAGCAACCAATTTACCAACATCAACATGAATGATTGTATCACTGAAGTCAGCGATTCACTTGAATTATTTACATCATTGTGTATCATTACTGAGCTATATAAGATGTAGATTAAACACATGAAAACACCATAGTAGTAGTTATAAGTTGGAGTTTTAAATGGTAAATATATTCCAAACACTTTTGACAATTTTATTACAATCTTGTTCATTATTTGTAGAAATGAGTTGCAGTGTCAGACATCAATTATATTAAAATAAGGTAATGGTTGAATGACATTCCTGGGCGGGAATAAAATTGAAACTCGGGGACACATGAACATACTTTTTCAATTAAGGGCATGTGGTACATTTATATTCCTTATAAATGTTTTTTTTATAAAAAAACGATGAACTAAAAGTATAATTTTATTTCAAAACTTTTCCTAAAACGTTTGAATCTATTTAATATTTGATAAAAGAACATTATATACATTTAATACTCTACTAAATAAATTACATTCTAACTTTAAAAGGGAGGGTGGGTTGATTTTATTAAATTACAGTTAGTTCTTTGTAATATTAATAATGCGCTTGATTTAGTAAAAGTATGGTCGTTTATCAATTACTTTTCCCTTATGCATTGGCAATATTTAGATTCAAGATATGACCATCAAATTTAGCTATAAAGAAATGGTATTTTACAGGGTTTATAAAAACAATAAATTATATTCTTCCTTTAATTAATTTTTAATATCCATTATGCAAATTTTCAAGGAACTCAGCGCGTTGTTACAAACTTACAATAGATATAATAATAATAATAAAAGTACCTACATAATCGCAGTCGTTCTTAAAACTGTAGATCTTAATACGACAAATTGTACTCCCAACATATTCATTAAACAAATGAATTAAACTTATATTGAAGTCAATGCCAATTTATTTGTAATACTTGTGTCATAAGTAATCGTCATCTACAGTTCTGATCCAATAACATACATTATCATAAGCATGCTAATGCTACAACAGTGTTTTTATTAATGTTGCAAGGATTTTACATGAATTCAAAGTCGTACATTGTAATACACCTTCAGGTTAAAGATACGTGGAAAAATTGGGAACAGAATAATAATTACCAAAATAGAGTTATTCAGGTAAATCGTCAACAGTAGTAGATAAAATTTGGGTCAATTTGTCTCAAAAAATATCACAATTTAGAGAATTTTGAGCTTGAAAAAGCACGGCGTACCCATAATTAAAAAACTGATAGGAATTATAATACATTGGCAACGAAAATCAGTTAAGAACATTCTGGTTGACCATCTCAGCCAGAGATTTCACATATGCTTCATGCAACTTTGTGACAAACTCCGAATCAGTTTTTAACATATATGATAATGCCTGAATCATCTGATTCTTTGTGAGTGGCTCCACATTCTTTGTTTTATTATCTAACAATAAATTGTCCACTTTGTCCTGTTTGTTGCTGGATGATGCAAACATCATGGGAGGCATCAGTGCTGGCTTTTGAGGTGTTTCTAAGAACTGTGCCAATGGAGATGATGCATCTCTGTCATCTTTTTGTTTCTGAGTAATAAAAGCTGTCAATGGAGAAGTAATGGGTGCACTGTGTTGAGGCGAAACGCGAGAATAATTCAACCCATTCTCTTTTTTGTCACTACTGGTTTGAAAGTTGATAGGTACACTTCTTCTATCAGCACTAGAATGGTTGCCTCCCTTTTTTCTCAACAATACTTGTTCTTGTGGGGTGGTTGATCTTTGTTGCTTTTCAATGTGCTCAACAGTATGAACCGGATTGCTCATTAATCTCTGAAGTGTGAAATGCATTTCAACTTCAGGTGCATTTACTGGTTTAGTCACACTTTTGCCACTTGCTTGAGCAAAAAAGTCCATTACACTTTGTGAAGTAACATCAGGTGCCCTTGGTGTGGAAAACTTTGGTTGTGGCTGCTCACTCTTCTTGGGAGTTTTGTTGAAATCTTCTTGTGCTCTTGATAACAGTCTGAATATGTCTACATCCTCCGACTGTAGATGTATATCTGCATTGTTTTCTCTCACACTCTCCATAACAGTTTCTAGTAATACAGCTAGTTGCACACACTCCTCGCGATTGTAAAACCAAATACCAAATATTTTGGTTTTAGAGTTTTTGTACAGCAGAAATGGGGCTTGCATTTGGTATTCAAACTCCTTAACAATTGGCTCAATGAGGTTATCAGTATTGAGTCTATTCATGATCATGATGCTGTGAAAGGGTTCTCCATTCCGGCTGTAGAGAAATAAAGCGCCCTCCGTTTCAGTCTTCTCCCAAGCATCGTTATTCTGATTGAACTTATATAATGCAACGTGTGTGGATTTCGCTAATATATCTTTAGCATATGGATCAACGCGTTTTATAGATGCAACGCTCATACGCAACTCAACAGAGTCCGCCATTCTTCTGCTTCAACAAGCAACCCTGGTGTATATGCCTCACAAACGTGAATAACCGTTCACGAACAAATGAACTTGATTGATTACTTCGCGAATTACCACCCAATGTTTGTTGTATATTGTTTATTTCGCTTTACTGCAGATTGATAAGCACAACAGAACGCTTCGATCAGCTTGGATTGAACTGGCAGCTGGCAGAATGCAAAAACCACGGATGCGAGCGCCCTCTAGCCCAAACAGAGCGCGTGAGGACATCGCGAAGTTGCGTTGCTGCTATTTTGAGTTTCAGCCGTTATTCCGAAGAGTTACTTCTGGTGTATTTATCTTCTTTCTCGATAAGTTACTATACTAAACTAAATGATTTAAATAAGGACAGAACATGGGATAATTAATTTTTATATAAATAATGTTGATAAATTTGATAAAATAACAAAAGCATTTGTCTTACAATTACGTCAAATAACTTACAATAAAGTCAATTTAATACCGTTACTTATGTAAAGTTCGCAGAACAGCCATTTGCAGTCATTTTGGTTTATGTTATATATCTATTTAATATATTAAATAGTTTTAAAAGTTTAGAAAACAAATTATAGTTTTATATATTTCTACCAACAACATACACTCTATTATACCTTTAATGGAAAAAATATGTTAGTGTTCTTATGACTTACCTTTCTACTAGACTCTAGTAACTAGAGACTGGTACCGGGACACCACATGCATTAGTTCATTTAAATCAAATTTGTGTTGAGTATTGCAAGCATTTGGATATAATGAACAAGCTACTGATATGTGTGTCAAAAGGGTTTGGAATTTACTTACCGTTCCAAAATCGAATATACAATTATTATTATGGCATAATCATGTGTTTAGTCTACACCTCATATAGTTCTGTTATGATTATTCTGGTGTACAATGATTTTAATGCTGCAAGCGCATCACTGACATCACTGATTCAGTCGTTTCTCTTAATGTCTGCAAATTTATCGCTTATAGCACGCACCACTTTCGCATCAGAAGATCTTTTACAAATAGAAAACACGTTGACTGATATAATATACTTGCATGTGAATATTATGAATAGTAACGCTGGTTCATCGACAATTCAGTGGCGTAGTTACATTCGATTTGTTCTTGCACAAGCTGTTTATCTGCTGTTTATGGTCAGTAGCTATTATATTTGGGGCCATAAAGCAATCCTTCAATATATCCTACAAGTGATACCAGAGTACCTTTATCTAACAGTATTTTTAATAGAATGGGAAATTTTGAATGCTTTATATGAGTCACTTAAATATTTGAATGGAAACACATCAAAATGTTTCATTGAAAATCATACTTTCTTGGAAAGTCCAAAGATAATTTCAATTGTAAGAAATTTAGATGATGTGCATGCAAAGTTGAATACAATACTGCTGCTTGTTGAGAAACACAATGATATTGTATTTTATTTCAACCGACATTTCGGATGGAATATTTTGTTCTCAACAATGATTGCCGTTCAGTATTTTCTGGGATTTGTTTCTGAATTGTTCTCCACTCAATCTTCTCATCTACATGAAGAAATATTCCGTTATATTGCTCAAATCTATACTATGGTTAGTAAGCATAACTTCATTAGTCATATTTATCCAATATATATATATATATATATATATATATATATATATATTTTTAGGCGCAAGGAATTATGCTACCCATAAAATGTCAACATATCATACACCAAAGAACTATAATGAATATTTTATTGAAGAAAGTATTTTATAGATACTCAAAGTATCCAGTTCTAATTAACAAACTCAATACTTTGATGCGACAAACTGCATCAAACATTAGATTTACAGCAGCAGGTTTTTTCGACTTGAATTATGCCATGTTGTTCACGTTTCTTAATATAATAATAACTTATTTAATTGTTATAATACAATTTAATAAAATGTAATATTTATATACTATAAAACAGCTATATATGTATACCGTTATATAGTTTGTCAAAAGAATTTTGTTAAATTATACTTTGGTATATGACGGACTTTCACGATGTTTCTTTTCCATGTCAACTTGTTTAATGCGTGCATATCCGGCGCTACTAAACAATATTACAAAGTTCGACAGCCACCACATAAAAGACTTATGTTCATTGTACCAAAATGTTGCCAAAATTGTCTGTGCACAGGCTTTTGCAGTTCCAGATATATTATGAGTGAGTGCTGATGTAACCTGTGATCAAAATCAAGTACTCAGTTTGACTACCTCTATAAGTCTTCAGGAATTTACCTTAATTTGAAGTGAAGTCAAAAATCCTATAGAAAATCCACACACTCCTCCAACTGTCATAATAATCCAAAACATTGGTTGAAGAAGCTTGTCATATTTCAATACCTCACTAATTTCACCATTAAATAATATTATAAAGTACAATATAATACTAGCATAAATATTATTGTAGTATGATAGTAACCACACTTCTTGATTAACTTTTGGAAGTACTTTCTTGGTGAAGATAGAATATAATGACAATGAAAGAGAGCCTACTATGCCAAAAATTGTCCCAGTCACTGATAGAGAACCTAGGATCACAACAATTACACTTAGTAAGAATATGCCAATATCATAAATATATTACCTGCTAGGTTTTCCTGATCAACTCCAAGTAAAAATCCAAATACTATAAAGAAGCAGCATAAGAGGCACTTCTTTGATGTAGTATCATTTAGTATTAAATAGGTGAACACAACATTAAATATTGTTGTTAGTGATCTACCAATGTAGTAAAATGCAACTGATACATACTTGAGACACAAATTGTTAGCCACAATCATTGTAGTAAACATAATAGTAAGTGGAAGTACCTAAAATTTATATTTGTATTATTGATTTGTTTAATAATTCAATATGAATTTATGTATTAAAATGCTTACATCTCTGATGGTCTGCCAATAAAATACCTTTGTCTCTGGAAATTGCCATTCTGTAAACATACTACTGAAATTCTTTATTAAGAAGCATATTAAAGCAGTTATCACAGTCTGGTAAAATGCAATAAACAAGGGAGCATCCAAATCAATATCACTTAATAATGCTTTGTTGACAAAAACAGTCAGTATTGAGACTATCCTGTAATTAACCAGAATAATATTTGAGTTCAATATTTAAAACACAATATTACCAATATGCTGCCACAACTATGAAGATTGTTAAATATGTTTGCAACAATGATTTTGATGACGACATCACTCCAGCTATTGTTTCGTTAGTGCTGCTAATTTATACATTAATGTTATCTAACAGCATTGTGTTATCTAGTATTTAATTTGTATAAACAGTTTATTCATACTGAAGTAACACTGGTCTTAATGAAACGGAAAATGATATTTAGGTTATGTTGGGCTTTGCAGCTTCGTTACGAAATCTGTGTGAGCCAGGTACTTATAAATGGGAATTAAGAGTAATTAATAATTTTTAACAAAAATACTTATACAAAGTAATTATTTAATGCCATATAGGTTTCTCAACCTCATCCGATAACTGAAGAGCACATCAAAAACATATGTATGCTGCCCACCAATTATACATATTAGCCATAGATAAAGAATATATAGTCGCCGCTTACAACTATTGGTATGTAGTATTAATATTAAATATTTATAATAAATTCTTCAAAAAGTCATTTTGTCAAAGTCATTGGGAATTGTTTTAGGGTCTATCTGTACAACATGACTTTCCAGTATTAGCGTAATTATCATAAAATAAAAGGATAAACCTTAAGGGTTTCACAGAACTTGTAACACACTGTGACATGTTTTGCCACACTGTGGCATCATCAGACAAATGAATAGTGGCACTTTTATCAGGATGTATATATCAGAATTCTTTAAATAAAATAACATTTTTCTGTTTTCTAAGACTAATGTTGGTGTGTTTTAGGGGTTTACCTGTTTAATGTAACTTTACTGCATACTGGTACCTGCATCAGATTGTATGTATGGGAGTTCTTTAAAATGTTATTTGTATTACTGCTTCTTTAATTCTTAATGAATTAGTTATTGTGGTAATGGTTTTGTGGTCTTTAATTATTAAAGAGTTTGTGATAGGTTTGGCATCTTATATATTTGTTTTCAAATAATTTAGCGGCGCATTAAACTACTTGTATTAAACAATCTAATAACACTGCAAAATACAATTGCAAACTTATAAATTATTTTTTGTACCACATTTTGCGAGATTATTCAAATATGTAGTTGTGATAAATGTTTTCGTTTTCATGCATGATTTTGTAGTAGAATACAATCTTGCACTGTTTGCATGAATTTAGTGGTGCTTCTATCATCTCCGATGCACTCATGTTTAGTCGGTCGAGTGCTGTGGTGCACTTCACGTTTCTTGAGAATTTAACTTGGTTATTGCATTACAATTGATCGGCCACTGACTATATTTACTAATAGAAAATTGTGAATAGTTTTTCTTGTGTCTGCCGTCAAAAGATTTATTGGTCATCCGTCGGGTCTCGGAGATCGGTAGCTAGTGAATTTGATTGGATATATTGTGTAATTGTTAATTTGTGTAGCTAATCCCCGTTTGTTTTCCGTGTGAATTTTTTTAGCGCCAGAGCAATAACTACCATTTTACTTTCAACAATTTTAATATTTAAAATTTATTTTCGTTTATTTATTTATTTTTGTGGTTTTAGGTGTCTAGCGGGCGAACGCGATGTCGAAGGACAACCGTTCTTACACTAAATTGTAGGTATTAAAATTCTCTATTGCTTTTGTATGTACTTTGTGGGGTTATCCCTTGGAAACCCTTTGAAATTGCCCTTTTTGTGTTTTTCTATCCTCTATTTTTTGTACTTGTAGGTGTCTAGCGGGCGAACGCGATGTCGTAGGACAACCGTTCTTACACTAAATTGTAGGTATTAAAATTCTCTATTGTTTTTGTATCTAATTTTTGGGTTTATCCTTTGGGAACCCTATGAAAATGCCCTTTTTGTGTTTTTTGATCCTCTAATTTTTGTGGTTTTAGGTGTCTAGCGGGCGAACGCGATATCGTAGGACAACCCTTCTTACACTAAATTGTAGGTATTAAAATTCTCTATTGCTTTTATATATACTTTTTGGGTTTATCCTTTGGGAACTCTTTGAAATTGCCCTTTTTGTGTATTTCTATCCTCTATTTTTTGTAGTTATAGGTGTCTAGCGGGCGAACGCGATGCCGTAGGACAACCGTCCCGACACTAAATTGTAGGTATTAAAATTCTCTATCGTTTTTATATTTAATTTGTGGGCTTATCCCTTGGGAACCTTTTGAAAATGCCCTTTTTGTGTGTTTTAATCCTCTATTTTTTGTGGTTTTAGGTGTCTAGCGGGCAAACGCGATGTCGTAGGACAACTCTTCTTACACTAAATTGTAGGTTTTAAAATTCTCTATCGTTTTTATATATAATTTGTGCGTTTATCTTTTGGGAACCCTATGAAAATGCCCTTTTTGTATTTTTTTGATCCTTTAATTTTTGTGATTTTAGGTGTCTAGCGGGCGAACGCGATGCCATAGGACAACCGTCCCGACACTACATTGTAGGTATTAAAATTCTCTATTGCTTTTGTATATAATTTTTGGGTTTATCCTTTGGGAACCCTATGAAAATGCCCTTTTTGTGTTTTTTGATCCTCTAATTTTTGTGGTTTTAGGTATCTAGCGGGCGAACGCGATGTCGTAGGACAACCGTTCTTACACCAAATTGTAGGTACTAAAATTCTCTATCGTTTTTGTATATAACTTCTGGGTTTATCTCTTGGGAAACCTATGAAAATGCCCTTTTTGTGTTTTTTGATCCTTTAATTTTTGTTGTTTTAGGTGTCTAGCGGGCGAACGCGATGTCGTAGAACAACCCTTCTTACACTAAATTGTAGGTATTAAAATTCTCTATCGTTTTTATATATAATTTGTGCGTTTATCTTTTGGGAACCCTATGAAAATGCCCTTTTTGTATTTTTTTGATCCTTTAATTTTTGTGATTTTAGGTGTCTAGCGGGCGAACGCGATGCCATAGGACAACCGTCCCGACACTACATTGTAGGTATTAAAATTCTCTATTGCTTTTGTATATAATTTTTGGGTTTATCCTTTGGGAACCTTATGAAAATGCCCTTTTTGTGTTTTTTGATCCTCTAATTTTTGTGGTTTTAGGTATCTAGCGGGCGAACGCGATGTCGTAGGACAACCGTTCTTACACCAAATTGTAGGTACTAAAATTCTCTATCGTTTTTGTATATAACTTCTGGGTTTATCTCTTGGGAAACCTATGAAAATGCCCTTTTTGTGTTTTTTGATCCTTTAATTTTTGTGGTTTTAGGTGTCTAGCGGGCGAACGCGATGTCGTAGGACAACCGTTCTTACACCAAATTGTAGGTACTAAAATTCTCTATCGTTTTTGTATATAACTTCTGAGTTTATCTCTTGGGAAACCTACGAAAATGCCCTTTTTCTGTTTTGCGCTCGTCTGATTTTAGGTGGCGAACGCGATCTCGTAGGGCAAACGTTCTCTTACCAGATTGTATGTTTTGAAACTTTTTAACACTTTCATCTATAATTTGTGAGATAAGCGCGCGCCACCTATAAAAATAAATTAAAAGTAAGGTAATTTAATTGTTTCAAATCACAATCTTTCTGTTATTTTCAGCAGATAATTTGGGTACTAGAATATTGGGAGTCGCGTTGTTGTTTTTAACTTACGAACATTGTTGTTTGTCCCTCCAATTGTGGGTCGGTTATCAATTCTCGTTCTTGTTTAGTCCGGTTTAGTCGTTCGTGCGCCGTGGTGTGGTGTGCACGTGTTTTGTTCATTAATCAAACTTCGTGACAATTGTTTGCGTTACTAAAGATTTTAATTCTGTACACACTGTTAACACTGTTAATTCAGTGTGGTGTTTTTTTGTAGGACGTGCGTGGTGGCCGTCGGATAAATATGCACGCTGTTGTGTTTATTAATCGTGGATTAATTTTTGGTTCACCTGTGCGCGTGTTTCCGTTAGGAATCAATTATCGTTTCGCACATAAGAATAACTTGGATTTATAATTAATTTCTGCAAATGGACAACTTTAATGCACAGAGAAAAAGTTTGTGAGTACACGAATGGGGTTTGCAATATCTATAGCTGAAGTGTTGGAGACGCGTGTATTTTAAGGCAAGCTTTTACTACTCCCGAATTTACTAGCTGTCGATATTGTTTTATCTATTAAATGTATCTATTATTATTGTTGTCAATATAACACAATGTAAAATTATAATCTCATGCATATTTCTTTGTGGTATCCTCTTTGTCGTTTTCAGTATTGACGTCTTAAGTCATATTGTGTATAAATCTTATGCGCGTGGAGCGAGTGCAACATTGTTGAGCTGTGTTGTTGTTTTTAAAAAGTTGAATAATGTAAAAACATAAATAGAAGAATCAAATATAAATAATAAAAACACTCGGTGGTCGAGTGGGTACGTGCACCTGCTAGCATGCTAGTAGGCACGGATCGAATCTCAGGTATAGAAGGCATTTTTCTCAAATATAAAAATATCAGGTATAATTTGGGTTGCATATATGAATTGCAACGAAATATAAGAGAAATTGAAATACAAGTGAAGGCAATAAGGAGAAGTAAGAAAGTAAAAGTAGAACGAGAGAATAGGAGAAGATAGAAGGAAGAGAACAGAGAGTAGAGTAGAGAAGAGGAGGAGATTGAAGAAAGAGAACAGGGGAGGATCAGATTTTTAAATTTTTTGGCCCGTGTCGTTAGACAGTCTAAGGTCGATGCGTCCATTGCTCCCGGCCCATCCTACAGCTACGATGTCTCTGCGCTTCATCCCCAGGGTTCTTAGGCATATCAACAATTTTTATGGTGGGGGATCACCCCCAGAGAGAGGGAACTCCTTATAAGGTTTTGTAAAAATATTTCTAAGTTTTAAGTCGCCTCAAGAGAGGTGACACTTAAAAATATTCTTACAAGTTCTGACCTGTAGCTGAAATGAAAGAAGGAGCACACAAATCACACAAGATACCTTAACAATATTTATAGTGGGGATCATCCTCTGAGAGAGGGAACTCTCTTAGGGACCTGTGCCTGTAATGATAGAAGGGGTACGCACAAATCAAAGAAGTAAATATATCTTACTATTTATTTATTAACAATAGAATACAAGTTTATATTTTACAAGTCAACAGAATACGTGCCGCCATATTGAAGCAGGACTTATGACCTGCATAGTCGCGCACATGCAAAGTACTACATTGTAAAATTCTACCGGGATAATGAAATTAGCAAATCGCTAAATTTTCTATGTGATTGAAAATGAAAACAAATATGTGTGTTACAAAAGGAAAATTTAAAGTGCAAAGAAAAAACTTTCAACACTACAAACGCCGCTCGTTTGCACTCGACGGTCAGGGAAACTAATATACAGGGTGTTCCAGAAAGAAAATTCAAAGTGCAAAAGGAAAAATACTGAAAACGACAGCTAAAGCAAATTTTCACGGCCACAAAGGAAAATAAATATATATATACAGGGTGTTCTATAAAAAAACTCACAACTAAACTCAACTCAAAACTAAAGGTAATTTTTTACGCGCTGTTAGGAAAACTAATATACAGGGTGTTACAAAAAGAAAATTTTAGGAACTACAAAGGGAGTGAATATTTACAATTCATGATTCACAATATGAACAAGGAAATTTACAAATTAACAACAATATTTTAATATAAAATCAGAGATTTTACTCGAAAAAACATCGGAAAATTGAGCAAAAGGGTGCAACAAACATAAAACACATACACTTTAATATATTGTGAATATATATTTATTAATTGATGGTATCATCAACTGTACAAGGTAACCGACGGGTGAAGCATCATCATAAATTGATAGAATATCCGGCGGAAAACATCTAAATAAACAGACGGCAAGCGTCGGCGCGGAGCAACATAGTTGTTAAAGACGATAAAAATAACTATTTCTTTGTAAATATTAAGATATAATGAGACTGCAAAAACGAAAAACTATTCACCGTTCAAGATTTTATTTCAACAAGAAAATATTAATTTAATTATGCAATTCGATTAAAAATGTTTACGTGACCATCGAAAACATGGCCGAACCGACGGCCGACAGCAAAGTAAGCGTGGTCGACCACATGCATATTGCCATTTTAATAATCCTCAGGTAATTTTAAAAACCGTGCTTGTAATAATTAAATCAAGCATGTTATTTTTGGAAACGCGACTAAGAAGAATTCTGATAAAAATGCCACCACGTGTTTGTAATCTACAAAATTAATATCCCTCAAATTGAATAATCAATTTAAGTTAAACCCCCTTAACTTTTCGCGAAAAATTTTAATTATCCACCTACCTGTGCATTGATGAGGAGATTTTCTATCCTGTAATATATTTTATCAACTGAAAACTCGCGCAGGAATTAACGGACACTTATTTCCCACTTAAGAAGACTCTAACCGCCATAAATCATTAAACAAAACAGGCACACATGCCCATTGCAAATATTTTGCCGATGGCCGAAAGAATACACCACGATTAATCTAATTAAAACCTCAAAACGCGTGGCGATTAGAAAGACACGCTCGCGGACCACGCGGTGAAACAACTGCCGTGTGTGCTGCGCGTAGCCGGGTACAAAGCAGGTATGCAGCGATATCACGCGTCAGTCGAACAAAAAAAGTACACAAACGTACTGATAAACACGTAGTTGAGAAGACGAAACTAAAAATTCACAATGTTGAAATGCACATACACGAAATTTACTTTTACTTTCAATATTTCTCGACATACGAAACGAATAAGTTAATTCAATTGGAAATCTAGTTGATACTTTTTTTCGACGATTTTTGATAATTAATATCTCTTAAACAAAAAGCGATTGCAACCAACGAATTGCAGATTATGGAAGACTGAAAAATTCTCTATCAGATAAAAATATAAAATAATTATATTTCCTATAGTAAAAGGTCGAAAAACGCGACTAGAAGTGCAGAAAAGTGACATTTTTCAAATTTTGCCCATTTTATTCAATCGCGAATATATTCTCTATAATTCTCTATAACAATCTATAAAACACTACGAAAATATGATAATAAAGAAAAACAAACGGCAGAAACATAATCAATCAATGGGGTTTAGAATATTATTTAATTTACTTACTGGTTAGTAGTGTAAAACTTTAATCGTAAACGGCATCCGTCGGCACCCCGCTCACGAACAAATACATAATATTTGCATTTCGCGAACATCTTATAAACGATAAATCATTAGCGAGACACAATAGTCAGCAATAATCACTAAGAACACCGAAAGTAATACGAGTTACCGAATTAAATCCGAAGAAAGGAGAATCGCCACTACCGCGTATGAACCATCCGTCGGATACGGCGAAACAAATTTTATTCCTGCAGAGTGAGCAAACGATACACGCCATCAAACGGTCGCGTATATAGTACACGAATATCGTACGCGAATCACCTGACAATAAGAGATAAGAACAAACCGGTCAAATACCAGTGCGACGGAGATCGCAAGACTATTTAGATACTACCACATACAAACATTGGACATGTATGTTCGTCAATGAAATATAAATGTTTGTTTACCTTTTCTTAAGTGTTCAAATTGCTTCGAAACAATTAAATTTTAATTCAGTAAAATAAAGAGAAACTAGAATATAATTTATAAAATATATTTATTAAAATAATTTGTGATTTTTCTTGGATTTTACAATTTTGTTACACAAATTATTTTAATAAATATATTTTATAAATTACTACCATGGATTACGTATTCAACTTAGAAAATAATAAAATAGAATATAATTGTGAATATCTTTTAAACTAAAAGAGATAGCAACCAGAAAATTTTAGATAAGGCAAGATTGGAAAATTCTCTATCAGATGAAAATTTAAAATAATTTAATTTAATGAGGTAAAAAGTCTAAAAACCCGATATATTATATGCACTTTAGTTTAAATACAATCCACTTGAACAGCCGCACTTAAGTTTTCATACTTTGCACTAAGAAATTCATATTATGCACTATAGATTGTATAACTTATATTTTAATACAATGCACTTATATATTCACGTTTAAGCTAAAATTTGCTTGGGTGATAGAAGGGGCCCGTTAAGAGTACGGCACGTACTTAATACTGCAAGTTTTGTAAGTGCAAAGTATTAATTTTATAGTGGAAAGTTTTATAAGTGCAAAATATTAATTTCATAGTGGAAAGCATTTTATTCAAGTGGAATTCATTTATCAAAGTGCAAATATTTATTTTTAAGTTCAGTTCTGTATTTTTAAGTGCAAACATTAATTATAAGTGCATTTAATGAATTGACAAGTTAAAAATCGAAAAAATAAAGTTCGTTTAATTACATGCCATTAAATTGCCCGAACACGATTCACTTCTACTGTTACCCCCTACGGTGCTCTGAACACGAGTCACTACTACCGCTGCCCTCGTACGGTGCGCTGAATGTGAGTCACTTCTACCCTCACCCCCTACGGTGCTCGGAACACGAGTCACTTCTATCGTTATCCTGCTAAGGTACACCGAATGAGACTCAACTAAATCAACAAAATAATTAACAAAACCCCTCTTGCGCAATCAGAATCCGATAAAGAATTTGAACACTTCACAAAGGTTTTCCGGAATATGATCCGTTTTCCATATTACCATTAAGTGAAATATATACAGCCCCCCTAATTCGCGGGCTATTGCAACACGCAGGTGAAATGTGATAAAACATGATTAACCGAATAATATAACTTAATTATAAACTTACCAATGCAGCGCTCATCGGATTGCAAGGGTACGGCAAGTACTGTAATTAAAAGAAAACACAAATTAAAACAAAAACATTTCATTCAATGTGATAATATTATATTCACACATGAGAGAAAACAAACTTTCTGTGCTGAGTATCGCAATGGTCCGATAAAAGTAACTTACTCAAGCATGAATAGGTTTCCGATTGATTTAGCGATCGACCACGTCCCACAATAACCGAAACATTTGATTTGAAATATAAACATCAAAATAAAGCAAAAAAAAACATTTATGCACATTAAACGCACAATTTCTTATTAAGAAGACACTGCAGATGCATATTACGACTAAGTCGATTGTCGTCCGAATATAATGCAAACTTTGAAAACAGAAGTCTGATAAAACGAAACGCGTTGCGCGATATACGTCTGAACACGCCTGAGATCGACACGAAACCAGCTGCAATCCATCAATAGAGCATGCCGAAACTGCGCACGCAAGGAGGCTCTGTCCCTGCTACATAAACCCGGCAGGTAAAAGGAATAGATGCGCAAAGCCAGCGCGTCGATGCCACGCGACCTTGTGCGCGAATTACAATAGATGCGCAAAGCAGGCGGCGCGTCGATGGCACACAACCTTGTGCACGAATTGCAATATACACGGTACCTGTGATAAGAACTAAACTAAAATGTGCTGCATGCGACAGCGCGACGAGAATCTTACGCGTAGCATCTCGTTCGACAAATGCGATAAGAAAGTGGTTTATACACAAGCGGAGATATGATTCAAAACGAATACAATTCTATTTTATGATTTTTAGATCATGCTAGTGAACGATGAAGTGATCATGAATTCAACTCTACATTTTTACGAGTATATTTTAGTCATGGAAAAATGTTAGACAGGACCAGTATTGTAATGTAAATAAATAAAAAAACAATAAACGGTGAAAATATTTTGTCATAAATAAGGCAACACATTTAAACCTTTTTTTATCAAGAAATAAAAATTTGAATTTGGAAATTCTGATAACTTGTAAAATTCTAATAATAAACAAGTTAAATTTAAAAGTTTTATTTTTGGTTCCGTCTTTTGAACAAAAATAATTTAAAAGAGAATTTCGGGATTGTTTTCGATTGAGAAATAAAATACTTAAGAACGCATAGGATTTAATAAATTCAGGAAATATAGAAAAATATGTCATTTGCGTTTAAATAATCTTTTCAAAACTTTTACTGTGTAATTCATACACACTGTATTTACAATGGTACATTACTGATAAAAAGGAAATTGCGAACGATTGTATAAAATCAAAAGTTTAGATACAAGAGTACAATAATAATAATATAATAATAAAACAATATAATAATGTTACATCTTCGTTATCTGTTTTTCCTAGACATGACTTAACTATTCTTATCACAATGTCTGTGGCTGGGCAGAACCACCAACACAAACAGCACACGAATGAATATAATAAATATTGTTATTTGTATGTAACATTTAATCGTTAATTTTCATTTGCTCAAGTTATGTTTTTAACTTTTCTTGCGAGTTTCAACTGGCAGACTTGTTTGGCATGTATTTGCATCTTGAGTTTTGTTTTAAGATTGAACATGTGATACGCTAGTTTGATGTCGCCACAAACGAAACAAGAAAAATGATTAACTCCGAAATAGAAACAAATAATTTTTAAAGAATCTCTAAAATTTTCTTCATTGAGTTGTTTAAATGTCGCAAATAATTTATTATTATTATTATTGGTTTTGTTTGCTTGTATCGATACTAGTAATAGACCGGGCGTTTAAAACGACGCCCGGTTGTTATTATTTTAGAAACATTTTTTCAACATTACGCATGTTCTGCGTCTTGAAAACTTTGTGTCATATTTTCCATTATTATAAATTCATTCTCTTGAAACAGTGTCACTCACGAAAACCCCAATTCATTTAAATAAATCACTATTTAACCAAAACGAAAACAAAAAAAGAAAACAAAGGATATTTACAAGGAATTAAATATTGACTTACTAGCTAGGTTTAGGCATATCGTAAACGAATTGAGGTTTCATTCATTCATTATTCATCCATTTTTCATTTACTGATGTTTGTGTCTGGTTGCTTATGTTATTCTTTACGCTTCCCTCCTGTTCCCGTTTGAAACAATACACAGGACCTATCCGTATATTTCTGTCTATGTACAACAAATGTTTATATGCACGTGATTTGAAAACACGTGCAGCCTGCATAAGTTTAAATGGGGCCATGCGTATGAATCTCTGAAATGATTGTTATAAACCAATGAAGTATATACCTATATATATGAATAGATCTTTGTCATAGCATTTGAATATTTGTTTTCATTCGCAGTGAAAAGAAAGTGCACAATAAAGACGAAAACATTTGAAGAGTGAAGTAGGCAACGTGGATGTGCAGATGTCATTTAGCAGAGCAAATGTTTAAAAAATTCAATTATTTTCCCAGTTAATTAATTGTCATAGTCCGTCAAATAAAATAATATCTTCCATTTCATCACAAAGAACAATCAATAAATAGTTAGTTACGGATGATTTACATATTTCACTCTTCAATCGGTTATAAAACTTTTGGTTTACTTCAATTTTAAACAGTCCTAAATTTGTATAACAGTTTCTAAATTCTCTTGCATGTACTTCGTTCATCTGTTATTTTTTGTTTTTAATAAGCGTACTCATAACGTTCGTTTATTGAACAAAATATTTACACATTCAATTTCCTCAATAACCTTCGAAAAAAATCAAATTCAAAGAAAAATAAAACAAGTCTATGGAAACAAAAACAAAAATCGGCCAACAAAATGAATATAAATTATGGTACAAAGCAAGGACACTTAATAAAATAACTTATTATCATTGTCTATTATAGAATTATTATATATAATATATTTATATATGTTCAAGTTGTTTGTTTTTGTTTACATATGTATACCCGATGGTACTGTGTACGCACCGTTCACAACAAATTCGTGGAGCGGTGCATCAAATGTATAATGCTTGTACATAAAACCAAATTGAATAGCGTTGGTGAACGTTTCATTTCTCAATGGTAGGTATTTTATCATTGTAAATAACTTATTCATATCAAGTCCGATCACAACCAGTTTGTAGCACAGTAAACCCCGAGAGAAGACAAAGATAAGCAGCAAGCAACGAGATATTTTTCTTAAAGAGAGATTTTTGCTTTTTTAGATTATAGAGAGATAGAGAAATGAATGAAGTGTATCCACAAGGCGCACAGTTTTGTTTCACGCGTCCCCACTTACTTATGTTTTGTTTTAGGTGTGTACAAATTGTTTTAAATAACTGTTTTTATGTTTGTTTATCCGCGCATCTCGTCAATTTGAAAAATCACTAAACTTTCACGTTGATAGCGTCTGCACGTCGCGCACCACAGCACTAAGATGAGGAAGAAGCGTTCATGGCGCCAAATAAACCGGTGGAGAACGTGCCCGGCTGTTGCGACGAGTGCTGCGAGTTGTGCTGCACGGCAGTCTGTTGTTGCACCTGCTGCTGCTGAGCGTTTGACCCTAGCCGCGAGTGTTTTGGCATTGGTGGTTGCAAATACTCGTGCCTTGCTAGCGACAGGACATCAATGCGATCTTCCTTTCGATACGCTAAACAACTTCTAATAAAACTCTGAAATACAAATGCAGCAATGCATTATAACGTCTGCGTCCACCCTCAGCATCGATATTTACCTTAGCTTCATTCGTGACTGCTGGCTTATTTGCAAATTGAACCTCTGTGGCTTTTAAAATCGTATTCTCTTCCAAAATCGTGGCTTGGGATTGATTGTGCCCAAACGGCTTTTTGCCATAGAGACACTGATAAAATATTACACCCACACTCCACACATCAACCTTCGATGATATCTTTGGAGGATTCTTGCCCACCACAAAACACTCAGGTGGCAAATACCTAGATAATAAGTATTAATTAAATGGTTTTACGATTAATAGACATGACCTACCAGTAAGTGCCAGCACCCTGTGAAGTCAAATCCATTCCGTGATCCGGATTGTAGTTCTCCTCATCCATAACTTTGCTAAGACCAAAGTCCGTAATCTTAATTTCGCCGCAAACATTTCCTTCTGTTAAAAGGATGTTTCCCGGCTTTAGATCGTAGTGGATCACAGGCGGTTTGATCTCATTCAGGTACTTGAGTGCAGATACGACTTGCATAACAATCGATCTTGCCTCCCTCTCCGGTATTGTTTTGTGCTAGATAAATACATAAATGATTCTTCAGTTTTGTACTTGGCTTACAGATAATGTGATAATATTTACCTGCTTAAGATAGAAGTCGAGGTCATGTCCATCACAATATTCCAAAACTGTACAAAAGGAATTAGCATCTATTTCGAACACATCGTACAATTTCACGACTCTAGGGTGATCTAACGCTTTATGAATATTATACTCCCGTAAAGCGTGTCTGCAAAATAATTTATTTTAATATATTATCGAACTATAACATTTGTATGCAATAAAATAATCGAGAAATCTCGACATTTACTCACTTAATATAATTGGCCTTTTTATCTTCCTTCCAGTCTTTGTTGAGTTGGTGCACTTTACAGGCGACGTATCTCTGCTCCTTCAGGTCGAACGCCTTGTGCACCTCGCTGAAACCGCCCTTGCCAAGCAGCATCAACAGCAGGTATCGTTCGTTGAGCACCGGATGGTTGTTGAACCTGGACTGGTCCTCGTTGTGGATACGTTTCAGTTCGCGAATGTGTAGATTTCGCTCACGTTCTAGCTTCTCCATTTCTAACTGCAAATCCGCATCTTCCTTTTTTAATGCGCTTTGTCTTAACTGCAAAGTAAAAAACACATGTTAGCAGTTGTATCAACCATATACTGAATAAACTAGATTTTAAATTAATACGTCAGATGGTAGTGCATGTAAAAAGTAGAATAATCATACAAATCATAAAGAGGTAGGTTTGTCATCCTTTTCAATATTACATTTCGTAATTATTAAGAGAAACGAACAGAAAACGTACTTTCAATATTTCGTCCGCCTCATAGTACTCTTGAATTGTGAAGGAACCCGGAACAGCGTCCGGTTTCAGGAACGTATTGTCAGTGCCGTTATGAAGCGTCGAAGATGCCGACGAACTGTTACGTTTTCGCCCGCCTTCCGATGGCCGCTTCTTCGTTAACAGTTTCTTCTGCCGGTCAATTTCTTCCCGTTCGGCGGTAATTTCTTCCTGCCGCCTGCAAATACAAAATTCCACTTCGATTATCTCACTATTCTAACAAATGACACATTTAAGTATTAATCTTGATGACTCAGTTGGTAGTGCATGTAAAACAATAATCATGTGCTCATAGTTTGTGGTATTAATTCTCTCATCACTTGCAATTCCCGTCCAATACATATGTGTTAAAATGCGAAATTACCTGGCAAGTTCTTGAAAGGCATGTCCGTCGGTCCAATTCTCCTGAAAGGTAGCGCCTACCCTTTGCGTCACGAATTGTCCTAATCTCAGTCTATTCTGCATGCATTTCTGTCGCGCCTCTTTCTTCTCTATGGAACTCTTCTCCTTGAGCAGTTTCTTGACGACATCTATACATTTGGTTATGTGTTGCTTGTGCTGATCTAAAGTCTTCTGTTGCGTGGACAACTGATGCCGCAGCTCCTCGTTCGTCCTGTTCAGTTCATCGATCTTTAGATTCCGCGCCTCTAGGTCGGAGGATGCCTGCGTCTCAAACTCCTGTATCCTTTGACACGTCAGTTCAGTCTGTAATATGCACGCAACAAAACGACAACTTTTAGTCTGCATTGCCACAAGTATGGACGACGTACATTTTTTACCTGTACTGATTTGCTAACCATATTCGATACTGCCGGAACTCGAGGGGTTGTCGGCTGCTTCGGAAAGTAGTCGAAAGGAACAGGACTGACCGGCACCTGCGGCGATGGCAGCTGCTGCGGCTGTGGTGGTGGCGGCGGCTGCGTTTGCTGCGAGGGCGGAAACTGCAACATTTAACCAAAAAACCAGTAAGTAAAAGTGCTGCCAAAAATTGATTCTTTCAACATCTTGAAAATCTTCAGAATTTAGCGTGAAAATTTAAATATATTCATTGTAAATATCATATAGAGTGGTGTAAAAAAGTCATCATTTCAATTGAAGAAATCAAGATAAATAATTACTTAGCAACCAAACAATGCTTACCATGGGATAGGGTTGTTGAGGTGATGGACTCTTGGCTCCCCCATGTCTAATAGGACTATTTCCCGTATGTTTGGTATTATAGTAGTCAACTTTTTTATCAGTCGAATTGGTCCTAACACCCTTGGCAATCGTACCTCCAGTGTCGTCGCCCTTTCTTTTTCGTTTCCGTTGTTCTGCCGGTGTTCGAGGCCCCTTCTCCGGAGTATTTGGGTCCAGCTCTTTATCACTGTGAGAGGAACCTAAAAAATAAATAAATTAGTAATTAAACACATCCAAAATCATAAAATAAACTGGACTCTAATTTGCCCATCAGTTGGTAGTGCATGTTAAAGAATCATCATGTGATTCAGATATTGGTGAATTGTATTCATCATGTAGATGTTAAATTTAATTGAATGGAAAGCAATGCAATTCAGCACCGTGATAAATAATAATCTTACAAGCACTAACTTTGTCGCCATTCGCAGAACAATATGCAAGTCGCTGCGAATTGGAACAAATAGAAAGTTACAAGTATTGAAAACTTTTAAAAATGTGTACATTTTTGTTGCCATGCATGTTTTTGTACCAATGAACTATAGAGCAAAGGTGACTAAAATTAAATACAACTAAAAACATTTTTAATATAATCGAATTTCGCGAAAACATTCATATTTGCGAGTCAAACGATACATTCAAATGTAATGTTTGCGTTAACAAATTCGGAACGAATTCAAGTTTATATGCCGCTAGTGATAATATTAAAATAGTCACGTTTCTTATCACATGACCATGTAAGATTTATCAGCCAAATTTATCATTGAAACTCAGCTGATTCAAAATAAATATTTGTTTAAATGATGCAGTGTACTTATATTGAAAGTATACACAATTTACTGAAATAAACACGATTAGCAAGTGATAATTTTGAACTACATTCACTAGAAATGAATGAATAGAGCGAACATGTATCATTAAAACGTTTATGACCAACGTTTTTAGCTCGTGAAAGTAATTATTATGTATTTAAACTCAACGTTCCGATTGCGGCGTCTGATATTGCAAAATCGTCAAAATGGCGTCCGCGAGCCTAGCGGAATAAAAGAGCGATGCGCGTTCGTGCTGAATTTCATGCTTCTCCATTCCAAACGTGGCCGCGTTTCAAATAATTTCACCTTACCTGTACTCATATTGGAGTCTTGGCTATGAACGGGTTGGGTTGTGCTTACAGTCGACTGGGGTGCCATCTGTATTTGAGATCCAGCTGACATCTGCAAAGAAAACGAAATACATGAACAACTTGATGGTGATTTAAATCAATTCACACAGCTAAACCGATATCGGGTCACAATAATTACTCATAAAATACTTATTATTTAACCTTGAAACGTTTATGAGCTTTTTTAACAACGCAACATTTAAATTAGTCATGTATATCACGTCCAAGCCGCCCATAATTAATTTATTCTGTCGATGCGGTGCGTTAGGCTAAACAGTCGTTAAATGACGCGGCAAGCATTTTGACTAAACAATAAGCACACACACCATGCAATATTTGTCGTAGGGGAGCGAAACAGAACAGGAAAAGATGTTGTCGAAGACTATCAAATGGAAGAAACCTATGGGGACTACACGAAAAGAATCGAGACTTACTCGCTTTGCAGATGAAAATGGCAAAGATGTACGCGTGACCGCGGTGCGAATTAATAATAAATGTTATAATCAGACGTTGTAGTGAGTAAATAAAACGTGAGTACCGCCGTTGACAGGCAAAAGCACACAATTATCTCGCGCTAAGATAAAAATAGAATACATTTAGTGTTATTTAAAAAAAATGAATGCCGGCGTGGTCGACGTGTTCTAGTCGCGTAGTACAAACTAAACGACGATCATGCACGACATATATGCATACACGTTCACGCTTTACGATACTTGTCCTGCATGTGTTTTCGTATTGGTTTATCGGTGTGTATCACATTGGAATTCAGAAATTATTTCGACGAGGGAGCGAGTGATATGTTAACGAATTAACTCACAAGAGGGCGTTATACAATTGCGTTTGTGCGACGCGTCGGCGTTCGCGCTGTGCGTAACCTGAGAAAAGAAAATAAGCTGAATAAAGCGCGTACGATGAAGACGACGACGACGCCCCACATTATTTCGATTTTTCTTTAGCGCACATTTGTCAGTAGTAGATTTTAACACAAGTCAGTTTAATGACCCTAAATTAAGAACAAAAGATTTTTTGTTCTCAATCGCAAAAAACATTAGGTGGTATATTTATTCGCGACTTTCACTTTCCAAGACACCAATTGCAGATATATCCGAAATTAATACGTTAGCAAGTAATTCGAAATTAATTGGCGACACACTTTGCGAGTTGAAATAAATCGCAAACAAGTCCACTGCGGTGCGATAACACGTACTCACTTTTATGAAAACTATCGAACCAATACAGCCATCAGAAACAGTTTGTGGGCAATCTTGTTGTTCGTTCATTATTAAGTTCAATCAATGTATAGGTGCGCACACACACAACACAGGCGTGAATTTCGTCGACCTTGAAAGTTCGATTATTATCGTAATCCATGACACCCCGCCAACACACCGATTGCACGTCAATGTGCATTATTGTTTGTGCGTTATTTTTTAAACATATATTGCGCGTCAAATGAAAGTGTGATATGCGATCGATTTGCTAATTAGATGTCACACGTGGCCCACAAATTAAATATGTGAATTAGAAAATACATTAGTATACAAAGTAAACAATAAACTTCAACATACCACACAATTATATCTTAACTTGCAGCGAACTTTTAATATTGACTTATATAATTTCCTTGACGCAATAAGAGAAACAAATGTTAAAATCCATAATTCTGCCAACCACTGCAGTCTACCTTATCGTATTTTATCTGCGCAATTGTTTATTCGTAAAATATTTCTATTGGGTTCATGATTTCATAGTTCGGAAACCAAAGGAAAAGGCTGCGTTTGCAGTATGCTAAAAACGATGGAAACAAACGCCAAGCAAAACGATTACATAAGAAAGACAGTAATGATGCATCAGCATTTCTAAAATCGGTGTCAACAATTGCAACGGGGCTAGTAGACAACAGAGTCGCAACTGCTGGTAAACGCAAGAAGCAAAATATACGCCATGCAATGGAATTATTCTGATATCTTGTATAATTAAAATTGCAAGCATGCATTAAAACTATAAAATTACACGTGACAAATAGTTTTGTCATGAATGTCGTTCGAGCTAAACGGCGTTCACCTTGGATGAGGCCGCGCTGAGCTCATTTGACGAAATAAAATAAAAATTTACATTGGGAGTATGAATCCACGACACATATTTGCGGACGGCAATATGGTGATTATGTATTGCCATACTTCTGTATATTAGTCCTCGTGGCCTACTAGATTTATTAGTCAACGTATGCCAAGTTGCCAATTTACAGCGTGGCTTACTAAAAAATCATGGCCGAAAAACTATGTGCAAAGTCCCCAAAACAACGCAGAATGAATGAAATTTGAAGAGTATCGCTAACTAAATTAGCGTCAAACAATCGACTGCGCGGCGCACCTTGCACCAATGATTAAACAATGAGCGACCCAAGATTAGCCAGTTTATAAATAATGCTCCGTTATGATGTGCGAGTAAAATGAACAATTCCCAGTTTACATGTATTAATCGCGAGCATAGAAATAAGTAATAAACAACGATAGCATAACGGAATTTGTTTGTACGGAGAGCACGACCGAGTTACGTTTCAATATTTGCTTCCAAATAGTGTTAGTTGCTAGGCTCTATTTTATATCGAATGCCGAATTCAGAAAGCGTCATGGAAGAAACAAAAGCCATCGGGCCAATATAAATTATTACAACCTATCGTGTGGCCTATGAAATTGTCAGGACCGAATCAAACCCAACCTACTCTACCCAGCCAAGCATCTCCTCGCTACCTCCGACATCCATCTTTGCTATTATTGCGACGTTTGGCAGCACGTATTTTGTATAAATACTGAACGAAAACCATTTCATTAAGCCTGTGTAATCAATTCCTACGGAGCGAGAAAAAAAAGCAACTACTAACCAACCTGCTTGTGTTGACTATTTGGCGAGTTCCACTCGCATACTATTCGCACGGTGAGCAGCAGTGAACACACGCCGGTCGATAGAATATGATGGCAAACGGAATGATACGAAACCAGCGATACTGAGCCACAGCAACGCCGAACACACCGCCGGCACTGCACACACCGCAACACATTCACGCCGGCATCACCGGTTCGATGTAACCGGCGAGAATGCAATGAGGAACGTACACAAACGGTCGGCGCACTAAAATTGGAAATTTTGCGACTTTCCGCGCGCCCGACGCTCGCTCACCGCACTCTCTGATCAATGATGAGCAGTTAATATTATTTTGTTTCAAGATACACACACGAGCGCACACACACTTCGTGTCCTGGGCACGACGATATTTTTAGAACGGATAATAAAATCGCCGCTGCCCCGTGCCCCTCCGAGCGCGCGCCACAACAGATTCAGTACGCAGAGTGTAGATGTTTCAATGTGAAAATGATGAAATGGAATCGTTCGTACGTACGCGATAAGTGTGCGGCGTGCGTTTTCAGCTTGCGCCTCCATAGAACCGCGCGGCCACCGTTCGAACGTGACCATTCAAGACACTCGGCGCATATCGCGGGCAGAGAGCACACAAGGCGAAGAAGTGACGATGGCGACGACACACAGGGCTGCGCGGTGTATTCTTGCACACAATCGAGCCAGTTTAAAACCGTGTGTACATGTAGAGTTGATGGTTCGGCTGGATTAGCATTGTAGAGAAGCGCGCAGAGAGAATTCGACGACGACCAGGTACCGTCGCAATGAGGAGGCGCTGCTAAGACCGACCAAAGTGCGGTGCAGGAACGCACACAAGCACATAATAGAATTCATAATAAACTGGGTTATCGAACCCGCTTCGCTCCTCGATTGACGATGACTACTTCACTTGCAAGCACCACCACACCGCGCACAAACGATCACGCAAAACTCATAATTGCGAATTGTCCTTGTCGGGAACTATCCATCAAATGAGTAGGTAGCCCGAACTTACAAATCACAGTACAGACGCAACCCGCATTCAAATCTATTATCCTCTTATATTTTCACCATTGTACTTATTCACTACTTCCACGAAGTCATTTCGAGTTTACATTAGATCGGAAACGTATACCGTGCAAACAAACTCGAGAATATTGTCGACAAACCAGCTACAAACGTAAATTGGCTTAGCATATGACAGGTCAATGTAGACAAGTACAAACATTGCTCAAGAATAAATGCTCGACTGAATATCGATATATTTTATCATTAACTTGTACAATGAACATTAAAACACGGTTGAATGACTTTACACGCATATCATGTCGCATGTGCGTTAATATCAGAAATATGTCAAATACAGCAGACGAGAACAAAAACGCTCACCAAAATTATGTTGTTTAAGAGGAACCATTGCGTCATCTCCTCGTCGTAGTAATAACAGTATAAACTAAACATTCAAAATTCACTTTCCATACTCCGCACACCAAAATTCTTCAACTCGACAACCCTCATTCACTCACATTCGCGTACGGACTGACTGTGCTGATGTACCAACACACGAACGCACAGCTGTTTGTCAATTAATAAGGTGGACAACGCACACATTCGGGGATGAGAGGCAAGATCGAGCCTCGGCCGAATTCAGACGATTCGGCGTGCGTGTGCATACAGGGGGCACACCACCACAATCGACCTGGCAGACGAAAGGGACGAGGAAACAACCACTCGGCAACGAAACGGAGCAATAGGAGAAGAGAGAAAATGCCCGGCTGCTTTTCTTCGCCGGCTTTCAACTACGTTTGCAACGAGTACACATGCCATTCCATGTGCACACGCCGCGATGAAGCTCAGAGTATGTACATAATGTCAAACCGTTACGCGTGGCAACGTGGCAATTGTATTTCAACTTTGTTCCAACTACCAGGTAGGTAGTAGGACGACTGTGTGAGGCATCGCACAACGCACATGCGATTAAGTTGCAAAAAGCAAGCAATGTACACAGATACGCACACCTGTCGCCATGTTGTTTCAGTTTTGAACGAAATTCCAATTCGTAAAAGTATAGGTGTAAAAAGACTAGTTGTTAGCGCGTTCATGGTACGCCCGCCAGCAGTAAAATGCTTTTATCATTGCTAAACATGCACATGACTCTTTATGACTGACTACATTCCGCAATCGTTGGTTAAAATTCATCGCCATGATGCGTATGATGCGTTATCGTATATTATCGAGAACCTGTTTGTAGCGCTTGGAATATTCAGTAGAAAAATATTTGAATTAATATCGTTGGCCTAGGCTCACTCATATATCCTGTCTGAATACAGTCATGGTCGAAACAGGAAGCAATGCCCTTCAAACAACCTTTGCGTTGAATGCCTACTTGTTTAAAGGGACAGACGAAACTACGCATTCGGAAAAAGCAAGCAGGGTTGCAAGATGTATTTTCTTGACGAGGGTTCGTCAACAAAAAAAAAGAACAGGGTACCCTACAACACGCTACTCGAATGTTAATTAAATGATATTTATAAAATCTCATTTTCATTCGTTTAGTGCAGCAATACGCAATGAGATGCAATACAGTGTGGGTAGATTAGTTGAAGTTACTTCCTATGATTCAGATCGATACCCACAAAATGTGCTCTCGCATAATAGTTGCTTTGCTTCAGTGACGCGTTCACGGTAGCAAGAGCAGGGCGTGGTGTAGTTGCAACTTACAATCAGAAGAATCAATAAAATAAAACGAAGTGGTTTGCAAACCGCTCTAAATCTTACAATAATTCTAAAGTAATGTAATGCTATCAAATCAAAATGAATATAATTTCGTTGGTAAACAAGTTTGAAGGTGACCGGATCAACTAATTTTTTTACCTGAGTATTCTGAGGGCTTGTGCGAAAGAGAATTGAAGAAAAAAAACGAGAAAATTCTAGCATGGAAAACGCCTGCACGAGTGAAGCGTATATAGGCGAAAACGCCGGCGAGTACACTGCATCATCGGGTCGGTCGGTACCGCGCGCCCTAGCCTTGCAATGCCATTCATCGAGGCCATCGCACCGGCAACAGTGCCTTCGGCGCGAATCAGCTGGCGCCGTGCCCTGTTGCCGCCGACGTAACTAAACCGCGACATACACACACAAGCGCGCACGCCGGCTCGTCGCACCGTGCGTACTACAAAAGTCGGATATGCCTTGAAATTCCCCGACGAGTCGCGCACGGCGCGCCGTCGTAATCGACCCCGGCGAGTGAGAGCGCGCGCAGTAACTGAACGTTCGAGCGGTACGCTCTCATTCGCGTTCGAGTCGTCGTGCAGCGCGCGCGTTCGCCGGCCGCGCGCACATCGTCGGCAGTAGTCGCCGAGCCGCCCGACGGATGCGAAGTCGACGTGCGAACTGTGTGTCTGCTCCGCGACCTATACGAATGACGATGCATTTGGAACATGATTATCTCAAACGAGGAAGAACGCGTTGACGACTATAGGAGTGGGATTAAAATCAACCAAGTGAAATCTCGATTCGATGGTCGCCGAGACTCGCATAATCAATTCCAGGCCAAGTCAGGCCGACAATTGTAGTTTCTAATGGTGAAATGAGAAATGTCTACGAAATAAAAGTGTGCTGCTGCAAGAGAAGCAAATAAACAAGTGCATCTATTTTGTTTTGTAGTTACCCTAGTTTGTAATAATGTGCGAATCACCGTCATCAATCCGTCGTGTCCTGGCGCCTACGCAACTTCGCCAAACACAACGAAATCTCCACCGCAACACAACCAAAGCAACTTCTGTTTTCTGTGCACTTGAGTTTCCTCGTAGTATTATTAGTATTATTCCTCTCGCGAGTTGCACGATTCACAAATGCCAATCTGGCAAACGCCCGTCTACACGGCGCGACATGCCGCGATGTCGGAACAACGACACGATGGTGGCGATACGTTATCTGTTTCCGCGCACTCTGTTTTATCGTCGTCGTTCGCATTACACGGCTCGCGCCGACGACGCACGGACATTTTGGAATGGTATAACGCGCGTCATGCGAAACAATGTTGCCGCTAATTGGACGGAATGCGACTCGCCGCGGCCGTCGGCCCGTACATGGTGATCAGTGCGATCGGTCCCGTCGCCGTTCGGATGCCGCCCGGCTTCGGCTCGCGACTTTGCCGAGTCTCCGAGTCCTCCTCTTAACAGCACCGTTCGCGTACGCGACGACAACAATACGCGTGCAGCGCTCGGCGCAGCGTGCGAGTGGCATCCATTAAAACTAAACGCGCCGACTTACGAACTGCTTACAAACAAATCCGCGCGGCGCTCCGCCGCACGTCACTTTAGCCGGGCAGGCAGGCAGCGTGCTTCTTTGAAACTACGGAATCCAGATACACATATTACTCACGCATAACGCTCACACATAACCGCCCCGGCACAATCGTCCAAGTCAATACAAATGCACACAACTCGGTAACAACACGCCGCAACACACAGGCAGTCATTTAGCCGTGACTACTACATACACTACTACGCTGCTGACGAGGACGACGATAATCGGTCGCATTCAGACGCACATCAAAACCGAGTATAAGAACGCCAGCGCACACCGCAAGAGATGTGAAAGTAACAAGTTCAACGGACGGACGCTTTGCGGCGTTGTTGAACGGAACGACGACAAGTGGCCTGTTTTCATATACACACGTTGCCGATTTGAATAATAAAAACGACGACACGACCCGAGGGGGGCAGTTTGCGACCCTACTTCCAGGCCGCATGCTTCGCGCACCAAAATACCTACCAAACCAGCTTTAGCAGTGACGCGACAGCCGCAGTAATCTACCGTAAAAGCGCGCATCTCTCAACCAAGTTACGACGAATGAATCAATAAGCCGCACGATAATTTTCGTGCCTAAGCCAATCGATACGGTTCGTGCAACGCTCTGACAACTGGCTGAAAACGTCGACAGCAAGTTTAACGACGTCACATGCAATGAATATAATAAATGAATGAATCGAATATATTTTGCACCCCATGCGCATATTTTCCGTTATGTAACCTAACGTAAACGTCATCTATTATGGCCGCGAACTATGAAGACTTGGCCGAATTTATCAGCACATATATCTGTTTATTACACGAGTGATAGCAAAAACAAATACTGTTTCCATGTTATATGTAGTGAGCAAACATATGTTGTAGCAAATTATTATCAGTTAATTTTAGAATCTTGTCACAAAAATAGTGCGATAATGAAACCAAAGTGGTTAACAATGTGACCACGTGTATCTACCAATGCATTATTTATTGGCCGAAAAATCTACCGGCAACAGCGCCCTCTTTGTATTAGGGTTTGCTGTAGAAACCTAAACTTTTGAACAACTTTTCGGTCACGTCCGACGCACGTACCGCACCATGGAAATATCGAATAGCATCAAGGCCGGACTCATCGTCCATTTAAAATAATAAAAAAACGTCTCGGGTTATCATTGCCACTTTTGTTATTCAACACGCATTTGTCAGTCCACTGCCACCATAACAAAAACAACAACGCAAAAAAGTGCGTACTTGTAGTGTTACGGATTCAAAATAAACTCGGCGCATGTTAAATGAACGAAAGGAATTTAATGGCCTACAAAATGAAACGCAAGGATTTCTATTTGCAGCGCCGGTCGGTCGTGTTCTCAAAACGAAACCTACCTATTAGAATCGCAATACGCGGACACAGCGATAGATGTTCGCGGCATGTAAAAGTTCGCTCGAGTAATAAGCGGACTCGAGGTAAAACTTTTGCCAGACTCGTCGTGGGTTGCCGTCCGCCGCGCGACGTGCGGGGAAATCGCAACTTGGTTTGTGGCGTGCAGCAGCAGCGTGCATTCGTAAAATACACGGGACGCTTTTTGGTGTGGACTGTACTTGGCCGCGGCTCTAGTAGAGATTGCTAGTAAAAGTGCAACGACACCATTTCATAAAAGTGCGCACCGACTCTAAACGGAACGGCAAAGGCAAAACACTCGCGCACACCGTGCGCGCTCAGCGAAAACTCCACACACAACGACACGATCGGAGAGCTTCGCACGAAACACACAACAAGCAATGGGCCCACTCGCACACTATTAACTCCAACGAGCGTTTACAATGGTGAATCTCGCGCACACACAACACACTCTGCTAAATCCGGTGCGGTAACAACAAACTGCCGAACACCGATCGAACGGACAGAGAAGCAGAATGCAAGCAAGGACGACGTAAGCGCACAGCTGGCGTGTCGAGCGACATTGCCAATTCTATTGCGACAAAAGACGAACCCGATTCTCATTTTGCAATGGAAACTACTAAACCTGCGCGGCGAGATTTGTCCAAGCGATATCGAGAGAGATTGTGCGCCCTTGCGCCCCCACTGGTGGCCAATGACGATACGCAAATAGTACGAATCGAAGGAAAATATTCCACGCTAATAACGCCCGATAAGAGCAAAAGTACTTAACACTAGAAAGTAATAGAAAATTAAATAAAGAATATGCTCACCCTAGCGCCAAGGAAGCGCGCCTCAAGGAGCTCCTGTTTCCGGGGGTCGAGCGCCGCCTGGAAATGCTCCATCTTCACGCCAGCGCCTGAAACAACAACGTAAAACGTTTTACGTTAAATATTGTTTTGTCCACCGACTGTCGTTGAGGCGTCTGACGTTTCGTCATTATGCTAGCATTTTCAGCGGTGTTCGTCAAATGAAACGCTCTAATTAATTGCAAAATTTTAAACATAGGCTTGCTTCGTTCTTACGCGCAGAGTTTTCATTTTATAGACGTTTTTACCTACAGTTGCCAATAGACATCGATTTCTTACCTCGTTGACTTAATTGAGATACATGGAGGGGATGCGAGCTACTAAACACTATGATCTGTTGGGGATACGCGCGCATGGAACTTGTTAAAAATAGCTCGGCCATTTCTAAAAACAGTGCCCCCGAAAATACCGCCGTGGTTAAATAATGTATCAAATTTTCAACTGTTTGTTATTCGCGTGGAAATAATTGCTAATAAAAAGTCTACTGTCAAGAATTGATTTAAGAGCTGAAACGCAACCGATAGCGATGTTATTCATTATTTAGACTTTAGAATGAATGCGTCATGAAAGCAGCGTGCACAACCGACCATTCCCTGGCGAGAGGCGTCTCGTCATTCCAACGTGTTTTTTTATATTCACTAGCTCCATCTGACGACCGTAATTGAGCACGAAAAGATATGGTGCTAGAGGAAGCGATGGGGATATATATGCGGCGTGATTCGGCGGGTGCACCACGCCAAACCAGCCGCCTCCCCGAACCGCCGAAGACCACCCGACCGATCAATGTTGACACGCCAGAGATGGAGATACGGGAATACACTCACACATATACGTACACCCACAACCAGCAGTAGCACGCACTCATACAATCTAGTTCAACGGCAACCGCCCTAACCCAATCTGTTCAGTTTCGTCTCTCGGCTCCACATCAGCGCGCGAGTGCTTTACGAAACCGCCTTCCGCCATATTATTTAAAACTGCAGATCGGCGGCTACGCGCGCGACCAGCGCATAGCATAATCATGAAACGACGCCCGCCCCCGCACGGCAAATCGAAGGTGGCGTACTTAAACGTACGCTTCAAACAATTCAATCACGTGACCGTCACGTGTCGCTGATATAAACATTACCCATATTGATTTATGCAAAGCGAGCCGCTGCTTCCGCTGCCACAATGCAAGTGCGGGGAAAGTAGTATCACACGCAATCTACCACCTTCTTCCCCAAATGCTTTACAGAAAACCTTTACGAGTCTGTTGCGCCGTTGCGCAACCCACGTCGTTGTCGTCATCATCAAGAGACGCCCGCCGCGCATTGTGACCGAAGCGCGCCGTCCCCTCCGATCGGGCAGACAAAATATCTAATTATACAACATGGCATCCTGTTTGAAAACGTAGGACGCAGCAGCGAGTATCGACTGCTCACGGCGCTGCTTAGAAGCCGACAATGTGGCGGACGCGCTGCGTCGTATGCATTCAGGGCCGCAAAAGGCTGGCCGGGCGCGTATCTGGATCGCCTCTCCTCACGCCACCGTCTCCTGCGCCACCGCCGCGCTCAAGAATGTCTTGAAAGCGATTGTGTGTGCGTGCGAGCGCACAGCGCGCCTCTCGCCGAGAGTTAGTTAAATGTGGGGAATAGTATAATAAGGGGTTGAGGGCGAGAGCAACCCGCGCGGCTGGCGCGTTGGTGTGAGAAGATCGATATCTAACAAAGTCGGCTGAAAGGAAAGGTTGACTGCAGTCTATCACACATGCACACCGCACGCTGCAGGGAAAACCGGGCTGGCGGGCGCACAGGCGAGTGGTGGCAGCGGTGGTGCGGCGGCAGCAGCAGCATATGCGCCAATCTTCCTGTCTCCTGCCAAAGTGCCGTGCGCCGTTCCGTTGAACATTGCTCGGTGTCACTCGTCATCGCACAACAGCCCGGGGTCTCGCGCCCACCGCTGCCGCATGCCACCTATCCGCCCCTCTCGACTGGCCCTATTTATAAACGCATGCCGTGGTGGAGGCAGCGGGCAAAGCGCGGCAGGGCGAGCGGCAAGAGATGATGCGGTGGCGGTGTGGTGTCCACGCGATCCTGGGGTAATAGTAAAATAGGACCGGGCTCAAACCGGGGCGTGGCGCCCCGCGTATAATACATGACTTTTCCGGTGAACCGAAAATATGACCGTCGTCTACACCTCACCAGAAATGGTGGCGGTAATACGTAATTATAGGCACAAATTGAATCATATGAAAGATATAAGTGCATATTTGAAAGTAGAGTCACATTTACGGGTAATTGAAAAATGGTTGCCTTTGAACTCTAGGCGTGCATTTTCGCAACAGAATCAGCTTTATGAAGTTATCATAATTATAATTAAAACATCAGCACGCGGCTTCCAAGTGTGTTTCGTTTTTAGGTCGGCCATTTTATTTTATATGAGCAGCGCGGCGTTGTAAACTCGTGGATTGCGGGTGCAAAGCGCGACCAAACGAACACCGAGCGCACACACAGCGGCGGCCGTCGAGTGGTAGTCGTCGGTCTGGCAAAGCATACGCGCGGCGGCTATGTGCGAGCGGCGCGCCGGCACACAGCAAGTGTGTGCGCGCGCGAGAGCCGCAAGGTCAGGTGCGAGAACGCGGCACACGGCGCCTCGGGGATAAAACGGATCGATTTCATCTCTCGCCGCTCAACTAACGACAGAACACAACATACATATACATGCACAAAAACATTGGCACAGCAGGAGCAGGGCAGCAGCAGCAGCAGTGGCGGTGGCGGCAAACGGCCACATCCAGGCGAGGAGCGGCAGAAGAGCACTGCCAACCCGCGTGAACCATTCATCTCACTTGCACTTGGCGATGCGCGTTTTTCGGTGCCAGCAGGAGCAGCGGCAACGGCGGCGTGATCTGCTGTTGCTGCTCGGCGAGGGAAAAGCTCACGGGAAAGCATTCGAATGCACTACAACTACCAACTTCTGCTAATCGCCGCCAACTTCACGGTTGCCTACTTAAAGAGGATCTAACTGCGGCGCTATAAATCTTCAGTTTTAAAACCTCATCGCGTAAACGCATTAAATTACGTCAATACTCTTTTTTCGCAGGAAGCCATCCTAGCAACCAAACCAACCACTCATTGCATGTGCTCTCACCTAGGAGTCTGAATTTGAATCGATTAGATTGAAGTAGACGCGCGGATAGAGATTGGGCAACACGGTGGGTGTTAAAGCCGGGAACTGCGCGCGATAGAAAACCGTAGCGCAGGAAAGCGCAGCAGCGCGCCGCGGTGCGGGGACCGAGATTCAAGTCGACATTTTCAGGTCCGCGTATTCGGAGGTACGCTTATGTGTGGCGCTGCGGCTCCGTTGTTGGTGTGTGCGAATGGGATCCGATCAGTATGTGTCGTGCACTTTTGACATGACTGTACCGACGCGAGAGATGCATCGTCCTCCCCGCGCACATACCCAACGACCTCTCTTCACCAAACCATCACCTTTTATAACTCGATGATGGTTTACTTCGTTGTCTGTACTCTGCGCATACCGAGAGCCGAACGGAACACCACACACAAGGCACCGTGTGCGCCTTGGTTCTTGGGCCATCGGTTTCGCATTCGCATAGATATTCCCATGCGGTGTCGAGCAGCCATTTACTTATTTCTGTGCGAGACGACGCCGCTCTGCACGAAGAAGAGTGCGGTGCCCAGCTCGTCCCCGGCGTGGTGGTAATGCCCGCGATGACTGACCGCCAGTTTCCGAACAAAGCAAATATGCGCGCGTAATTTAAATGCGAAGCGAGTACTACAACACCTCGATGTTGTTCTGGCACTGTTCCTAGCTAACTTTCGCACATTCAACATACAAACGAAAAGCGTGTGTACTGGCTATTTGCGTTATAATGTCCAAAAGACACACAGCACCACCAACACCACCGCCTTACTTCCAATTTGACCTGTGGCATTAAAGCGATGTACAACAGATTCTAAAAATAAATTCGCAAATATCGATCCGTTTTGTCGACGTCCATAGTATTACGTGCGCGTCGCTTTACGAATTCTATCTGCCATGAAATAATATCGTGATTGCCGCCCCTGCCATGCACGAACTTCGCGTTTCCATTTGCTCCGTAACTTTGCAGGGCGTATTAGCGCGCACAAAGAGAGGCGAAATCCACAAGCAGTCAGAATGGTAAAGCTGCAACCCTGTGCCTGCCTGCCTGCCGCGTTCGGGGAAAATGTGTCATTTCGAAAAAACATTGGACAACAGCGCATATTTCCGGCGCCATGCACCCAGGAATGTGCAACGAAATTGTATTAAACGGCTAGCGTTTTGCGCGTGTAAGCCCTCCTGCCGGGGCGACCATCGTTTGCTGGCAGACAGTGCGGAGAGGGTTTCGCCCTCCATTATTTTAACGCATTGTATGCATGTTGAATAAGGTAACAGCAAGGCGGCCAGGGCAGGAGGAAATCAATAATAGGAGTTACTTCTTGGTCCGTACTCTCCGGGTTTCGTCGCTGCACGTTCACGTACGTACGTTATTCGGACTCGCCGCCACAAGACGCTCTCCTCTCCGCGATAGAATGAAAATGCTGCCTTATGACCCCTATACGTATCTGCCACGCAGAAATCAATATTAGACTACTGCTCGAAAATCAGCAGCACAGCACACAGCCAACCCAACCAACCACAACCAACAAACCAACCGCATTATCATCTACTTACAACAGCAAACTCCCTTTGAAAACTACTACAAAGTAAATCTGTGTTATTACCAAATGATTGGCAGAAGTAATTAAATCGTAAACAGCTAATTTATTACGAATAAACGCAGTGTGAAAATGACGATGTGGTCAAACCACGAGATGCAAACGAAGCTGGCGCGACGTTCCGAGACCCTCCTTTAATTCCGTCAATAAATGCGTTCGTCGAGTGCGTTTGAATCGCAAAGTCGTCGCAGACGGATCGGGAGAAACAAAGATGGCGTATTTAAGATCCGGCAACGCGGTATTTTAAATGCGACACGTCAGTGAACCATCGCACAGAGAAGTCGGCGCAAAAAGAAAACATACCA